GACCAGCTCTGGAGACCTGCAAGGGGGCCCTAAGTCTTCACTGAGCATGGATGCTCACAGGGCTGGGGATAGAACCACCTGCAGGGGTCACAAGGAACCCACAGGTGCAGCAAGAGCTCCTGTTCCCACCAGCAGAGTGGGAACCGTCAGGCTCAGTGGGACCTTGAGTGGAGTGCTCTGAAGGACTGGCCTTAACCACAGGGCTGACTTACCCTAGACTAAAATGTTACTCTACTCTGGCCTAATGAAGCCGAACAGCAAACCCCAAGATGATCAGACTCTTTCAAAGTAACATGATGGCACCCCAGAGCGAACTGCAAGAATACAGGAATTCCAAAGTGTACAGGTAGCAAGCTCCAAGGTACGAGGCCTGGCACCGGGGAAAAGGGAGCAGGAATGTCCGAGTCACAGTGACACAGTTAATTGAAGCTGACCCAGAAACTGCACAGATGGTAGAGTTTATACACAACAATATTAAAGCAATTACCATAACTATGTTTCATGTGTCCAAGAAGTGAGGGAGAAGATTGAATATGTTAAGTAGAGACAAGTCATAAAAAAGATCTGAATTGAGCAAAGGAAAGAGTGACAGTGGATTTTTCCATGGAAACACTGTCACAGGATTCAGTGGAACATCATCTGTAAAGTACTGAAAGGTAAAGACCCAGAATCCTATACCAGTAAAAAATCTCTCTCTGAAAAACAAAGGTGAGATAAAGACTTCTTCAGACACACGCAAGCTGAAATGATTGACATCCAGCAGGCAACCACTCTAAGAAATATTAAAAGAGTGTTTCAGGGCAAAGGAAAACGTACCCGGATCTATGCAAAGGATTGAAGAGCACTGGAGATGGTAACCACAAGGGTAAACATAAGACTCCTCCTTATTTGTAATCTTTCAACATTTAATTGAATAATTTACAGCACAAATAATGAATATGTTGCGGGGGGGGGGGAGGTTACAACATGTAGACGTAAAATGTGTGACAACAGTAGCATAAGGAAGAGCAGAAATGGAAATATGCTCGTGGTGCGCAGAGTACTGCCCCCTTCCCCAAAGACACCAGGTCCTTATCCCTGGAATCCTGTGCAAACGTTACAGATGCGATGAAGGATCTCGAGATGGAGAGATTATCTTGGGTTAGCCAGGTGGACCCTAAACACAACTACATGTATCCTTATAAAAGGGAGGTGGAGGTGTTTCACACACACACAGGTGGGGTGATGTGAAGATGGAACAAAGACAGGTTTGAAGATGCTGGCCTTGAAGATTGGAGTGGCACGGCCACAGCCAAGGAGCCCTGGCAGCCACCATTGCTGGGAGGGGCATGAAGCCATTCTCCCCTGGAGGCTCGGGAGGGAGCACAGCGCTGCTGATACCTGGAGTTCAGCTCACTCGTGCTCATCTTGGACTTCTGGTCTCCTGAAATGTGAGAATAATTCCTGGGCTCTTAAGCCTCCGGTTTCTAGCAATTTGTTCCAGCAGCCACAGGAAGCTAATCCAATACCTCTGTTAGTTTCGTATGCTGGATGTGAAGTGGTATAATGTCACTATGGGGATTGTGAGACATTAAAGACATATGCTGTAGACAGTAAAGCAACAATTAAAAGCACAACAGAAAGTTATAGCTAATAAACCAAAAAGGGATATAAAATAGAAGCATAAAAATACTCAACCCCAAAAAGGCATTAAATAGGGGAGCAGATGGGACAAATAAGAAAGAAACAGGACACTGGTAGATTTCAGCCTGGTTACAGCAGTAGTCTTTTTTTTTTTAAGCTGAGCCATCCTGCCACCTGTTGGCAGCTCAGTGGCAGCTCAGCTTGGGCCGGGAATTGAACCGCTGTTGCTCAGAGCTCGCACTCTTGAGCTAGCTCTTAACCAACTGAGCCACTTGGCTGGCCCCAGCAGTAGTCATTTTAAATGTGAAAGATCTTCAGGCTGGATGCCAAAGCAAGACCTAGTATATGCTGCCTACAAGAAAACCATTTTGAGTGGAAAGACACAAATAGATTAAAAGTCAAAGAATGGAAGGAGGTTCGCCATACTAGTAACTGATCAGTTGAAAGCAAGATTGGTTGGTTGTATTCATGTCACAGGCTGTTCTCAGGGATAGGATGGTCATTTCATAATGACAGGCATCAGTTCATCAAGTGGGTGTGACAGCCCTAAACGTTGAGGTGCCTCACTGAGGTCAGAGCTTCAAAACCGATAGAACTGCAGGGAGAAAGAGACAAATCCACAATCAGAGATGTCAGCAGCCTTGCCACAATTCTCAGAACACATAGCTAGAAAACCTGGATCTAGAAGCCTTGAAGAACACTGTCCGCCTCTGTGTCCTGGTTGATGTAGACACACCCCATGCAGGACAGCAGAAGACATGTTCTTCTCATGCTCACGGACGCTTGCCAAGATGGACCAGATGCTGGGCCACCAAACAGGTCTCTACACGTAAAAGGACTCAAATCTTACCAAGTATGCTCTCCGACCTCCATGGAATTTAGTTGGAATCTGTTACAGAAAGACAGTCTGGAAAAACCCCAAACATGGGGAAAGCAACGCATTTCCACATGACCCATGGGTCAAAGAAAAAGTCAAGGGAAATTGGGAAGTCTTTGAATTGGTTGAAAATAAAAACAAAGGATTTCAAAATGTGCGATTTGCTGTTCTGGCATATTAAAGGGACGTTCATAACAAGCCATTTGAGAGAAGAAGGAGAGCCTCGAGTCAGTGACCTCAGCCTTCACCTTAGGAAACCGGAAAAAGAAGAGCAAATGAAACCTAAGTTTACCAGAAGAATGGACATAATAAAGATAAGAACGGAAGATAGTAAAATAGAAAACAGGAGTGTATAGCAAATCAATAGAATTGAAAGGGGGTTCTTCTAAAGCATCAGTAAAATTAATAGGACTGAAGAAGTGAAGCCATACATTACTAATACCTGAGTGAGGGAATGATATCAGTATAGGCTGTAGAGATATTAAAAGGATTATAAGGGGATGGTATGAGCAACCGTATGCCAATACATTTGACACCTTAGATGAATTGGATAAGTTTCTTGAAAGAATTTCTAAAGCTCTCTCAAGAAGAAATAGACTACCTGATTATCCCAATACCTGCTTTATTAAATGAATATTTAAAGATCAATAATCTGATTTAGTTACTGGAGAACTTTTAAGTATGGTTGGAAATGGTATATAAACCTTTTTTGTTTTACTTTTTAAAAAACATGTAATTGACAACGCTACATTTGCAGTGTACAGTGTGTTGATTTGATACGTTTATATATTGCAATATGATCATGACAGCAGTGTTAGCTAATGCCTTTATCACATCACAGAATTATAATTCCTTTATTGTGTCGAGAACAGTTAAGATCTAGACCAGCGGTTCTCAACCTGTGGGTCGTGACCCCTTTGGGGTCGAACGACCCTTTCACAGGGGTCACCAGGTACTCGTATGTGGGCGTATCTGCATGTGTGCCTGGAGACAGATAGAGGAGCGGTGTCTCGGTTCCTAAGACCATCGAAAATATGTGTTTTCCGATGGTCTTAGGCGACCCCTGTGAAGGGTTGAGAACTGCTGATTCTAGACTCTTAGCAACTTTGAACTTTGTGATACGGTGTTGTTGACGGTAATCGCTGTGCATTAGGTCTTCAGGACTTACCTACTAGTTGCAAGTGAACCTGCTTTTTCAACTGAATTTTATGAAGTCTAAAGACATAAAATATTTCTGATGAAAATTTTGTGTATGAATTGAGATGTGCTGTAAAAAAGATTGTTATATATCTCGATAATTTATTCATATTGATTACATGTTGAAAGAATCTCTCTGACATCGGGTTAAATGGCATGTGTTATGAAAGTGGTTTCACCTGTTCCTCTTTGACGTGTCTTCTGGGAAGTCTGACGTCACCTTCCACAGGTAGCCCACGTTATATTTCTGTGGACAGTCCTGCTTTGAGCAGTGTTTGGGTGCTGTGCTGGCATCTCAGGGACCTTTTGTCCTTAGTCCTTTCTGCACAGCTGCATTCCACATACATGCGGTCTGAAATACTGCTGAGTGGCACGTCTTGTTTCTTGCTTGTTTTGTTGATCACTGCTGTCCTTTGCTTTCTCATGGCTCATCTGACTCTTGGTAGGAATTATGATGCAGCAAGAAAGGGCGGGGGGCTTCATTTCAGAGTAGCCAGACTGAGACCATGGAACAGCAGTCTGACTGACTTGCACACACAGCAGTGTATTCAGGGGCTGTGTTATGGGCCTGCTGTTCTTCCCAGGGCGTGAAGTCAGTGTCATGGGCATGGCCCAGCCTACCTCTCTCTAGGCTGTGTTTAGCTGGTTGGATCGCGACAGCCTCACGGGCTGTCTCATGTAATGTTTTAAAGTCATTCACAAACGTTACATAGGCTCCACTTTTTGTGAGACTGATGGAGTGACAGAAACACAGCCTGACCATAACCATGTTGCGTCTACAGTGAAACATGGCCGTCCTTTGGAGCACTGAAAGCAAGGTTCCTAAGGAGTGCAGAGTTAAACTGGTGTGCTGACTTTCAAGGCTCCAAGAACTTTGTGAGTAAGAGGAGCATGTGGTCAAGAGCAGATGGCCATCTGGGATCGAAGTGTATGAAAAATTACACAAAAAGCAGTGTCTTTTTTTAAGACTTTTTGATTAAAACTTAAAAAATGAGATTTGTCTTGCAAGTACAACTTCAAAAAAAATAAACTTTGAAATTATAGAATAGTTCTAAATGTACAGAAAAATGACGAACATAGCAGAGAGAGTTCCCCTTATCTGGTCACTCAGTGATTTGCTTCTTACCTTACCGTGGTGCATCTTCACAAGGAGTGAGTCAACACTGATATGCTGTGAGCCTTACTTTTCATGTAATGTTTCCTGTTCCAGAAGCCCGCCTAGGAGACCAGACACCTCTCACATCTCATCGCCATGTCTTCTCAGGCGCTTCTTGGCTCTGACAGTGTCTTCTTTTTCCCTTAGAAATTCTCCAGAATTTCAGAAGCTTCTGGGCATTGCTGTGGAACTTTTTCTGCTGTGCAGTGATGACGCGGAGTCAGATGTCAGGATGGTGGCTGACGAATGCCTCAACAAAGTCATAAAAGTAAGAGCCCCGTGGACAGGTCCTCCACGCTGTACCCATAGCGGGTCAGCAGGGTCCCTTAGGATGTCCGCAGGTGTTTTTGTGGTTGTGTGCTTTGGAGGTGCTCAGCTGTCTTAATGTGTTGGAAAACGACCCTTGTGATTCTCATTCTGCCCTGCCCTGGTGTGCGTCCCCAGCGCACCCTGGTCACCGTTCCCCAGGCCACCTTTGAGTTTGTGGTGGGCCTTTTGAATCGTGTGTGCAAACTTGGCCGTCATTCCCACTGTAGGCTAACCAGCATGAGGAAGGTTCTCGGGCGTAGCCCTTGACACTCTCTCCAAAACCGAGTTCTTGGTCAAGTTAAGGAGCAGATGTACCTGTGCCCATCCTCGCAAGGACCCTTTTTCATTGCATGTTTCCAGTTTTTCTTCTCTTTTCCTACTGCTTTGAGTTCACCTCTGAAATTGAGATAAGGCTTTAAGAGGCTGCATTGCTTACTTTTCCTTGAAGGCCCTCTTCCTAGTGATACTTACCTGGCCAGGTAAACAGGTTAGTTGACCGTTTCCCTTCTTGTTAGGGTCTTGAAAACAAAACTGTTCTTGGGAGTCTTCCCAAGGACTTTCTCTGGAGAGTGGCCACATTGTGCGCTGGCCAAGAAATCACCCTTCCTTCTGCCCTCGGGGGCCAACCCTCCCCGGGCAGCTGGGCGCCTGGGAGTCCTGTTTACAGAGCTTGAGGCATTGTGCCAGCACAGGGAGCGTGCGTGGGTTCGCAGTGTGGGGAGCTGCGTTTGAGTCTTGCCTCTGCCCCCCAGCTGAACAACTTGGGGGATGAATTTAATTCTGTGAGCCTCAGTTTCCTTAACTCTGAAGGGAGCCAGACAAGGTTTCGGGGTGTGTGTGTGCGCGCGCGCGCGCGCGCATGTGTGTGTGTACATGTGTACGTGTGTACATACCAAATGCAGTAAAGTGTGTGACGTGCTTGGTGTCATCCTGGCCACTTTTGGTACTCAAAGTAGTAAGAAGTACTCTAATTGACAACGAGATTCTTACATTCTCCAGAGATTGAGGGGCACCTGAGAGCACCAGCTGCTCCCCATTTTCTGTCGTGTGGATCCGTGGTTGCCTGTTGCCCAGGGAGTCCTTCCTGTCTGCAGGACACTGTTTCTTGGCCAGCTGTGACTTCTGTGCTTGGGTTGCTGGTTTCTCTATGGCCACAGGATTCTAGCCCTGTCTGTCGGGAGCAGCCGTAGGGAGGCTCCTCTTCACCTGGAGGTGGTCGCCTGGCCCCCTTTCTCCCTCCTCCCCGCCCTGCTCTCCTGCTTGGGCTTGCATCCTGCCTCCCCGGTGACGTAACGGCCATTTCACCGTGTCCTTCACAGCCGGTGGTCCATTGGTAACACTCACGTGTGCGTGGGGTCCCGCTGCCTGTTTGCAGATGGCCTTTTCCGTACGCTTACTTCTTCCCAGGCCTGAATGTCCTTGGTACTTTATCACTCCCACTTGGCAGGACCAGGCGGGGCATTCTGATGTTTCGGTTCTTGTACTTTGAGCCTTAGAATCAGAAAACCTGAAGAGGCCACTACAGGTTGCCTGGTTCTTGGCAGGAGGGGGTTAAGGAGGGCAGAGGAAATGCTGTGGCCCAGACTGCTCTGATTGGTCACCTTACACATGGGTATCGTTCCTTTGGAAGTCCGTCTTCTTCAGAGACCTGTGTCCGAGAACCGCTGCACAGGACAGCAGTGTGTGTGCATGGGTTGTGGGCGTGGCCCTAGCGCACAGCTTCAGGCCCTGGGTTCCCTTCCTGGCTCATTTTCTGCTTCATCCCCGTTTCCTCCTCAGCTTCGAGACTCCCAGTACAGAGATCCCAGCGTCTCATGCCCCTGAATGTAAGACAAGGCCAGTCTCTCAGCCCCTCCTTTCTGCCTAAAGTTTGGCTGTGCTGATTTCTGTGTCCTCGAATGCTGTGGTCTTCAGGTCAGCAGGCTGGCGGTGGGAGCAGGGTCGGGCTAGATGTGCTGTCCTTGTGACAGGCAGGACCAGTTTGGGAGAATGGATGGCCCTAGGTGCGGTGTCAGGGATGGACACAGGAGTCAAGTCTGGGCTTACATCTTCTAGCGTGTGCTGTCATGTGCTCAGTCGGCCGTGGCCCAGGAGGATGGGCTTGTTTTGCTTCTCGCGGATGTAGGAAGATGCGCTGGGCATCAGACGCAGCTTGATCTCCTGCTTCTGGCCTCAGGTCACTTACAGCCTCGTGCGGGCAGCGCGTTTGCACAAAATCACTCTCTATGCAGTATAAATGCTCAGTTCTGGGAGAGATTGGCAGCTCGTCACAGCAATCAAGAGGCTGAGTTGTGCCTGGCAGAGCCAGGGGCTCTGCTCTGACGGGGATACCTGCCGCTGCTGGCACTGCATCTTCAGCATGTTGCTAATGTTGGCTCTCCCAGCCTAGGGTGCTTCAGTGAGAGAGAAGCCATTCAGGCTGTTCCTCACTCACTGACTGTACGGGCTTCGTGTACGAGGAGCTTTATATGGATTTGAACCATCTGCCGTTTAATTTTGATATTGTATAGTATTTGATTGTGATAAAAGTGAAATTCTTTCCCTTCCATTTTTTGGTGAGGTGAATGATCTGTATCTGGTTTATCCAGTAACTTCCTGCATATGTATGCTTTTTTTCTTAACGAATAGGCTCTCAGTTTAGTTGCTGTTAAATTCTACTTTGCCCCAAGATGGAAATTGAAGCTGCGTTTTAGCTTTCTTTAGAACTGCTAATGGACTGCGTCCCCCATGACCAGCTCTCTTGTGTTTTCTTGTAGGCTTTGATGGACTCGAATCTTCCAAGGTTACAGTTAGAGCTCTATAAGGAAATTAAAAAGGTAAACCTTTATTTTCCATTATTGAAAAAGATGGTACTTTCAATGTATTGAGCAGTATATGAGATTTTACCTTATGTTTAGTAAGTAAAAATGTTAGAAGGAAAAGCTGTTCGGTAGACTTTATTTTACTTTTCTTCAAAAGGTTATTCTTCATTATGTATTAGATGAGATGGGAATTTAAAATGGTAATTTTTTTTTTGTATCTTCATAATTACGCCCACTAGCCCTTAAAATTTCTAAAGTAGTTAAACATTTAAATGGCCTTTTGTTTAAAACTAGAAATTACCAGTGAACAAAAAGCTTTTGTTTATATGAAGTCATCTTGGTGACTAGTGTCTGTGACTTGAACGTAACACACCGCTCGTTAAATCCTCTCAGAATGGTGCTGCTCGGAGCCTGCGTGCCGCCCTGTGGAGGTTCGCTGAGCTGGCTCACCTGGTCCGGCCTCAGAAGTGCAGGTATGTTGTACACTCTGGATGATGATGAGTATTGCCATTATTTTGGTGGGGGGCCAGCCCCTGGGATCCTGTCCATCTCAGCTCAGACGCTACTTCTTCACAGCTCTTTCCTGTGCTCTGTCTCAAGCCGCCCACCTCTGCCCCTCCAGTCGCAGTTGGTGCCGTCCTGTTTATTTTTCCTTGTAGCACTTACCCTCTCAGAAATACTGTCGCACTTGATGAGTGAGCGCATTCATTTTCTGTCCCACCCTCCCCGCTGGGAACAGCAGGGTCTTCCTGTCTGTCCTGCACTGCAGCCCAACACTGGGAACTGTCTGTCTGCACGTGGTAGTTGCTGACCTTCCAGTCAAATGGCTGGAGGTTGGGTTTCAGCTTCATCACTGTTTAGTGTAAGAATTATAGAAATACATGCCTTGGTCTGTTACCTGAGTTAAAAGTGTGAACGTTAAACTGAATAAAGTTCTGACAAGTTGAAACAGTTCTATCTGAATGAATTGGCAAACAAAAGAAGGACCACAGTTTCCAACGCCTTCCTTCTCTGCTTAACTGGCAAAGCGTACTGATGGCCACAGACCCTTGGCTGCAGGTCCCTGAGGCACTGGTGGGGTGGCCCAAACCCTCCCTATTAATACGAAACATGGATTTATTCCATCCAGTTGGAGTTTAATAAGAATCTTATATGGCTGTTGAGATACAATCACTAAGGAAATTTCTTTTTATACAGCCTTTTGCTTTTCCTATCCTTATTTTGAAAAATTTGTTATATTTCTCAAGTAGTACATCTCAAGTTCTCCACAGAGCAACCAAAGTGACCTTAAAAAAACATGACTGGGTCTGTTCATTGCCTTGAACCCTTTACTCATTTTCCAGAGCTGTTCACATGAAATCAGACTCCTTTACCCTGGCCTGCGGAGGTCATGCCCCGATGGCCCTGGCACCTTAGGCACTCTCCGTGGACTCATTGGCCCAATTTGACTTCCAAAAGTCAGGGTTCTCTTCCTCTTGATGGCTGGTTTAGTTTTCTCCCTCTGACCTGGGCCCAGAGGTCGCCTTCTTAGAAAGGTGGTCCGGCCTCACTAATGGGTGTGGACCTGCTGTTCCTTCTCTGCTGTCGCAGCGCTGACCGCATTCACCATGGGTCCAGGATTCTCGTGCTTCAACTTGTCTGTCCTGGGAGTCGCTCCTCTCAGCCCTGCATGGCCTGCTCTTTCTCTCTAGAGAGAAGTCTCATCTCTAAGGCCTTAGTTCGTTTGAAGACGAAAAAAATGTAACACTGCTTTTCCAAGACAGCTTTATTCTCATTTCTTAACATTTATTTTTAAAGTGGTGTTTTCTTATATTCTGTGTTATCTCCTCATTTAAAATATGAATATCTTAATAACTTACAGTTTTTAAGACAAGCTTTTAGAGTCCTCAGGTTACAGGAGAAACGAAGGCTGAGCATCTCCCAGCATTTGAACTTCATGTGCTTTAGTCCCCCGTTCTTTGAGCTGGGCTCGTCCCCTTGCCATTGCAGACTGTTTGGCATATGGAGCTGGCTTTTCTCCAGCAGGTTCTAAACTAACTGCTGCTGTTCCTCATTGGAGTAGACCTGGCAGAGTAACTGTGCTCGTCTCCCCACGCAGGCCTTACCTGGTAAACCTTTTGCCTTGCCTGACTCGAACAAGCAAGAGACCCGAGGAATCTGTTCAGGAGACCGTGGCTGCAGCCATACCCAAAATTATGGCTGCTTTTGGCAACTTTGCAAACGACAATGAAATTAAGGTACGATTGTTATGCCGAGTCACAGCATGAGAATGCGTCCGGTGGGGCGTTCGGGCTTTTGGATAGGCTGTCGTGTGAGAGTACTTCCTGCCGTCTGCCACGCTGCACGATTTAGGTTGGAGTCTACCGTGTTATTTCGAGGCTCACTGAGAGCTTCTTTCTACTTGTGCTTTCTGACCGTGGGTGAGGAGTGAGATGGGGCTGGTTCATACACGCAAACTCAGAAGGCGGTGTTGCAGAGCAGACTGGTTTTTGGTGGACTAGGCTGGCTCTGTGCCCTGGCTGAGGAGGGGCCATGGTCCCAGCACTGCGTGTCCTGCGGGTCAAGCGCCCTGCCGCTCCCGCGGATCACCGGACTTCCTGCTTGTTCTGTACCCCGACCAGCAGCCTTCCGGCCCGCCGTAGTGTCTCGTTCATAATGTCCAGGAGTTGTGACCCTCCTCAGGGCCTGAGGGCTCCACATTTTGTGGGTCAGCACTGTGTTGGTGTCTCTTGGTATTTCCCTCCACATTTCCAAATCCTGCTGGTTTTGGATTTTTAACTGCGGAAGAGATGACTAGAGCTCTGCCACCCCCCATCCTCTCACTGTAGTCGCATCACTGTTCAGGGTGTGTATTATTAGGCCTCAGTAAATAGCCACATCCAGCTGTGTCCTGTGCTGTGATTCGATTTCTTTGTACAACTTTTGGGTTATTCTGGAGTTAATAATTGCCTTTTTTCCCCTTGCGTATTACTCTTTGGCCATTTGCATCTTCTCGTACCTTCCAGCTGCTTTGTAAACTGTATCTCAGTAGTTTCCACAAGACAGATCATTTACTGGATCATTTCCCCATGAGAGTCCCCAGTCTTAGAGCTGTCTGGCAGCTGCTCAGGCCCAGTCAGGATGCTCTCTAGGTCTGTCACACAGTCGCGCCGCAGGACTCTTCCCTGCTGTCATCCTGGGAATCCCTCTGGCTGCTGCCCCGTTGGATGCCTCATTCCTGGGTGCTGCGTCTGTATCTCCCTAGGCTTGCTCCCTTGTTGGGTCTCGGTCCTGCCAGCTGCCTTGTATGAGGCATTCTCAGGGTTGTGGGATTTGGACCTGAGAAGGCTCCCTTGAGCTCTCATTCAGGTTTATTATTTATTATTCCAGACTGTTTAGGTTCACCAATGGGCTGATGTCAGAATGATGCTTAGCTTTCACTGTATTTAGAAGTTTGGACTAATACAGAATGATTCTTAATTTCCTATTTCAGTAATATGTTTGTGTGTTTTCACTCAAAGGAGCTCTTTGAGAGGCCAGCATCTTTTCTTGGAGCTAAAAAGAAAAGCTTTGTCAGAGATAATTTGACTGGGTGATGTCTCTGGGGAGGAACTGGAGGCCACCGACCATGGGGCGTCTGTGGCCGGGGGTCTGGGCCTTCACCTCTCTGGCTTTAGAGATCTACTGTGAGCTCACTGCGAGTTGAGGAAGCTCCGAGAACCGGCTTTTGCTAACCACACTGTTAGGGAGAAACTGTTTCTAAGGCAGACCCAGTGTGTTAATTGGATGCTGGTTTGCCTGGGGTCACACCCCCAGTGGGGGGACCTAATGGCGTCCCTGACTCTGCATCCCCGACTCCATCAGCGTGCTCCGCGTGTGCTGAACTGTACATGTTTAGAGCAGTGGGAACGGATAGTAGGTGACATCACGAGACGCAGGCAGCTGGGCTGTGGCCGGTCCACGCTTGGGCTGTTGCTGAGGCTTCAGTGGCCAGGTTAGAGTTGCGCAGCCCTCCTCTAGGCTGTCCTGGCCCCAGGGACCATGTCTGTCCTGTGTTTCTTAGGAAAACGGTGTGAGCAGCGCAGTATGCGGCACAGTTCAGTTCAGGCGCGTGTCTTCTAGCCCTGAGGCTGGCACGCGGCTGTAGTGGGACAGTGCTCTCCTTGGCCTCATTGTTTTCCATTTGTCTTTTTACGGCACTTATTTCACAGTGTCATTTACTGAGCCTGTCCCTGAATACTGTGGGTTCAGCTTTTCCAGCACTAAGGCCTCCACTGGTGTGGAGGACACTGGCGCCAGCAAGTCCCGACTGGCAGTTTACCAGGCAGCAGATAGACCACGTGTTCGCAGACTGCTCTGGAATCCCCCAGATTTGGGTGCTTCTTTCTGTTCAGCGTAGAAAGGTCTCAAATTGCTGATAAGTCGCGCTCTGTAAGGATTCGGGGCGAGCTGTTTCACGAAGCACCTGAGAAGCTTCACAGGAGCCTCCTTTTCTGCCCATTGGGGTTCTTGCTTCCATAGGTTCTGCTAAAGGCTTTCATAGCGAACCTGAAGTCAAGCTCCCCGACCATTCGGCGGACGGCGGCGGGCTCCGCGGTCAGCGTGTGCCAGCACTCCAGGAGGACGCAGTACTTTTACAGCTGGCTCCTAAACGTGCTCATAGGTGAGCTGCGGATAGCGGTATGCTTTTCCCCACGCATGTGTGGCAGTCTCCAGCATTTACTCGGAGCAGACCTTTGAAATTGTTTAAAATCAGGCAATCCCTCAGCTTCCAGACCACGCCCTTGGGCGCTGGCTGACCCGTAAATGGGAACCCACGTGGGTCTGTGAGGATGGGGACAAGCTGCTGCTCCTTTGTGCCCAGCCTGCCGCCTCACTGCCTTCCTGGGCCTGGCTCTCGTGCTGCCAAACTGCACAGTGGGACGTGGTGGCTCGGAGTGCTGAGTTGCTGAGGCCCTGCAGGTTCTCTGCATGGTTGCAGGTCTGCTGGCGATGTGTCCTGTGCACGGGGGGTTGTGGAAACCAACACGAGCAGATGCCGAGGGGCACGTATGGCCATTTGATAGGAAGGAACCACTGGCCTTGCAAATGCCATAAGACACTGTAAAGGCCTTGCTGAGCTAAGGGTGGAAGGGTACCCTTCAGAGCCACCCCTGGAGATTGGCCCCAGCAGGATACACATGTACACAGTGCTGTCTGTGCCATCTTTCTCTCTCATTGTCAGCCTCAGATAGGGTTCTGCTGGGGAGCACTGTGTTTTAATGTGAGTCTCCGAGCAGCCCGGCAGGTGTTAAGAAACCTGGTTGGTGGCTGCCTTTCCAGGTCTGCTGGTTCCTGTTGAGGATGAGCACCCCACCCTCCTGGTTCTTGGGGTGCTGCTCACTCTGAGGTACTTGGTGCCCTTGCTGCAGCAGCAAGTCAAGGACACGAGCCTGAAAGGCAGCTTCGGGGTGACTCGGAAAGAAATGGAAGTCTCTCCCTCGACAGAACAGCTGGTCCAGGTAGGAGCCCCTGACTTGACCTCGTGCCAATACGTAAGTGACGGCGACCTGGAGAGCCAGCTCCAAGGGCTGAGAGCACAGACTCTGGAGCCAAACCGCCTGGTTCAGATCCTAGGTCACAACCCCTGGCTATGTGACCTCCGTGTGGCAGTCACACCAGAGTGAAATGAGAGTAAGTAAGCTCTCATAAGGCTACCGAGAGTGTTACATAAACCCCGCAGGGCCCTGCCTGGCACAGAGAACACTGTTCCCCGTTCCTCAAATCAGGGCACGTGAGCTGTGCTCCCCCTCAGCCATGTTTGTACACATGGTAAGGTGCGTACTGGTTTTTCATTCAGTTTTAGACTCAACTTCTAGGCAAAGCACATGTGATTTAATGCCCACACGAGTGTGTAAATGTCAGCCCTGGTAACATGAAAGTGATGATGTTGCTGACAGAATTTGGGGGTGCAGGTGAGGCGAAGGCAGTAAGTCAGTGCATAGTTAGTGCGTTCACAGTAGTCGGCCTCACACATCTAGGCGTAGGCTGACCATCTGGGAGGAGCCAGTGCACAGCAGCCACAGACGATAAACACAGACATGGCCGCGCTCTGTGACACTTGTGCACACAAACAGGCGGCAGGCCAGGTTTGCTGAGGACTGCGGTTTGCGGACCTGTCACCTTGAGTTAGGGGGCTTTCCACCAGAAGAACTAAAAATAAGTGATTAAAAGTAGCTACAGCTGAGACTTTTATTTTATACCCTTCTATACTGTCTCTTTTTTTTAATTTGTGTTACTTTTATGATGTTAAAGGTCGGGCTGCCCAACTCTGGAAATAAAAATAACAGCGTGCCAGTTAAATTTGAATTTCAGATAAATCATGAATAATTTTGTTTGTAAGTGTGCCTGAAATCACGAGACATACTATACTGCAAAATTATTTGTTGTTTATCTGAAATTCAGATTTAACTGGGTGCTCTGTACTTTATCTGGCAACTCTAATTAAATGGAAAAGGGGTAAATTCATTACGTCTGTATTATGTGATACAGTATCATAAGCACTCATCAAATTTGAGATAATGCCTTTAAAATGGTTGGAAACTGTTTCTCAGTGGCACTCATGACAGTGGCTCTTGCTTATTAAATGTGTGTCAGAGTAATCGCATCCAGTGAGTATTGAGCTTTATTGCCCCTGTTCTGGTCACCAGTGTAGCGAGACGGAGATCTGCTTTTGTGGAAATGCCCTACTTACGTTTAAGGAATTAATATAACAATGAAAAACGTCCTGGGAATTTAGAAAGCAACATGGAAGCTAGTGATCACAGTGGTAGAAGTGAAAGAGAAATTTTAAGGGGCAGAAATTAAAGCATAAATTTTGCCAACATAAGCCTATCAAAAACAAAGGGAGACCTAGCACACACTTTAAGAAGCTTGCGGTGCCACGTGTGTTTTCTGTCTGCAGGTGTACGAGTTGACCTTGCATTACACGCAGCACCAGGACCACAATGTGGTGACTGGCGCCTTGGAGCTCCTGCAGCAGCTCTTCAGGACCCCTCCCCCGGACCTCCTGCAGGCCCTGACCACAGCCGGCGGCCTCGCACAGCTGCCTACCACCCGTGAGCGGCCAGGTTGCCGGAGCCGCAGCGGCAGTATTGTGGAACTTATAGGTGAGTGGTCAGGAAGGGCGACTCTTCCAGCTGACCCTGCAGGAACGCTAGTTACCCTCTGGAGTCACGGGCCAGCACTGTGCCAGGAAGCTTATATCTCCAATTCCAACAGTTAACAGCTCAGGTAGCGGCCGTATAGTCTACAAGCGGAAGAACTGACACGTAGAAGGTGCAGTGGCAAAGTGAGGTCAGCTCTGACTCGGCCGCCTCCGCGTGGGGAAGGTGCCTCTAGGACCTGTCATCTCTGTCACTTTGCCGGAGATGGCACCTTCAGGTCTCCCTAGGGATTTTCGAGTTTCTTTCTGCTCCCCGGTCCTATTTGCTGTCCTGACTGCCCGTTCCTCCTCTGGGCGCCTCCTGTGCCTGGTCTGTGCCCTTCTCCTGTGTGCTTTCGGGGTTGGGCCCTGACCCCACCATCCTGTGCTGTTGCACACCGACCACTGCTTTTCCTGCACACAGCGAGTGGGCCCCATCTGGCATGGAGTCGCCCCTTGGGCACTGAAATAGATGGGGAGCCCTGCATCGCAGCCTGGGGACCGAGTGTGGCAGTGAGGAGGCTTCTGGCACTCATGGCCTGTCCTGGGCCCTGAGCAGTGTGGTCGGTTTAGTGCAGCATGCGTGCGTGCAGTGTGGTGCCACACACGAGACAGACTTTGAGTCATTTGTCTGATTGCTGCTTCCTTTAACATAAATGTTCCTAAACCATGAGCAGAAAATATTACTACCATGTTTCCCTGAAAATAAGACCTGGTCTTTTTTTAATTTTTGCTCCAACAATCTACACTTATTCATTTATTCATGTACAGAAATCTACATTTACTCAAACAGTCATGTCTGGCTGACGATCTTAACTGGGGCTTATGTTTGGGGTAGGACTTACATTACGAGCATCCTGAAAAATCATGCTAGGGCTTATTTTCCACTTAGGTCTTATTTTTGGGGAAACACGGTATGTCTGTTCAGTGTCCTTGGTCCTGAAGAATCATTTCCCCTACGGATTGCATGCCTTACAAACAGTTGCTGAAATACTCATTTCTAATGATCGTTTCTAATGGAAACTTACATTTGATTATTAGTTGACCACATAATCTGAGATTTCTGATGCTTTTAATTTGGCTTTTTAAATGCACTTTATTTGAGCTCTTGTGACGTTTTTGGCCATATTTTTAAAACTGTGTATTTGAGTATTTTCCTGTCGAAATTCAAGTGTTGCACTATGGTGCTTAAGCACTGCCTATGGGAATATGTTCACATATGCTCTAATTTTAAAGTTGAATCAAGCTTTTTGAATTTTCTAATTCCTTCTGGAATTCAGCAGCTTGTTACCTTACTTTCATCTGTCATTTTCTGTGATTTGCAGCTGGAGGGGGTTCTTCATGCAGCCCTGTCCTTTCAAGAAAACAAAAAGGTGATTATTTCAGAAATCAGAATTTTTAATCTTACTGATTTTTCTGTATTTCCATAATGCAATCAACTGTGCTATATGTCTTCTCAGCAGAGTGATTCATTATATGTCTAAATGTTGCTGGAATTGAATATGCCTAGTAGGGTGGCTTTTAAAAATTGCTTGTGTATCAGAATTGCTTTGTTATAAGTTTCTAATGTTTTAGGTCAGGGGTCAGCAAACTTTTTCTGTAAAGGGCCAGGTCGTGCATGTTTTAGCCCTGTGGGCCTTACTGTCTCCTTTGCAACTTTCGGCTCTGTCCTGTGGCAGGAAGGCAGCCATGGACAATAAACTCTGAGCTAATGGATGTGGCTGCGTCCAGTGGTCACAGAAGTAGGCAAGCTGCAGCCTGCCTACTCCTGCTTTAGGGAATGTGTCATATTTTATAAGATAACTTACCTCCCCGGTAAATTTGTTTAATGTTAGTCAGGAATAATGTCTGGTAAATTATTCAGTTAATTTGGGCCTGGTTATAATTTTCAGCTGTATCTAGCTTTGTAGCTTCCAGAGTGTTCTGATGCAATTAATTTCTTCTTATTGGATCAAAGTATTTCTGACATAATCTGATAGTGTCGGTACACATTGTCACCTTGCAACACCAGTCATTATTTTCTTTTCCAGTGTAGGTTTCCATAGGAAATAGTTGCTGTCATTTTGTATTATGAAATATTACAAGACTAATTCTTTTTTTTTTTTTTTAAGATTTCTATTGGGGAATTGGGGGATGGAAACAGCGCTGGGGAATTGGGGGAAGGGGAACAGACAAGTTGCTGTCGTTTTGTTCTTCAGTCTAGTTGTGGAGGATGATGCTTCACTGGCCCAAGTTGGCACCATCATTGCGCTCTTCCTAGGCGAGGCAGATCAGTTGCCGGCTTCTGGGTGGCCGCTCACTGCGGCTGCTGGCCGCTCAAGCTGGCTGCTGGCTACACACGGTATAGCCCATGGCAACCCACTGCAGCAGGGGCTGCAGCATACGCTGTCGCCGGCGACTCATGGCATCCCAGCTCCAGGTTGAGCTGTTGTTCAGCATCTTAGCTGTAGAGGGCAGTGTCACTGGCCCTCATATGTGGAATCCGAACTGGGGCCCTCTGGCATCCCAAGCCAGCTCTTAAGCAACGCGCCACTCGGCCGGCCTGACTAATTCTTTTTTTATAGAGGTTAATTGATGTACAGCATACTAATCTTTTTTGTGTCATGAGTTGAGTGTTTGCGAGCCTGCTGCCTAATATTTGCAGTATTGAATGGGATATTAACAGGAATAACATTCTAGCCTTGACCAAGTTAAGTAAACATTTCCTAGAAGAACTTAGAAGCAGTAATATTTGGGCCATCACAGTGTGGGATACTTAATCAACTGTCAGAATTTGGTGAAACACTGAGATTATTCGAGAGAGATTCCAGGAAAAGCTAGTCTCTCTATTGAATCTGGAGGCGATTTTCGGGCACGTGACTAAGTGACTCCGATGCTTGTTGTGTTTGTTTCCAGTGATGGCCGAGTCACGTGCTTGACATGAGCTGTTTTGTTTTTTTCTGGCCAGGACATGGGATATGATGTCCTCAGTCTCTTATCTTTCCAGTGTTTTGATTTTCATTTAGAGCTGTGGTTTTCAAACTTTTGTTATAGCCTCAAAATTACTGTTTTTTTTAAGTGAGATCTGCCGCTATATAAGAGAGGTAAAAGCAGAGTTGCTGGATGTAGGGTCAGGTGAGGCTGGGCGTGTGTGGCCTGGCATCGCTTCTCTGGCAGTGGTTGCTCCCCGCTTCCCCTCCTCCAGATACTGACTGCTGATTTGGGGGGCAGAGTGCTTCTTAGCACCTGAGCTCATGGGGGAGGAGGGGCGGGGGTATCTGCTTTCTCAGGGTAAACTGCTTGTTCTGTAATAAAGAATTATTTAGCAGATAAACTTAAGTCCTATGTCAGTTTGATCTAAATTTGGGTTTTCTTTGCTTTTTTTTGCCTTTAATGTCACATCAGTGTAGAGTTTTGGAAGTTGTTAAACCTGTGACCTGGCCTTTGAAGAGCTGTGAAATTAGAAGTTGCCAATAATTATTTTGACAGTGTCACTTAATGACATTTATATATAATGTAACCATAAGATTTAATGAGTCCAGTTAAATCATAGTTTGGAAACCATAAGCTAAAATGTAGTTTTAGGACTTTGCAAAAGATGAAATATTATTCCATCCTCCTAGATCATATAGTGCTTGAGTTCTGATTATCAGCCATAGAATCCAGCAAATGAAAAGATAATAAAATAAAAGTGACTTTAAGGTGTAAAAGTTTTATATATAAATTCTGATGTGCCATTGCAGATATGACATGAATATCCCAAGGGCTAATATTGGGTTGTTGGAAGAGTCATGGCGTATTTTTTCTATGTTTTTTGTTGCAAAAATGCGTCATGACTTTTCCAACAACCCAGTAGAATTGGTTCTGGCCATAACTTACCATTTTTAAAACTAAATAGTAATATGAATTATTTATCACTAACAGTCATCTTAAGTCAATACATATTTAGTAATTATTAAAATACTTTGGCACAGCTTGAGAATTATTGCTTTAAACTTTTTTCCACAAAGGTCTATTGATTTGAATAATGCTCTGTAATATCTCTGCATTCTTTGTGTTTAGCACTCTAGAGGCGCTAAAATGTTTAAATAGCATGATAACCTGTGTGAGAGGGGAATCGGTATGCTGGTGAGTTTGCACTCAGACTGAGATGGTTTGGTTGTCCAAGGCCTTCCTTTTGGCGAGCTTAAAGGTCTCCTGCTGCGTCATTTCCTAGGGAAAGTGCTCTTCGGAGAAGCAGCGGCCTTGGAGGACGACTCCGAGTCCAGGTCGGAGGCCGGCAGCCCAGCCTTTGCAGGTAGTTCTCGGGGTGGCAGTGGCGCCATCCTGCGTCCTCTGCTGGATCCACTTCTGCCTGTCCTGCCCTCACTGCACCTGCTCCTGGTGGATAACTCGGGCTCCTCTAGAATGTTTACTCTGAAACGTGTCTTCTTGTATCAAATATTTGCTGTTTTCCTTGGTTTAGGCTGTTTTAAAATTAGGTTCATACTCCTTGAGTAGGGGTAGTGGGTAAAAGTGTCTCATGAACTCTCCGGTTTGGGAGGGGAAAGACGGGGTTAAAAGTTGTCTGTGTATAATTTAAATTGGGAGAATTCTGTTTGTTTACAGAGAGTTATCTAACTAAGTTCTCTATTCCCCTTATAAATGATGAGTATTGACTAAGATACTAATAATTGGGTTAAATGAGGGTGGTTTGGGTTGTACAACATAATCCTATCCAAAAGAATATTTTTAGATAATGGAAAATAAGGCTAAAATATTTGGGGATGAAAATCTGAATAACCCCTGTGGTGATTATTAATCATTTATTTTACAAAATAGAAACTGATTTCTAATTACAGAAATAAAGTTAAAACAACAAAAAAGACAGCTGCCTACAGCATTATAAATAAAGCTTAGGTGCCCACTGACGCAGTGGCCTCCCGGGTTCCCACTGCTAATGGCTTGCGGTAGGTCTTTTTGTGGTGGTTTTTATGCAGTGTTGTTTTTAGTTGGAATTTCAACACTAAACGAGGGAATTGTGGTGCATATTTATACTACAGGAGAGTAGAACCGGCTTAGAGGTCTTGAACAGGGTCTGGGAAGAAAGAAAGCCCCCCTCAAAGCGATGGTGAATTCATGTCCTGTCTGAGCACTGCTCGCCTGGGCGTCGGTGAGTGCGGCCCGTGCCCCTGACTGGCCGCCTGGGAACCACCCGCGTACCACAGGTCATTACCTGTGCCTCTGAGCCATGGCTGCAGCGGCTGCCTAAGAACTTGACGTGGTGACGTTACTGGGCATATGTGAGGTTTGCAGTAAAATGCCCATTGGGAATATTGATAGCACTTAAAAAGTACCGCCTGCTGACCCTTATTTTATTATAATAATATGGCGGAAGGTAGGTAAATAACACAGGGGGAAGCAACTTTGTTCATTTTTGAAGGATGCACCGTTGCCTTGCTTTTGATGTATACTGTTAGGTTGTCGGAAGAGTCATGACGTATTTTTTCTGTGTTTTTTGTTGCAAAAATGTGTCATGACTTTTCCGAGTGCATATTTTCACCACATTTCAGGCTTTTTTTTGCAGTTGAAATGGTGATAGTGAATTTTAGGGTATTTTACAAACATTTGATCCCTACTGAATATTTTTCCCGGCCCTTTGAGGAATGGGTGTTTCTTTGTGTTTAGCCTCAGCCAAGGGTGAGATCAGCGGTGAGCTGGCTACTTCTTCTGGGCTCTCCACTCCTGGCTCTGCCAGCTCAGCTGCCGACTCCACGAGTCACGACATCATCACTGAGCAGCCCCGGTCCCAGCACACGCTGCAGCCAGACTCGGTGGATCTGGCTGGCTGTGACCTGATGAGCACGGCCACTGACGGGGACGAGGAGGACATCTTGAGCCACAGCTCCAGCCAGATCAGCGCTGTCCCCTCCGACCCTGCCATGGACCTGAATGATGGGACCCAGGCTTCCTCACCCATCAGTGACAGCTCCCAGACCACCACCGAAGGGCCGGATTCAGCCGTGACCCCTTCGGATAGTTCTGAGATTGTAAGTGGCTGGGAGGGATTCCCCGGTTTCTGCACAGGGGTCTTCCCTAAAGGCCCAGACTTGGGCCTTCTGCTCATTCTCCTCTGTCCGTCTGACCCACTAATAACAGTGCGGAGGCCACCAGCTCCGATCATTAACGGAGAGCTTGACACCATCTGAGACCTTCACTGAAGGAAGTGGCTGAGTGTCATTTGTGTTGAACATGGAGGCCCCAAATTAGTTGATGATGTGGACTCTGCTAAAATGAGTGCATTTGAAATTGTTTAAGACCTTGTGGGGCACAGGGGAAACCATTATTTTAAAAAATCTTTAAGAAGCCTATTAACAGACCTGTGGGTTTAATGCAGTGTAGTTAATAACAATAATACTATGCATTATCTTAACACTTTTTGACTTTTCAAAATGTTTATAAGGCATCTCATCCATAGAGCATGGATTGAAGTACCTCTGATCTCTGAGTCAGTGGACAAGGAACGCTTCACGGATGTTTTAATAAAAAAGTTTGGTGCAAGCACATACTAGATTTTATACCCAATCTTATTTTAAAAATTTGCACATTAAGTGTTTTGCTACTGTTGAATCCATTTTGTTAAGACCATGGTTTTGTTTTTTATTTGGCTAAATACAGAAACGCTGAATTACAAATCATGGGATGAAGCATGTGCATGTCCCCTTCGACCAGTTGTCACGTGGATGTGATTTCTAATGGCCACGTGGGTTTAGTTACTCGTTAGAGAAGTAGGCTCGTTGGTAGTGTTTTTCACCAGAGGCTTGGGGAGGACGGGACAGATCATGGGAACAGAGGGCCACGATGTTAGGCAGGGAGTGCAGGCACTTTGCCCAGCACACAGGGAGCAGGACGGGCTGGGAGAGTGCTGGGCACAGGAGCGTGTGAAGCCTGCGCAGGGGTCACACCAGCTCCCATGATGTCTTGCCTCTTTATAGTAGATGGTTTCTGGACAGACTTGTTAAAAATAGAAATGAATGACCACAGAAACACTGGGAGTGTTTCAGCAGAGGCTGAGTGAGTGACAGTGCTGGTGGTCAGGCCTAGCAGGTCTCTGGCCCATAGGGAGCTAAGCACCTTCCCTTGAATTCCCACTTTGGTGTAGTTCTTTCTAGTTGATGAAATGCTTCCATCTTGTATCCAGTTATTAATGTTTTGCTGAACAAGTGTATTGAAGACTTAGTATGTTCTAGGGAGTGTTCTACAAACCGGAGATGAGGTCCAGAGCGTGACATGCAAAACTGCTCGCATGAAGCTAATATCCTAGAGGAGTCCTCAAGCTTTCCATGTAGGACCAGAGAGTAAATATCTTTGGCTTTCTGAGCCATGCAGCCTTTGTCACATCTCTGCTGTTGTAATGTGAAAGCAGTCATGGAAAACATATAAACAAATGAGCATTGCAGAGTTCCAGTAAAGCTTTATTTACAAAAACCAGGTGGTGGGCCAGGTTTGGCCCAGAGGTCATAGTTTGCCTACCCCTGTTCTAGAGCATGTACATGTGCATAGGGCAGGTCATTAGCTAATAGTCAATAAGTAAACACATAGAGGGATATAAGTGCCGTAGAGAAAAATAAACCAATTGAAGGGGATAGGGAGTTGCTTCACGAGTCAGTTCAGTATGGGGTAAGGGGCTTGGCCTACGGGGAGCCTGGCAGCGTGAGAATTCGGGCTCTGCCGTGAGCTGTGCAGCCTGGAGCAGCTCCGTCCCTTCTGCCTTAGCTTCTTAACCAACAAAACGGGAGCGGTAACAGTGCTCGTGTCGTAAGACTTAGGAAGACCAGGGCACGCAGTCAATGTGATGTGCTTCAGATCCTGCCTAAGCTGTAGTGAAGTATTCAAAACGATTTTTACTGTGACATTTTTATTGTGCTGTTTTTTGTTGTTTTTGTAAACTAATCTGGAGGATGGAGAGGGGAGGAAATTGATTTTTGTTCGTCGTTTTTGATCATGTAGCTTGATTTTTTTAAATTTAATTAAAAGGATTTGGAATGATTATTGGAAAATGGTATAGAATTTATTTTAGTAATAATTTACTAGCATATTGAGGGTTCATCATTCAGTTTTTCAGGTAAATTACATGGGATTTCAACTGAATGTGAAAAAATGTTGCAGTATGGAATTATTACCCAGCTTATGGCTGCATGTATGAAATACTGTGTCCAAAGCTTAGTTGATTAAGTTCTCACAATTTAGGACATAGCCATGAGGTGTGATCAAACAATACGATGAATGTTTCAATAAAAAAATTTATTATGTTGCCATTAATCCCCCTCAAAATACTCCCCCCTCGCTTTGAACACACTTAGCCCATCATTCTTGCCACTTTCTGAAGCAGTTCTGGAAGTCTTCTTTCATGAGTGTTTTTAGTTGTGCTGTCATGGCTGCCTTGATGTCCTGAATCATTTTGACTTTGGGGAAGGGCCGGAAGTCACATGGTGCCAGATCCAGTGAATAAGGCGGATGAGGACACACTGTAATGTTTTTATTTGACAGAAATCGCCATACCAGAAGCGATGTATGACACAGAGTGTTGTCATGATGGTGGATAACTTACTGCACACTTGATTGATTGATTGATTGATTGATTGATTTTTAAAGATTTCATTGGGGAATTGGGGGAGGGGAACAGCGTTGGGGAATCAGGGAGGGGGAACAGACAAGTTGCTGTCCTTTTGTTCTTCAGTCTAGTTGTGGAGGACGTCACTTCACTGGCCCATGTTGGTATTATCATTGCGTTCTTCCTGGGTGAGGTATTCTCTTGTCGGCCATTGGACGGCCACTCACAGTGGCTCACAAAAGCTCACACCTGCTGCTGGCCACTCACGGCAGCCTACGCCATCGCCGGCGACTCACGGCAGCCTAGTTCCAGGTTGAGGTGTTGTTCACCATCTTAGCTGTAGAGGGCGCAGCGTCACTGGCCCTCAATGTGGGATCCAAACCGGGGCCATGCGCATGCTCAGAGCTTGATGTCCCAAGCCAACTCCTAACCAACACGCCACTCGGCTGGCCCTACTGCACACTTTAAAACACACCTTCTCTCAACCGTGGCTCACACCTGACTGACTGCACTGAACAAGTTGAAATTTGTCACACACTGTTACTAAGGTTCGACATACCGCTTCCTGTATTGAAGATCCCTGCATTTCCATTGGATGGCACCTGGCAGCAGCATTCATCATAGTTTTTGATCACAACAGAAAAGCTTTCTGTCACACATCTCTTCTGGTATATGGCAATTTCTGTCCAATAAAAACACTGGTGTGTCTTTATCCACCTTATTCACCGGATCTGGCATTGTGTGACTTCTGGCTATTCCCCAAAATAAAAATGATCGTGAAAGGAAAATGTTTTGAATTGATTCAGGACATCGAAGCAGCCACGACAGCGCAACAGCCTGTCACTCAAAAAAGAGGACTTCCAGAACTGCTTCAGAAAGTGCCAAGAACATTGGGATAAGTGTGTTCAAAGCGAGGGGGAATATTTTGAGGGGGATTAATGGCAATGTCTTTTACTGTAAAAATTTTTTAAAAATGTAAACATTCACATTGTTTGATCACATTGTATTATATTAGGTTTTTGTCTAAAAGATTTGTACTCATTTTTCACTTGCTGTAAAAATTGCTTGTGAAGATAAAAATTTTGTTTAGGGTTTTTTTTTGTTTTTTTTTTAAATATCAAAAAGAAATGTCCAGATTGGAATTCTTTGGAATTTTTCGAGTTATAAAAGCTTTTGAAAATGTAGTAGTAACGTGTGATCAGTGAGCTCTCGGTAATTTATACACGTGTCTACTTGCATTTGAGGAATGGCCTTGCATTAGTGTGTACGACATGGGCCGTGTCACATAGGAGTTTTGCCTTTGCCCTTGCATGTCAAGGCTTGTCCTTAGCAGCGACACCTCAGAGCCTTCACAGCCTCTCTCGGACCGTTTAGGTGTTAGATGGTGCTGACAGCCAGTACTCAGGGATGCAGCTGTCGCCGCAGGACGAGGACGAGGACCCCACAGGTGTTCTTCCTGATGAAGACGCAGACGCTTTTGGAAGCTCTTCAGTCGGTATGTTGACTTCAGCCAATCTGCCCCCAAATGGTCTTTTTTTCAACCCCGATGTCTTAGTTTTATTTTAGCTTCCAGGAAGAAATCTCGATAGCTGTATTTTCTGAGCTGTAAATAGCAAATGAGGAAAAACAATTGAGGAGTGATTGTCTTTTTTCTTGATCTAACTCCTTCCTGTACTTTCATGTTGACTATGTGTAAATATGTGTATTTCTGTTTTAATGGGAAGCTTGCCACTTAATCTTGATTTCTCTGTTTTTTTAAGCCCTTCAACAAGCACATTTATTGAGCAGCATGGGCCACAGCAGGCAGCCCTCTGACAGCAGCATAGATAGGTTTGTGTCGAGAGAGGAAGCAGCTGAACCAGGAGACCAAGAAAACAAGGTGAGAGACGTGGGCAGCGGTCTGAGCTCGTGCGTGTTGAGTCAGTGCAGTACCCTGTCTGCCATGCGTCGGGCCCTCCTGAGCTTTTGCTCAGCTTTGCCCTTTAAATCGGGACCTTTGCCCGGGCCTACTCTGACGCCTGCCTCCCCAGGCCCTGGGAATCTCTGGGCGCCCTCCCCAGACCAGCCTGTCTTACCTGGTGGCCACCTCACCTGAGTCCCAGGCCATTCATTTGATGGTCATGCGTGGCCTTACTACATTTCTTGTTTATGTTCCATTTAATTGATTTGTTTGTTTTTTTATGATGGTAAATAAAATATACGTAACATAACATTTGCCAGTTCAGTGGCACTAAGTACTTGCACGCTATTGTGAACATCTCCACCATCATCTCCAGAAGTTTCCATCTTTCCAAACTGACACTCTGTCCCCACGAAGCATCTCCCTATCTCTTCCCCCAGCCCCTCGTCACCTCCATTCTGCTTCCTGTCTCTGCATTTGATGCCTCTGGGGACCTTACAGAAGTGGAATCACACAATGTTTGTCCTTCTGTGTCTGGCTTATCTCACTGAGCATGATGTCTTCCATGGTGTACAGGTGTCAGGGTTTCCTTTCTGTTTAAGGCTGAATGGTAGTCCATTAAGTGTGTACACCACATTTTGTTTTTCTGTTCATCCATCGATGGACACTTGGGTTGCTTCCATCTTTTGATGATTGTGAATTATGCTGCTAGGAACGTGGGGGAACAAATATCTCTTCAGTACCCTGATTTCAATTTTTGGGGGTGCACACCCATATGTGGAATGGCTGCTCGTTCTGTGTCTAAGGTTTTGAAGAACTTTCTGTTCTCCCAGTTGATTTGAAATTCCTCAGGGCAAGAAATAGTGTTTTGTACTTAGTCCTACATAAATGCTCAATCTTAACAGTTCCTTCCAGGTCCCCACGCGCCAGGCCTGCCCCCCCCCCTCCCCGATCGTGCCTTCCAGGTCCCCGGGCGCCTGCCCCCCCCCCCCCCCGATCGCCCAGGCCCCTCCCTCTGCCTGCAGGCCTGTTGTCCTCAGGGCAAGAAATAGTGTTTTGTACTTAGTCCTACATAAATGCTCAATCTTAACAGTGCCTTCCAGGTCCCCGGGCGCCAGGCCTGCCCCCCCCCCTCCCCGATCGTGCCTTCCAGGTCCCCGGGCGCCAGGCCTGCCCCTCAGCCCCGGGCTTTCCCCAGGCCCCTCCCTCTGCCTGAGAGCTTCTTGTCCTGTAGACGCCGGCTCAGGCTGTCCCTGCCCACGCAGCCTCTCCTGAGTGCCGGGGCTCAGCTGCCTTCCTATCCCGTGTGCCCTCCCTGCCAGTTAGGCTGAGCTCATCCCTGCCACAGCCCACGTGACCCTCTGACCGGTCTGTTGTGCCCACCGTGGTCTGTGAGGTCAGGCGTGTACCTGGGCAGAGAGAGGCGTCTGCATCCCAGCACCCCGCATAGTTGCCTGGGAACCATTTGTTTAAGGGGCGAATGAACGAATGTATTGGTTCTCTGACAAACAAGTTTCTGTAAGACAAACAAGTGTCAGTTTCTGTGTTCTAGCCTTGCAGGATCAAAGGTGACATAGGACAGCCTACCGACGAGGATTCTGCTCCCCTTGTCCATTGCGTCCGCCTTTTGTCTGCTTCATTTTTGCTAACTGGGGAAAGAAATGGTAAGTATGGAAGGGCAGCTACAGAGTTGAGGGAAATTAGTAGGTGTCACAGGTCAGATGGGTGACAGTTTAGTGCCTCGTTAGTGCAGCCCAGAGAGTCATTTGGGTGAGTGAGCGTCGGTTTTCACTGACTGGCGGGCGGAGGGAGGGATGGTGGGGCAGCTGCTTTCGCGGGCCAGTGTGTGTGTCTTTGGAAATGAAGTGTTGGCAGCTTTGAAGGTAACCCAAATGGTTCCTTTGCAGCGCTGGTTCCCGACAGGGACGTGAGGGTCAGCGTGAAGGCGCTGGCTCTCAGCTGTGTGGGAGCTGCTGTGGCCCTTCACCCCGAATCTTTCTTCAGCAAACTTTACAGAACACCCCTCGAAACCATGGAACACTCTGGTACGTTCAGGCTCGCCTCTTCCTCCTCATGGGTCGTCATTGTTTTGAAAACTGTTTCAGACCATCTTGGCTATTTCAGAGCAGGAAGTTTTTTGAGTTGATTTGTGGCATTTGAACTGTGTCGTACGTAGTCTCCATCAAATACACAGATAGTAATTAGTGTCGCTTTCTGGACCCCTGTCCACGGGATGTTTAGGTGAAATGCACATAACAAAACAATGGAATTCCAGGAATTTAAGGCCGGAATAAATGCATTGGGTTAATACCTAAAGCGCGAAGTGTGTGTGATCAGCATTGCCTGGGTCACACTGAGCCTGGCTAGACGTTCACTCTCAGACACATGGGCACAGCACGGCCGCGGCAACAGCAGGTCCCTTCTCACCGTGGAGTAGGTGGTGGGAAGAACCCACTTGGGAATTCGCCTCCGCCGTCTACTCTGTGTGTGGGCGAGGTGGCAAACTTGTGCTTTTAATTTATGGTAGGTGAGTGTAGACCCGTTTGGTTTGAGTTTCTCTGATCTTTTTGAAATGAAATCCTAGAATTTGCTTATGGGCTGACCACCTGGAATTACCACCTGTTACAGCAGCGGTTCTCAACCTTCCTAATGCTGCGACCCCTTAATACAGTTCCTCATGTTGTGGTAACCCCCAACCATAAAATTATTTTCGTTGCTACTCTATAACTGTAATTTTGCTAGTGTTATGAATCGTAATGTAAATATCTTTTTGTTTCCCGATGGTCTTAGGCGACCCCTGTGAAAGGGTCGCGACCCATAGGGTGAGAACCGCTGTGTTACAGTGTGCGTGGTATCGGGCAGGTGCTACCTCTGGAACCCTTAAGCCTCCAAATGCCTTTACCGCTCACGGTTATTATAGTCAGGTCTGGCTTAGACTGGGATAGCCCCCTGCCCTTTGGTTTCCTGACAATTAAGCTTTTGTGTTGAGCTGGAAGGTTGAAGGTGGGGCCTTACATGGTGGGTGGCCAATTCATCCCCCAGAGGAGCAGTATGTCTCAGGCGTCCTGAACTACATTGATCACGGAGACCCGCAGGTCCGAGGAGCCACAGCCATTCTCTGCGGGACCCTCATCTCCTCCATCCTCAGCCGGTCCCGCTTCCACGTGGGCGACTGGATGGGCACCGTTAGAACTCTGACAGGTAAGGGCAGGCTTTTCAGGACTGTCTTTTCTAGGTAGGGCCCAAGGTCAGGTTTTCATGAAGGCGTTTGTTGCTTGCTGTTTTGGTCAGGAAACACATTTTCTCTGGCGGACTGCATTCCTTTGCTGCAGAAAACCTTGAAGGACGAATCTTCTGTAACTTGCAAGTTGGCTTGTACAGCTGTACGGGTGAGTGTGATCCTCTGTGGGACCCAGTGCTCTGATTCTGGGAAATTTTACCATTATTACAGTTAAATGTTAAATGTGTCAAGATATTCTAAAGCTGTAAACAATAACAAATCTCTGTATCTACCACTCAGCTTTAGGAAGAAAATAGTGCCGATAAAGTTAAGGCTTAATGGACTTTTGTTTGAGTTTTGATTCTCAGAAAATTTGTTTGAAAAATAACTTTTCCTAAAGAGTGTATTTAGAACTAGACCCCCTTCCCCCATGAAAGGGGCACGGTTCCTTCTAAACTCGAGGTCACCTAGGTGAAGTGGGCACTGTCAGCATCTCGGATGTGGGACAGGTGTGTGTCCTGTGGTGTCACAGATCACCGGGTGCGGCTGCCGCCCGCTGACCGGCCGCCATGGCCATGGCCATGGCCTCAGCCTCGCTTTCCATTCCTAGCACTGCGTCATGAGCCTCTGCAGTAGCAGCTACAGTGAGTTGGGGCTGCAGCTGATCACAGACTTGCTGGGCCTGAGGAACAGCTCCTACTGGCTGGTGAGGACGGAGCTGCTGGAGACACTGGCCGAGATCGACTTCAGGTGAGTGCACCAGGTTCATTAGCAGGGACCGGGGTTGCGCAGGGTCGGCCGGGGCAGCTGATGCAGGTGTCATGGTGCCCAGGGAGCCGGGGCGGCGAGACCATGGTTTCTGGCTCGTGGTGCCACCCTCCTCCTCTGCTTCCCTGTTCTCATCGTCTTAAATGCACTGCCATTTTCGAGGGTCTTAGTCCTGCCTGCGCTCCGGCTGGTGGAGATAAAAGGGCTCCGACTTTTAAAACAGAGTCGCTTGTATCAGTCCTGCTTCCTTAAAAGTAAGGTGCTCCTCATCACACTGAACTCAGGCGACAGCTGATGTGTATTTTGTTGCAACTGAAAAATAACTTTTGATGTGTTGCAGTTTTTCATTTCCTAGGAATGGGTTTGGGTTCGAGTTTTTTCTTTCAGAAGGGAAGTTTTCCTGTGTTGCCGGGGCATTTGTAAGGCACCACCTCCAGAGGCTGGTCATGTGCCAGGCCATGCTGGCCACCCTCTGCGGGCGGAGTGTTTGCTTGCATCCTCAGAACATCTCTGAGAATCAGGGGTTGTCCCAGCTGCACTCCACAGACGGGATGCCGAGCGCGGTGGCGGGAGGGTGCAGGGGTTAGCCTGGAGTAAGAGAGGAATATAAACTCTGCTTGTCAAACACAGTGTTTCTGCCTGTTCAAGTAAGCGCTGCCCTTGCTGCCCTGAGAGCCCCCACCCCCGGGGGGCTCGGATTAATCCCCGAGCGGCCTCCCTGGCGTCTTACCTGCCAGTGGCTTGCAGGCCGCCAGAGGGCTTTGCTGAGTAATGAGTCCCTTCATTGTTCCATGTTTTCCGGTGGCAGGCTGGTGAGCTTCCTGGAGGCGAAAGCAGAACACCTTCACAGAGGCGCCCACCACTACACAGGGGTAAGCAGTTCATGTTCATGTCTGGGAGCCGCCTGGGCACCTCCCGCTGCCGCACTTTCCCACTGTGGCGTCTCGCTGGGCATTCTGCCCAGCTTTACTTCACAGTCGGTGTCATGAACGACAGTGTTGTGTGGGGGAAACTTAAGACTAGTGATGCTGAGTTCCTCCTCACTGGCTCTCCAAAATACCGTCCTGAAAATTAGCTAACTACAGAGCTGATGTCTGCTTTATTGCTCCTCTCTCCAAAGCTTTTAAAACTGCAAGAACGGGTGCTCAGTGATATTGTCATCCATCTGCTTGGGGACGAAGACCCCAGGGTGCGACATGTCGCTGCCGCTTCACTGATGAGGTACTTACTTAGTGCTTTCTTCTTTACTCACTCTTCTGGTTAAAGCGCTAATGTTACGCGGATGGGAGAAGGGGAAAATTCAGAGGCTGTAGGGCAGTATTCCTAAATCTTTTGCGGCCACCTTCAGCTACTCTTAAACTATCAAGAAAGAAATTATCGCTGCCATGAGAAGTCTAAATGACAATTAAAACAGCAACAAAATACTAATCTCCTACTGTAAAAGTGATACGCTTTCATTTTCAAAACTTTGGAATGTAGAGAATAGCACTAAGAAAAAGAAAATTACCTTCAATTCTACCCCTTAGAGATAACCGCTGTTAACATTTTGCTGTATGTTCTGTATATGAGTTTATTTTTCAAAATTGGGACAAAATGTACATGCAGTTTTGTGATCTGGTCATTTCTACTTAATATATTATTAGCGTCTTCTTGTTATTAAATATTCTCCTGAAAAAGGATCTTTAATTAGTGCCATTTTTACTATGTGGTTGTGATATATTTTTATGTAAATTTTATTTGGTTGGCTATGTAGTTTTCTTCGATTTGAATAATGAATAATGCTCCATTCAACATGGTTACACATAAATGTATATAATTTTTTTTCTTAAAATTTATTCCTGGGAGCTGAGTTACTAGGCCAGGCTTTTTAATGTGTTTTTTAATTTCTAATAGTTTTTTTGAGGTATAAATTACATCCCTTAAAATGCACGTGTTCTAAGTGTACAGTTAAATGGTCCTTAGTACACTCACAGGGTTGTGTAGCCGTCACCACAGTCCACCTTTAAGACGTTTCCATCGCCCCAGAGATCCCTGTGCCCCTCTGCAAACTCCCAGTTTCCCCCGGCAGTCCCCGGGACCACGAACCTACTTCCTGTTTCCAGAGAGCTGCCCTTCCTGGACATTTTCTATAAATGGGATCATACAGTAGATGGACTTTTGCCCTGGCTTTTGTCACTGAGTTTTTGCGGTTCTTCTGTGCTCAGCAGGTACCACTAGCGTGTTCCTTTTATTGCTGAGTGGTATTCATTCCATCATGCGGAGAATACCACGTTTTATTCAGTCATTCACCAGACGATGCATATTGTTGTTATTTCTACTGTTGGGCTGCTCTGAGTCTTGTTGCTGTGAACATTTGCCTACAAGGCTGTGTGTGGACATACATTTTTCCCTTCTCTTGGGTGGATTCCTAGAAGTGGATTTTTAATGGGTTTTGGTACTTACGGTGGACTTGCTCCCCAGAAGCCTACCAGCTTACACCCTACTACCAGAATACGACCGTGCCTGATTCTTCTCGCCACATCAGATAGTTCAGAAAAAGTTAAATATGTGTCAGTTGTTCAGGCCGAAATTGGTATTTCTTTTTAAAGTGACTTTTAAAAGTAACACTCATTTACTGAACAACATTTAGGGGAAATATAAAAAAGGAAATGAAAATTTTTGTAATCAAACTACTCTAAGAAAACCAGTTACATTTTGTTGCATCCTTCCCGTTATATTGCTGTTGTTTGCATGTCTTTGATTACTTGTGAGGTGTATGTACCTTTTCATTAACTTATTTAACTGGGTTTGTATGACTCGCCTAATCAGAGATTTTGGATCTCTATCATTTTCTCCAAGTGATAGCAATTTATTATACCCCCCAAAACTGTGCTTAATGACCACGGCTCTTTGGAAAAAAGAGATTTTAATTAGAGGTACTGGAGTTTGCAAACTAGTGTGATAAAATTGTTGACTGGTTCTGAAAGTTCTGCGCTTCTGTGAGCGTGGGAGTACAGCCCTGCCCCTTCCGTGAGCACCCTCCTGTGCCCCTGGGGAAGTTGCCCGCCTTCTGCCTTGAGTTTGGTTCAGGTTTGTGAGGGACCTCAGCTGGAGCTTTGCCGCCTGGGGTGTGTGGGGCAGTTCTGCTCGCGGGTCTGCTCTGTGCTCGGGTTGTGCGTGGCCCCTGGCCCGGGCACCTGAGGGCGCTAAACAGGTGACTGGAAAGAGACCAACCAGGGGTTAATCATAACATTTCATACATGTGGAGAAGGGCACTTTCTGATAGGCAAAACGAAGGACAGCACCTCGTGACTCCCTGGGCGTGTGGCGAGTGGCCCTGTGCTTGGAGACCCCCACTCTGACGTGCTGGGAGAATGGGGAATGGTGGTTTGGGGGCCGCGAGGTGAGGTTCAGCCGCTTGACAGAAGAGACCGGTGAGTCCCAGTGTGGTTTCACGCACTGCCCTTGAGTACATGAACTTACTTTCAGGCTCGTCCCGAAGCTGTTTTATAAGTGTGACCAAGGACAAGCTGATCCAGTAGTGGCCGTGGCAAGAGAGCAAAGCAGTGTTTACCTGAAACTTCTCATGCACGAGACGCAGCCTGCTTCTCACTTCTCCGTCAGCACGATCACCAGGTACACTAACCCAGCGGCCACCGGACGTTGTTGTCAGGGAGCGTGCGCCGTTCCCTGGCGCCTTTTCCAGGGCTATCATCTAACATGGACTTTCTTGAACAACGCCTTTCGGTCGGGTGTTTGAGTAGGGTGTCTTCCGGTTAGAGGATATTTCTCTTCATCAGGATTCCCCATCCCACCTCTTCAATTAGCTCTGCCGAGTCACAGCAGTGACACCGTCAATCTCAGTTGGTCATTACAGGCCACATACCAACAAGTGTATTTTTCTGTGTGACTCTGATGCTATGTGTTATCTAAAATCTCGTCCATTAACATTTTCACTTTATTTGTTACCTGTGATGAGTATGGTTGTGTCATGCCTGTTCATTTTTAGGTGAGTGGACTAGTAAGGAGTGTCAGTGTTGAGGGTTATCCACCAGTTCAGCGGCTTGCAGTTATCATTCACAGTGATTGTGGAAGCTTTCCGACGCGGTGTAAAGTGGCTGGACAGAGTCCATTGTCGTCTGATTCTCAGATGAGTGGCGTAGAGTGTAAGAATAATTAGAGCAAAATGCTTTAATGAAGTTGTACTTTTCTTTAGAGTTTTAGTTTGCAAAGAAGGCTGTAGAAGTGATAAAATTTATGTCGTTTTAACTCTGTGTTTTAAATGTTATTTTAAAGTTAGTTTTATATGATAAGTGTCCTTTCTGTGGAGTGGCAGTTTTTTAAAAAATTTGGGCTAAATGACTTTTAAGCTGAAATGTTTGCTTGATGCTTTTGTTCTGAATTTGGAACCCAGCTTGTCAAATTTTGAAGTCGTTATTCCCAAGTAAATATCTCTTCACATGTAAAGAGTGCTTAAACAACACACAGAAGTAATTTTCTTCTCAGAGAATGTCTTTTTTGTTAGCTCAGAACTGGCATTTTCCCTCTTTGAAAGGATTCGGGATAAATAATCCTTTTAAGATAAGCAGAAGCAGTGAAAGAGTATTTCATTATCAGGAATTGAGAAGCTTAGGGGAACCGCTGTTTCTAAATGTCATTTCAGAAAATGAATGTTTAGGTGCCAACGGATGAGTATAATGTTTCATTAAAATTGGTTACTATCTACTACTTTGAAAGTCTTCCCAGTTCCATGCTTGGCTGGCCCCCTGACGCCCGGTGGTGCTTCTGGGGTTCTGGTATGAGGCACCCAGTTAGCAGTCGTGCCGCTGTGTATGCAGCTCTGCTGCTTCTGTTTAGAATTTGGGTGACAAGATAAATAGTCTTCTCCTTAGCGTGTGGTGGAGTGCCTCGTGGACAGGACGCTGAAGGGTACAAGGTGACTCACCGCTGACCTGCCTTGGTTTCATTCGTAGAGTTGGGGAATTAGAATCTGTATGGGAGTCTGATGAGGGATGGAGATTGCAACGGGCCATGAACGGAATATGGGAAAAGGGCCGAGGCGGCCTGTGGTGGAAGGAGGACTTCCTTTTGTCTTGGACTCAGGAGTAGCTTCGTGAGGGATGCTTTTCACATAAAGGTTGAAAAGTGGGTGGCTTCAGATGTGGAGAGAGATTGTAGGCAGGGCTCTGGGGGGAGGTTGCCCCACTCCCACAGGGAAGATGTTTGGGGCAGACTGGAGGGAGGGAGGGGGCGCTTCCAACCACTTACAGAATAAGAATTCTATACAATGTATTTCCGGTGCTTAACTTAAAAGCCAAGATTGCTTGAACTTCTTATAGCCTTTAATCTTAAACTTCCACACGCCACTTGAACTTTGAAAAATGTCATTAACTTTAAATGGTAGATTTTAAGTCTCCGTATTTTTCTCCTTAGAATATATAGAGGCTATAACTTGCTACCGAGCATAACGGATGTCACCATGGAAAATAACCTCTCGAGAGTCATTGCTGCGGTTTCTCACGAACTAACCACAGCGACCACTCGAGCGCTTACAGTAAGTCTCCGTGAAGATCATGGTCAGTGAGGTCATGGTCAGTGCTAATGGTGTTAATGCTTGTGTTAAAGCTCTTACATGTGGGCTTACCAAGCTGTGCTTCTGTGAACAGTACCTTAGTTTATTCCCACAGGAATTAAACAGCTTATTTTTTTATTATTAATAAGTGCTCATTGTAAAAAAATTCAGCCAATACAGGAAGACATAAAAATGAAAATAACAACTACATTGTAATATATCAGAAGTTTAAAATATCTCTAATATAATTGACTCAGCGACTTTGTAATATATACTAAGGAGGAAAAACTAGAAATGCCAACGAAGATTTTTGTATAATGTAATTATCTATAGATACTTACTTAGGATGCTAAATTGGAGAAGAACCATAATGTCCAAGAACCCAGGAGTGATTAAGTTCTGTACATTCAGTAGTACATTTATTATGCACCTATTAACATGATGCTTGTAGATTTTTTAGAATATAGTGAGTGTAATCTGGGTTATAATATTGAGTGAAAAAGGCACAACACAAAACTGTGTGCTTATGTGTTGTCAGATCTTAGTCATGAAAAGTGGTATTCACACACATACATTTCTCATACTTAAGACAATAACTGCCAGAATATTGCCAAAATGAATTTTAGGATTATGAGGGATTTTTGTTTTCTTTATATTTTTCAGATGTTCCCACATTTTCTAAAATGATCAAGTGTAACTTTCATAATCAGAAAAAAACAACGTTATACAAAAGTAGTGTTACCTTGCTGATCACCGGGTTAAACCTTGTCATTTATTTTATGTGACAGAGAAATGCTTGCGTGTATGGGAAGCTCGGACAGTTAAGACCAGGCTGTCTAGGGCGCATATCCTGGCATTAGCCACAGATCTCCGTTTTTCCATGTTTGTGCTTTTTATAAAGGGTAACAGGTTCGTTTTGATAACCCTTCCTGGTATTGGGTGTGACTTTCTTGTTCCTTTCGTCTTTAGTTTGGATGCTGCGAAGCTTTGTGTCTTCTGTCCACAGCCTTTCCGGTCTGCGTTTGGAGCTTAGGCTGGCACTGTGGGTATGTGTTTTTCTCGGCATGTGGCTGACTACAGTTGTGTGATGCAAACGTGGCTATTGGGGTCCCTGTTGCTTTCTGTGAAGCCTTTTATCCTTGGGGAAATACTGAAGGCTGCTTGTTCCTGCCCCGTTGTTTGTGTGGGAGGTAGTGACGGGCGCCATGGGAAATACTGAGCTAGTTGTGATTCCAGTGGGTGTCAGTTGCTCACTGTTCTGCACTTTGAAGAGTTTGGGGGTGTGATTTGCAGGTTCATTTAAGAGAATTTGCGTATGCTGGCAAAACACATTTCTAATTGGCTTGCTTCTCTTCAAAAATGTTCACTGTGTATTAAAAAGTTAGAAATACTTTTTTGTTTAAGATCAAATATGACCTATCATACAGAACGTGGTGAACTACAAGAGTGTAACTTAGGAACTATCTATTGTACTGATTCAACAGTTTGAGTTAAAAAATGATTTCTTCCAGTAGAGGGCCCTAATTGATCTGTGAGCTAATTTTGAGCCTGCCACCGCAGTCAGGAGGAAGCTCCTGTCCTGTGTGCTGATTACTGAGGACATTTTTGGTGGCTTGCTGTCCCATTTGGACGTGAATTGCAGATCTCACGTGCATGCCCGCGTGTGGCCAGCCAGCACAGCACTGGCTGAAGTGGACCGCGGCCTCCCATCTGGCATGATTGCTGTCCTGTCAGCAAGTTGTCTGTGAGCTGCTCCCGTTCCTAGTCGTAGCGCCAGCACTAGACTCAGCTTCTAGGCGACTGGGGCATTGGAGTAAAATGTGCTAACTCAGAGTGTAAAGAATGTTAAAAAGTTATCAAGATAGACAGTTGTGACACTTGGAGGCAGATCTGCTGCCCGATTTCCTTTCCCAAATGGTTTCTGTGGACCTGTGGTTTACAGGAAAGATGTTGGTTAGCTATAGTAACACTGTTGTGTGAGCTGGTGTAAAGCGAACAGTGACCTGCCTTCCTTGGTTCATAAGAGAAGTGAGACTTTTCAGTGTCTCTGTACTTGACCATGCATGTCTGCCTGCAGAGTGCCCCCGCTGAGCGCCTCCGACGAGTCGAGGAAGAGCTGCACTGTCGGCATGGCCTCGATGGTCCTCACCCTGCTCTCGTCGGCGTGGTTCCCATTGGACCTCTCAGCCCATCAGGACGCCTTGATCTTAGCCGGCAACTTGCTTGCAGGTATGGGCACTGAGGTCCGGCAGAGACCCCAGGCCTTCAGCTTTTGGTTTCCTTTTGAGGGCTGGGGGTGGTGGCGTCGGGAGGAAAAGTACTGCGAGGTCATTGCCAGCGCGAGCTTGTTCGGTCAGTCAGAACAGCAGGCGTTCCCGACATGCGGGAATGTGTATGTAGGCAGCTGTTCTGCGTCGAGTATTTTGAAGGAGCCCTTTTGCAGGCTAGCCCCTCTCTGGCTGTGGGTAAGCTCATTTCAGGGGGCCCAGGGCGAGAGGAAAGTGTGCTGTGTGGGCTCCATCTCAAGTCGCATGTAGACTGGGAGCACATGTGAACTAGGCACAGCGGCAGCACTGAGCAGCCGTAACCACTGTCCTTCAGGGATTAGGACGGGAAACAAGATTTATGGGCTGGCAGGAAGGGGCACACCGATGGAGGGCACAGCATGTGCCCAGGCATGGTGGCATGAAAAACCTGCGACGTTTGAGAACGGTAAGGCATTTTGGATGTCATGTAAGGACAGGGACGAGGATGGCGAAGGTGGCTGGTGAGGCAGGCGGGGCCTGTGAGATCATGGGTGTGGATGTCACCAGTGTCCATCAAGGAGGACTTGTCCTGTTTGCCGTGGGTAGCTACTGGAGAGCTTCGTGAAAGGAACCAACAACCGGATTCGTGTTGTATAAAGCTCACTCACTGGCTTGAATGTGGGTTGGAGTGGAAGGTAGGGACACGCAAGAGGTTCAGATTGTAGTTAAAGCAAGAAAGAGAGTCCAACGTGACAGTGGCTTGGGATTGTGGGATTGTTGCAGGGGAGACCGATGGAAAGAGAATGAAGAGGCAGGGCCAGCTGGCCTGGGTCACCAGCTGAACTAAGGTTGTAAAGATCAAAAAGGGGCCCAGGATGACTGTCACATCCTGAGTGGGTATGTGATGGTGACACTCATGGAAACTGGAAACATGACTTGGGGGGAAACGTCAATTTCCTGTTGAATTTGAGGTATCAGCTCACTGCAGGCAGAGCTGTCCAGCATAGAGGGCTCTGAATGACGCGTGTTCCCTAAGCGATTTCTTTCCCTACGCTGCGGAGGTAGGAGGTAACGCGTGTGCTTGTATCACACACAGCCAGTGCCCCCAAGTCACTGAGAAGTTCATGGAGCTCTGAAGAAGAGGCCAACCCAACAGCCACCAAGCAGGATGAGGTCTGGCCAGCTCTGGGTGACCGGAGCCTGGTGCCCATGGTGGAGCAGCTCTTCTGCCACCTGCTGAAGGTCATTAACATCTGTGCACACGTTTTGGATGATGTGGCCCCTGGACCAGCGGCGAAGGTAACCCCGCTCAGGCAGCTGTTTCCATCCAGTCCATGCGCTCAGGGCCTAGGCACACCTGCGTTCACCCCTGTGTCTTTCCTTCCTCTCTCCTGCTTTAAATGAACAAAACTGCACCTGTCGGGGCACAGAATTTAACTCCCAAATGCGATCATGCAGTTCGTAGCCCTTTTGCATCACCCTCAGTTACTGCCACCGCTAACAGGGAAAAGCCAGCTGAGGTCTTAGGCTCTGGGCGTTCGCCCTGGGCACCCAGCACCGAAGTGTTGGCTTCACTTGCTCCCTGGCTCTGAGCTTGGGCAGACACCTTTGTTTCTCTGTGAAGTACAGTTCGGTACAGTCAACTTCAAAGTGAATGGCACCCTATTCACACAGTGGATTTAAAATGGGTGTGTGCACTTGGTCAGCTCTGACTGTTCTCACTTGGCCGGTGGCTTCCATCCCGTCTCCTCCATCTTGAACAGACTCACGTCTGGCTTCAGGCGCTCCCTCACTGCGGGCTTCTGTGAAGAGCCCTGTCCGCCCGCTTGTCCCCGATGGCCTCCTGCTGCCTGGACACTAGCTGCCTTTGCGAGGCCCCTTTGGCCTGGGGTGTTCGCTGCTCCGGCCATGGTTTCTTCAGCCCCTGCTGGTGGCATTCCTGCCACCACTCTCCACAGCAGCTCCTCCTGCCCAGATCAGTCTTTGAATCATGTGGGTACATCCCAGGTCCTGGGCCCCTTTCTCCTCTCCGGCTGGCTCCTGGATTGTCCTTGTTTTTCCTCAAACCCCTTCTCCCGGGCACTTTCCTGGTTTCATCTCTGCCCACCATTAGTGCTTTCCAGGCTCTGTCCTCTTCCTGTTCTCGGGGCTGGTGCTGTCTGCCACAGCTCCGTAAGGATAGGAGCATCCCATATCTGCCCAGCTAGGACAGGACACACGTGGCCACTGTGCACTCGGCACGTGGCCAGCGCGACTTAGGACCTGAACTTCATTTTGTTCAGTCGTCAGTACATTCACGTTTCAACAGCCCGTGTCGATAGTGGCACATCTGCTCTCGTGTCCTCGGTATCTAAGCGTCAGAGACCCCAGACCTATGTTTGGAGCACCGTCCAGTGTGGCCAGCTGCCCATGAGAACTCTGCCTGGTGGTTCTCAGACTCTCAGACAAGTTCAGACCTGAACCCAGCCTTCTCCCTGCCGTGCCTGCCCGTCTCCCTCACCCGTATTCCGTGAGGCCAGAAACGGGGCCTTGCAGCTCCCCAGTCTCGCTCACCAGGTCCTTTGTTTCCCCAAACCATTCACATACATGTGCGCAGACATGTACATCCATGTGCGTGTGTACATGTCTCTGTGTCCCTGCCACTGCTCTGGTCTCATTCAGACGACTGCAGTAGCTTCCTCGGTATGCTTGTCAAACAGCGTTACTGACATAGACAATCAGCGGAATTCACATGCCGTGTGACTCCCGCATTCAAAGCACGTGGTTCTGTTTGTTCCGTACCTCCAGAAGTGTTTAGCCGTCACCACAGTCAATTTTAGAGCCCAAGAAAGAACCCTGTATCCTTAGCTGCCCTCCTGAACCCTCCGATGCCCCCGGCTCCAGGCGCCCCTGCTGCCATTTCTGTTTCTGCGGATGCACCTCTTCTAGATGGCTCTTAAATGGAGCTGCAGGCGTGCACGGGGCCGTCGTGCTGCCCCTCCCCGAGCGTGCTCCAGGCGCAGCAGCCTGTGTGCCGCCCCCTGTAGTCCTTCCCTGCTGCCCTCAGACTGTTCTCCTGATTGCAGCCATTTGGCCGACAAGGCTCCACGATGTTAGGTGACCTGTCTAAGAGCGTGGAGTGAGTGAGCGATGGGGCTGGGCCTGAAGTCCACGTCTCTGTCTCCATCGTCACTCTGCCCCCTGCTGCTGCCTCCTGTACAGAGAGCCTGGCATTCTGTTCTGGTGACTCTAGCTGTGCTGCTTATTAGCTGTGACCCTGAATAAGTCACTTCACCTCTGAGCCTGTTTCTCATTTGGAAAACGGAGTTTGAAACGCTGCTGTGTGCCCTCTTTGGTGTCGTGGCTGCCACAGGACACCCTGGCTGCTGCTGGTAGAGGTGACCTGCCCTGCCTGGCGCCCTGAGGGCCCTGTCCCTCCCCAGTCATTCACAGCACATGTGTCCCTGTCCGGGCGATGGTGTGCATTACAGTAGGTGGTGCGTGGACAGTGCCCGAGCTCTGTAAACGTGGGCGCAGACAAGGAAGTGCGTACGTGAGTTCTTCTCAGTGGATGGCACGACCATGCACTGTGGCATCAGTGTCTTCCCAGGTTTGCTCTCTCTCCTAGGCAGCCCTGCCGTCTCTAGCGAACCCCCCGTCCCTAAGTCCCATCCGACGGAAGGGTAAGGACAAGGAGCCAGGAGAGCAGGCGTCCGTGCCGCTGAGCCCCAAGAAGGGCAGCGAGGCCAGTCCAGGTAGGAAGCGGTGGCGGGCGGGGGACGGGCAGGCGCGGTGGGGGCACCGTCTGTATCATGGAAATTGAGGACTGAAGCGTCCATTCGTGTCAAGGTTAATATAATAACTTGGTGTTTTACGGAAATGCAATACATAGCACTGGAGCCAGGAACACAGCAGTTTCCACAGGGGGCTTCAGAAACGCAATGTTAATTCCTGAATGACCACAGACCACATTTGGCCTGGCGCGTCTCTGAGTGTCACTTGCTCCTACGCGGTCACAGCAGTCTGCAGGCATCTGGCCCAGAGCAGGGAGCCTCGCTGGCTGCCTCGTTCCCTTCTCGTTGGGAGGGTTCCTGGCCGTCAGGGCGGTGGTGTGGGTGCCGCGTGGTAGTTGGTTCCGGCAGGAAGAGTTCTGAAGTCGCAAAAGGAAAACTTAACAACTGGATGTGCTAAACAAGAGAGAACAAGGGGATACAGTACCCGCATGAGAGGAACCTGAAAAATTCAGACACTTGCAGGGGCTTCTACACCTGGGAGTCTCAGAGCGGCAGGGGCCAGGCTCACGCAGGAGAGCAGCTGTGCGGTCCGCATGCTCGTCCTGGTGGGACCCGGAGGCCCAGGCAAAGCAGGTGACCCGCGGTGCCCGTGTCCCCGTGCCGGGGCAGTCAGGACTCTCCCCTTCATGTTGCTTGGAAAGCATGTGTGTTCAGGCTTTTAAAGGATGTGTTTTCTGAGGACTGACTGGTACCACGGAAGGTTTAGCAGCTTCAGAACTTCACAAGGGCAAGGTTGTCAGTACGTGACTGCTCGGCCTTCTGATGGGTTACACAGACGGGGGGCTCTGAGTCAAGACTCTAACACCAGACCCACTTCATGTGGTGTGGCATTTTAATGTCTAAGACTGCTTTAATGATAACGTGTCCCCTTGGCAGCTGTCACCGCTTGCTCACGTCACCCCAGCTTGGTTGCTTAGAGGGCCGTGAGGTCAACCCTGTCTTGCCACTGGCAGCCTTGGGCTCTGAGAGGTCATGCGATTAGCTGAAGGCCACTGAATGAGTTGTTCCTCTGCTTTGCAAACGGGCATCCAGACCGGAACAAACTAACAATAGCAGCATACTGTTTTCCTTCTTTTTCTTTTATTATTTTTGGGGAGCTACTCAGATTCCACTTATGTTTATTGGTCATTTAGGAATTAGTTTCTCATTACTTCTAATTAACCAAGTCAAGAGAAAAAGTTTGAAGTTTATTCTACTAAAATACTTTAGAAAATCATTATTGCCAGTAATCTCTTTTGAACTGAGCAAATGTTTGATCTAAAAGTTTATTTTGTGTGTTTTTAAAGCCTCTCGACAGTCCGACACCTCAGGGCCAGTTACAGCGAATAAATCATCCTCGCTTGGGAGTTTCTACCATCTTCCTTCATACCTCAAATTGCACGATGTTCTGAAAGCTACTCACGCTAATTACAAGGTACTGCTGCTCTCGGCAGCAGCCCATCCACAAATTTCTGCCGAGTTGTGGTGTTTCTCTTCAGATGTATAGCCTGTGTACCTGCATACACATACGTGTAACAAGTTAGGCCTTTGGGTAGGAGGTACAATTAGTCTTTTCGAGATTGCCTTCCTGCATTGTTTATGTGGCTCCCAGCTCCCTCTTTAGCTCTCCTCACAGCCCTGCGATGGTGATTGTCACCTCCTCGCCTCTGCTGGCTATTCAAGAAAGGCCTTCCCCACCACACTCCCTCGACTCCTCCCCACCGACGCCCCCGCGGGTCCTCTCCCCATAGTGCCCGCTGGAGGTGCACCCCACCCTCCTGTCCTCTGGGATGGGGTCTGCGGTGATCTCACTCCTGGAGTCTCCCTCCTTCCTCGGCCTATTGGGAATACCTCCCGGTTGACGCCCGGGTGCCCACAGATCGGACCCCTTCCATCTTCACCCTCTATGCATTTCTTGTCTGCTTTCGCCTCTTTCATCGTGGGTGATTAGATTTTACTTCACTTCCTTTCTATCTATTGTGCTTTTGCTGGGTTTATGCCAATTTTTATTTTCATGGTCATCCTCCTCCCCTTGACTTTGTTCTTTCATATTATATCTTTGGACCTGACCTGTTCTCTCAGTTTATTACATGGGGGCATTGCTGCATAATTTAATTAAGCTGGGGCCTTTAGAATCTTAATTTAATACTTCTTAAGACTAATTTAATATTTTGTTGTAGCCAGACTGAAAGGCTGTATCTGAATTTGATAATGATTTTCCCCGGGGAGCCTAATGTACATGGGATAGGATGTGTACTTTATATATTTTGATATGCTGTTTATCAGATACTGGTTATGATGGACATTTAAAATTTTTTCTCATTATGGTAGGAGATTAGGAATTGTTTCTGTCAGTAGGGCCAATAAAAGTTGGAAGATGCTTTTGAAAGATAATAGTTTTTATATAGCTATTTGGAAGAGTAATTTTCTTTCCGAGGCATTTTCCCAGTGCTAAAAACAGATAGACAGACAGAGACAAAGCCCCAGAATGGTGAGTGTCCAGGGCTGCTTCGTGGAACACCTGGCACTGCAGCAGACAGCACGTGTCCCGTTTTAGGGAGTCATCGTGTGTTCTCCCCCTTCACCTTCCCAAGGTCACCTTGGATCTTCAGAACAGCACTGAGAAGTTCGGGGGCTTCCTGCGCTCTGCCTTGGACGTTCTCTCTCAGATCCTGGAGCTGGCTACTCTGCAGGACATCGGCAAGGTTCGTGTTCATTTCTTCTCCCTGATGTAGCTGGCGCGTCTGGTATGCCCCCAGCCAAGTGCCCCTGGGGTGGGACCCCGTCCTCCAGGTGCATTCAGAAAGCAGTGACAGCTTGGGAGGAGCTTTTGTGACCCCACTGCTTATGCCACAGCACCTGAGTCTGATTCTTGTCTTAGTCTCAAGTTGGGGAGAGTTCTCTGTTAGTTTAGACCCAGTTTATCCTAGAAAATTGGTGGTTTAAAACTGCTGACCAAGTCATTTATTTTTGTACTTGACCTTCTCAAGGGAAGGGTGTGCGACGTGTTCCTCGGTGCCTGAGGAAGCAGCAGAGCTGCGGTTGAAACCCATGCTCTTTGCTTCCACAACCAGTAATGTGTCCCCCACCCCCATTTTATAAGGAAATGTTCGAACATGTGGGAGGGTTCAAGCAGTTGTTCGGTGCGGGCCCATGTCATATGAGCACGGCCCAGCTTCTGTAGGTAATGTGTTGCTAGATTTGCTTTAGTGTGTGCGTGGCCACCTGCCTGGCTCCCGGGACACCTGATTTTCAGATGAATTTCAGAGTGAGTTACAGATAGGCGCCCTCTAAACATGCGTCTCTGAAGTGAAATACAGTACGGCTAACAAGTTCCCTGTTTCCGTTTCTCTAAACCTTTTTTTCGATGTGCATAAAGCTCACCTAGCTTTAATCATATGCGTTCTTTTGTTTCTTCTCAGTTACGCCTGTGCTTTTCTCCATGTGTCAGTTCAGTGCATACTTGTTTTTAGTGGCTAGCTTATGTTCTGTTGCTGTTCAGTTATTGTCTTCTCAGAATAGAACTTGTCAAAGATTTTAGTGATGTCACCCCCTCTGAGACCTGCCTAGCCGGCCCATCTAAGGCTGCATCTCTCCACACGGCTCTCTTTCCCAGTTCATCTTTCTCTCTGACGCATAGCGTCATCAAACACACTCTTTACAAATTTGGCTTCTCTGTCGTTTCTGTGCCTACAGCAGCACCTGGGAGGTTGTGGGCATTCAGTGACATTTGGAGAATGAATAGCCGATTTCTTGTTGGAATTCAGTTGATGAGGCACTTCCCAGAGACAGTGCCTCATTCATCCCATAGCCATGCTGGGAGGGAGCTGCTGTTGGCCCATCTCTCCATGACGTGAGGCTAAAAGATGGGAATGGAATGTCTCGGGGCCCGAGACGTTAGTGGCAGAGCCTGGTTTAAACCCCACAGCGTTTCGACCTGTCACTTTTCCCCTAAATCACTGCTCTAAGAGGGTTTAGTGGCCTGTGGTCTGTATGGATAACACATTTCAGCAAAATGAAAGAAAATGTGTTTTAAATTTGGATATTAGATAAATAAAAAAACATCTAAACGGGATTTTTTAATAAAGCTTTTTTTGGAATTAAGACCTTATAATTAGTTGTTTTTTGTATGATTTGGTTTTTGTGTGGTTTCTTTTTTTACCTCTTTATTATGAGCATCACACATACACAGAAAAAGTTATTTTTCAGTTGCAGTCAGTGAATTCATCTAAATATGTGAAACTAAATTAATAATTCACAATCTAATAAAGATTGATATTATGACCTTGATATTGCTGAGATCAGGGACCTGCTGGTATTTCTTGTTTTGTAAAGGTGTATGTAGTAACTTCATCTCTGAAAACCCATACATTTGGGACAGAATTGCATGCTCTAGTTGTAAACTTTTAGTTAGCATTTCTTAGATATCTGCTGTGCTAGTAAAAACAAAAAGTGACGTGTAACAAATTCAACCCTGCCAAATACAGCCTTGAACATTTTAGACTCTAATTTGAGTATTAAGAATTTTTAAAATACTTGGTCCTTGAGTATTTAAAGCCAACAAAAGTCTGTTGTTTTTTAGTACAGGAAATTACAGTGGCCCCCTTATTTGTAGTTTTGCTTTGTGCACTTTCAGTTACCCATAGTCAGCAGTGGTCTGAAAATATGAAATGGAAAATTCCAGAATAATTCATAAGTTTTAAATTGCATGCTGTTCTGCGTAGTGTGATGAAACCTTGAGCTATCTACTGCATCTTACCCGTGAAGTGAATCATCCCTTTGTCCCACGTCTCCTCACTGTAGGTGGCCCTCCGCCTGTTTGTCACTTAGCCGTCTTGGTGATCAGACCAACTGTTGCAGTGTCACAGTGCTTGTGTTCAGGTCACCCTTACTTTACTTAATTTGGCCCAAAGCACAAGAGTAGTAATGCTGGCAACTCAGATGTGCCAGAGAGAAGCTGTAAGTTGCTTCCTTTAAGTGAAAAGGTGGAAGTTCTCCACTTATAAGGAAAGAAAGAAATCATATGCCGAAGTTGCTAAGATCTGTGGTAAGAATGAATTTTCTATGCGTGAAATTGTGAGGAAGAAAAAGATTTTCGTTCCAGCTTTGCTGTCTCCCCTTCGACTATAGAAGTTAGGGCCACAGTGTGTAAGCAGTGCCTGGCGAAGCTGCAAAAGGCACCGAATTAGAGGGTGGAGGACACGAACAGAAAGTGTGTTCCGGTTGACGGCAGCATGTGTTTGACCAGAAAGCATAGAGCCTCTGCGAGAGGACGTCAGCAAGTGATCCCCCGAAATGAGTGACACCAAGCCATTTACTGCCAGTCAGGGGTGGTTACACAGATTCAGGAATAGGTTTGGACAGAAAAATAAAAAAATGACTGGAGAGGCTGCATCTGCCGATGAAGAAGCTGCTGCCACATTCCCGCAGAGCTGATGAAGCTGATGAGGGTGCTGTGCTGTCCACCGTTTCCAACCTCCATGAGGATCTTGGAACGTTGTCCCGCAGATAAGGGGACTCCTGTCCACTTGACAAATGAGTGTGAGGCATCTTCAGCATGGTTGGCGTGACTGCCAGCCAAGCGGCCTCAAGCAGCGGCTGGTGACTGGGGAGGAGGCAGTGATGAGGTGTGCTGTCGGGACTGGGCCTGGACTGGTGGCATCTGAGAGGCCTGGTCTTCCATCCGATTCCCCAAGAGGACACCCGACGCCTTCGGTTGCATTTTGAGGAGGGTAACAGTAGTTTGTGAGAATAGCCACGTGAAGGCCATCATTTTGGCCATCGTTGCAGGTCTCTGTGAGACTTCGCAGGACTTGTGGTGACACGTACAACACCCCTGATCAGTGGCAGGGGCTCCAGATGCAGGACTCATGCTCTGTGCACTGAATTCCTGCACTGAGAATAGGGCCGGGTCAGAGTGGGCACGACACACGGTGAACAGTCACTGAGCAGGAGAGTGAGTGAGTGAGTATATGTGCGGATGGTTAAACATGGCTACTTAGACCTCAGTATTTTTTTTTTTAAAGATTTTTATTGGGGAATTGGGGGATGGGAACAGCACTGGGGAATTGGGGGAAGGGGAACAGACAAGTTGCTGTTCTTTTGTTCTTCAGTCTAGTTGTGGAGGACGTTGCTTCACTGGCCCAAGTTGGCACCATCATTGCGCTCTTCCCTGGTGAGGCAGATCAATCGCCGGCTTCTGGACAGCCGCTCACGGCGGCTGCTGGCCGCTCACTGCAGCTGCTGGCTGCTCACGCTGGCTGCTGGCTACACACGGTAGCCCATGGCAACCCACTGCAGCAGGGGCTGCAGCCTACGCCGTTGCCGGCGACTCCCGGCAGCCCAGCTCTAGGTTGAGCTGTTGTTCAGCATCTTAGCTGTAGAGGGCATTGTCACTGGCCCTCATATGTGGGATCCGAACTGGGCCCTCTGGCATCCCAAGTCAGCTCTTAACCAATGTGCCACTTGGCTGGCCCAGACCTCAGTACTTTTTTCTGACACTGTTCACTACGATAGACTGCAGACCTTCCTCTGCTGTCACTAAGGTACACCACGTAAATGGAAGCTAGCTCGTGTCATTGGCTTCTGTCTAGGATTCACAGCAAGGGTAAATCACCTCGAGTCACTTACTTTGACAGCTTATGACTTATTCTTTCCACAGTGTGTCGAAGAGATCCTGGGATACCTGAAGTCCTGCTTCAATCGGGAACCGATGATGGCGACTGTCTGTGTTCAGCAGGTAAGAAAGTAGTTTCCTGGGGTAACTGGTTAGCTCAGTTGGTTAGAGCGGGGTGCTGATAACACCAAGGTTGCTGGTTTGATCCCTGCATGGGCCACTGAGCTGCGCCCTCCCTAAAAGAGTCAAATATGCCAATATAGCATGAAAGCAATGTGTGACCAATGACCATGGCTGTTCCTCAATAAAATTTAAGAAAGAAAGAAAGGAAGAATTTCCTGTCCTGTCCTTTTAAGCCCCTGACTCTAGGCACGATGATGTAATGCTGCTTGTCATTTAGAAGGTGGTGCTGGTGGCATGTCCAGCAGCCCGACCTGTCAGTCCTTTGCTCACTCCATTATCCTCTCATTGTTTTGGAGGCGGCCTGTCACCTGGAAGGCAGAGGGTATTAGGAGCTCTGTTGCGCCCTCAGGTGACTTGTCTCAGTGTCCCTCCAGATGTCAGAATGCTCAGTGTCATTTAGAATCACAGAGAAACTCCAAACTACTGGGTTGTTATTTACGGTAAGAACCGCGCTTCCCAGCAGCGGACTCAGCGAGGTCTCCCAGTCTGCGCTTCTGCTCATGTTCTTACTTATTTGGAGATGGTTGGGTTTTGGAGAGTGTTGCTTATGCTACATGAAGTGACATGTTGATGGCTTCATTCCTTCACTCTAGTTGTTGAAGACTCTCTTTGGGACAAACTTGGCCTCCCAGTTTGATGGCTTATCTTCCAACCCCAGCAAGTCTCAAGGCCAAGCGCAGCGCCTGGGCTCGTCCAGTGTGCGGCCGGGCCTGTACCACTACTGCTTCATGGCCCCCTACACCCACTTCACCCAGGCCCTAGCGGACGCCAGCCTGAGGAACATGGTGCAGGCCGAGCAGGACCACGACACGTCGGGGTAACTGTATGCCCGTCCTGGCTGGCTGTGGCAGAAACACAAAAGAGCAAGTAGTCAGGGATTTGTAAACGATAAAAGAAACTAGCACCGTCTTCTAATAGTCTGTGTGTTCAGAGAAGATGCTGAAGGCACAGCCCTGCCTTCAAAGACATGTGTGGCCCAGTGAGCGAGGTGGGTTTGGGGGCCATCTTGGGCTGGGCCCGAGGACGAGGAGGCCTGAGTGGGCTCCTGGCGAAGCAGCCAGCCATCCCGCCAAACTCAACAAGCCAGAACCAGGACATGGAATGTCCACACGTGTTCAAAGCACTTCATTGTTTCCCCATGCCCACCTTAACGTTTCCCTTACAGTAAGGAGCTGTGTGTCAGGGGCACTTTGGGGTTTGTAGCTAGGCTGGAAGAACGCCTTCCACGTGGCACAATAGTGCTAGTGTGTAAGGGCGTTAGAAGGGCAGAGAAGATTCTTAGGTAACGTGTGTTTCGTAACTTTATGGTTGAAAGCCTCTTGTCACTTAAATTGGTGGTTGTGGTTTGACGCCTGGAATACAGTAGTTGTTTTTTAAATTACTATAATTACAAGCAGGTGTTTGAGTTACTACTGTGTGTAGTAACAAAAGAATTCCTCGTGTCCCTTTTGTAGATGTATTGACAAAACGCCACAGTGAGAACACTAGCATCAGGGACCAGGGACAGAGCCATGGGCTGGACAGAGCCATGGATACACTGTGTATCCAAGTCTTGGGAATAAGGCTTTTCAAATACTTTTTCAGTACTGTGGGGAGTAAAAGAAGCGTGTGAGTGTGTGTCTGGCTGTCACGTAATTTTATATGTACTTCTTACAAAGAAAAGAGTATAATTGATGTGAGTATTGAAACAAAACTTTTTCCCAAGAAACTTAAGTGATGTCTCCTAAATCCCTAAATCTCTCAAGTGGCCGTCACCTCCCAACCCCGCTGTATTCTGGGCTGAGCGCTCAGGGTCCTGCAGTGGCGGGAGGCGCCGTCTCGGCCTGTCTGGCGGCTGTCAGGCACCTGTGCCTCAGTAGTCTAGTTATATCCGTGGAAAGGAGAGCGTCACATGCTCCACTGAGGGGCCGGAGGGCTCCCCCTGCCCGCAGTGTTCAGCTTTTGTGAGTGTGCGCAAGTGTGGCCAGTGTGCTGATGCTCAGGCGTGTGTCTAAGCGTGTCCTCTGCGCCTTCTTTCCCATCCGGCAGGTGGTTTGATGTCCTCCAGAAAGTGTCCACCCAGCTGAAGACAAACCTCACAAGCGTCACCAAGAACCGTGCAGATAAGGTGAATGGAAGCAGGCGGCAGCGGTGGGCTGTGGGAATGCCACGGGGATGGGTAGGGTTGGGGGAGGTCGGGGACGGTCGCATGCACCGCCTTTCTGGCTGGCTGCCTGAAGCCTCCTGGCTGAGACTCACTTAGCGGAGTGTTCCTTTGCTTCCTCACAGAGCGCCATCCACAATCACATTCGCCTGTTTGAGCCCCTGGTCATAAAAGCACTAAAGCAGTACACGACAACAACGTCCGTGCGGCTGCAGAAGCAGGTCTTGGATTTGCTGGCGCAGCTGGTCCAATTACGGGTTAATTACTGTCTCCTAGACTCAGACCAGGTTGGTCATGTTTGTCTTTCATCTGCCGCCCCTGTTCATAATTGAATAAAAATGATCTCCGAAAGACACTGAAACTGCCTTACAGAAATGTGCAGTTAGCTCTTCCCCAGCAGTGGCCACCTCTCCGCCACTCTCAGGCCCAGCATCCCAGGAGCCCCAGTGCCTCCAGGCCCCAGAAGCTTGGCGCCCATGCCCCGAGCTCTCCGTCTACCCTGGGCTGTGTCAGGGATAACACGCGTGCCAGAGGTTTCCTGTCCACACACCTCCCCCACTCTAAGAGAAGTTTGCACTGAAATTATAAGATGTAGTTAAGATGTATTGTTTGGGGGACATTTTTACAAAACCCGGAGACTTAGTTTAAGCAGATGATCCTTTATGATGTTCAGTTTCAAGCAGACTACGGCTGGCTCACTTCTTTAGAAAGGAGCGTGCTCTGAGGGGACCATAACTGACCCCCGGGTTCCCGGGTGCCTGCACAGCCCCTGCACTCATTCACCAGGTGGACTCAGCTCCGGCCATTCTCACGCCGTGGGGATGCAACTCTGGCCAGTCAGGCCTCTTCCTGATGCGAATTCTCTTAGACCAAGATTCATGCCTGCTAAGTTCACTGCAGGTATAGTTGGCTTCAGGTCACCAAAATGTGTGACTGTCATTGTTGGGCTGCCATCTTGGTCTACTTTCCTACGAGAGGTAGGAAAGTGTGTGAGTTAGCAGTACTGCAGTTCTCATCAGCACCGTCACTCACCTTCAGTGGTCTGTTTCTTGAGAAAGGAGGAACTGCGCTGGTTGCCCCACAGGCGGTGTGGGGCTGTGACCTTGCGATGCAGGGGGCTTGGCGTTGGGCTGGCATTTTCACTCTTCCTTCTCCTGCTCCAGTTACCAGTAGCGTTTGAAAGGCCCATTTCCTTCTTTGGGGATGGTTGGGGCTGTCATCCCCTTTTCTCACCTGGCAGGGGAGAAGCCCTCTCATCTGAAGCCTTGACAGGAGCTTAACACATTGAGGACAGGGCATTTAAATGTATAGATGCAGCTGTAAATCTGCCGTCACCAGTCAACAATGTGTTAAGGAAGGAGCAAGGCACCTGGGGGCTCCTAGGAAGAAGCCTGGGACCCTCTGCCAGAGCCATCCCGATCCAGCCCAGAGAGAACACGGCCGAGCCTGCCGTCTGCCTGGTCCTCACGCCTCCCAGTTCTGACTCTTCACAGCTAAAAACCCGTGTTCTCGTGGTGCTACAGGCTGGTCTCTTTGGGGCCGTCTTTAGTAGGCAAAGAACATAAACAGCTGCCCACTCTAAGTAGACTTGTCAGATAGACATGATTTGATCAAATTCTTTCTTTAGTTGTTCTATTGGTTGTCAGAAAAGTCATGACGTATTTTGTCTATGTTTTTCAAAGGTCATTTATTTATATAAAGAACAAAGATCAATCGATTTATTGCCCGTTTTGTTCGATAACCTTCTGCCATCTTTCAGTGAGCTTCATAATTCCTCGTTCATAGAAGGACCTGTTTTTATTTGTGAAAAACTGAAGAAGGTGCTGATTTACAGTCTCATCTGAATTGAACATTATACCACGCAAGGAGTTTTGAAGAGAGTGAAACAAGTGGAAGTCTGACGGCACAAGGTCAGGCGAGTATGGTGGGTATGGCAACACATCCCATCCAAGCTCCAATAATTTTTTTTTTTTTTTAAGCTGAGCCATCCTGCCACCTGTTGGCAGCTCAGCGGCTGCTCATCTCGGGCCGGGCATCGAACCGCTGTTGCTCAGAGCTCAAACTCTTGAGCGAGCTCTTAACCAACTGAGCTACTCGGCCAGCCCTAGTAATTTTTGACAGATGATCAAACTTGTGTGTGGTCTCGCGTTGTTGCAATGGAACACAACTCCTTTACAATTAACAAGCTCTGGACGTTTCTGAATGTTGGATTCGTTCAAACTGTCCAGTTGCCGACAGTACACATTCGAATTGATTGTTTGGTTCCTTGGTAGGAGCTCGAAAAACATGACACCTTTAAATTCCCGCCACACTGAGAGCATAACCTTCCTCTGATGAATGTCTGCTTTCGATGTCATTTGAGGCAAATCATCACGTCGGGACCAAGACCGTTGGCACACCACATTGTTGTAAACAATCCACTTCTCATCACCAGTTATCAGTCGCTTCAAAAAAGGATTGTTGTCCTCACGTTTAATGAGCATATTGCAGATGTTTATACGTTTTGTCAAATGAACTTCTTTGAGTTCGTGTGGAACCCAAATATCCAGCTTGCTTACGTTTCCCACCTTCTTCAGGTGGTCATGAATGCTTGAATGACGGATGTTCAATGTTTCTGTAATCTCTTGTGTCATGTAATGTGGGTTTGACTCTATCAATGCCTTTATTTTGTCGTCATCAACCTCGGTGGGCCTCCCTGACCGAGGAGCGTCGTTGAGATCAAAATCATCAGCACGGAATTTCGTGAACCATCGTTGGCACTGACGTTCTTGTAGAGCATTGTCACCGTAAACTTTATGCACCTTTTCACAAGCTTGACGCGCATTCTTCCCTTTATGGAAGTAAAACAGTAAAATATGGCAAAAATGCACAGTTTGGTCGTCCATCTTCAACTTGTTTTAAATTCTCCAGAACTCAACCAAATTGGTCAATTTTGTTTTTAGAATGAAGCTAGAACTGTCAGCTGTCAAATGACATAGCAATAACGTAGATGCGAATGACTCTAGAACTTCCAAAAATGAACTAGTGCCATCTGTCGCAAACATGCATCGTGACTTTTCCGACAACCCAATATATGAAGCCTTTTTGTTTCTTCTGTCTTACTAAAATCTCCAAGTGATACTTACGTGTTGGAATTCCTTCAGGCAGATGTGTGGCACTCCTCCAGCTCGTGCCTCGCCCTGGTCCCGGCACTGTCCACCTTGCTCCCACAAAGCCAGGTCCGCACGACCCCTCGCTTGGTCGCCTAGGGGTCCTTTGCCCTGGGCGCTGTAGCCTCTCGTTCGTTCTGATGTGCTTGTGTCCCTCAGTGCCCTTGCTCCCCAGCCCCTGGGATTCAGTACAGTGACAGTTCTTCTGAACGAAGGTAGGAAACAGGAGCGGGCAGACATTGAACTTGACTCAGAGAGCGGATTGTCGAGCACCCGCTCTGTGTGTGTCATGCCCAGGGTCTGGGGAGCGCAGAGGACATGTGGGCACTGTGCTCCAGGCCGGCCACCCACACCGCCTCTGCTCGCCTGGCTGTCCCTCCTCATAGCACCCTCGGCGCCGGGCTCCTGGGAGGTCAGGCTCGTGGCAGGGAGAAGAAGGACCAGTGTGGGCATCTTGCTGCCTAGCCGGTCTCAGGAAACCTGTGCTGCGCAGTTTGCCAGGAACTGGAACAAACGATCCCTGGTTGTCTGGGTCCTGCCCAGTGTGTACTGGAGTTTATTTGATTTTCCAAAGAGGCCTCACCTCACTGTTCAGTAAAGGTGTTTAAAGGGGTTTCTGGAAGTGTCCTGGAATTGTCCAGTCCGACGGTAGCATACATTTGCGTTCTTGTGTACAGATTTATGCACTGTCAGGAAACGTGTTAAAAATTCACACAAAGCAGGGAGCAAAGCGGCCCCCCTGCACATTCTCACTGTGAACTCGTCCCCACTGCAGGTCTTCATTGGGTTCGTGCTGAAGCAGTTTGAGTACATTGAAGTCGGCCAGTTCAGGTAATTCACGGTGTCCTGTCCCCTTACGTTCTCGTCCCTGCTGCGTAAGTATATATAATGATTATGAACGCAAGTGCACTTTAAAGGGCTGTTAGGCATTCTTGCTGGGTGTTATTTAATGGAAATCTGATTAATAAAATATGCTGTGCGTTTTTGTTTCTCAGTAATTAGTAAATATCTGAAGTCGTGCTTAGAAGTGGTCCGGCACCTGGCAGTCACATATGTTGTCAGTTTCATTTCACATTTCAAAGCATTTAATTATGATAATAGATTGCTGAATTAACTCTCACCTGGCAGAACACTGATTACTTAAATCTTCTGAAATTAAACACTTTTAGATACGGTTGTCTTCGGTAAGGTGATTATTATGCACTTTACTGATTGCAGCTTTCCTTGCTAGACAGGAAGGTTTTGATATTTAATACTTCCTCCTGTGTAGTGATAGGTGTCTAATTATTGAAAATCAAAATTCTTTCGTTTCTGAACTAGTTACTAAGTAGTTAGGGAAACAGTGCAGAGGAAAGTGTTCTGAGAGGCCCTGGGTCCAGATAGCCAGTTTCTAATCACGTGATGCCTTGACTATGTGATCTGAGGCAAGTTACTTTTTCTCCTCTGAGATCCATTTTCCTCATCTGAGGAGAGAGCCAGAAGGAGAGCCAGGAAGTCGGCATCTCTGGGCTCCCACTCAGCCCTGCTGACCATCCACGCTCTCCAGGGGCGAAGGGGACCCACTCCGGAGACAGATGGGACAGTGTGATGACATAGATGGGGCGGGCGAAATGAGGTCACTGGGGCTCCTGTCTGCGCTCTGTTTCTCTCAGCTGAATAAGGCATAATTTCATGTTGTTTTTACTGTAAATAAAAGAAGTGTCTAAACGGATGTTTTTGTTTCTAGGGAATCAGAGGCAATTATTCCAAACATCTTTTTCTTCCTGGTATTACTGTCTTACGAGCGCTATCATTCAAAACAGATCATTGGGATTCCTAAAATCATTCAGCTCTGTGATGGCATCATGGCCAGTGGGAGAAAGGCTGTGACACATGGTAACTGGACAAACCTTTCATCGTGGTCTTCAGTAATGGTGGTGTGCTCGGCAGTGTTAGTGTTCATCGCCCCAGCTTCCGCTGTGTCCACAACTGCTCTGTGCTTTGTAGGCCCTGTGCGTGCATGTGTGTGTGCGCGTGCGAGTGCATGTGTGCACGCGTGTGTGCATACGAGTGCATGTGTGCGCGCGCGCGCGCGCGCGTGTGTGTGTGGATGGAACACACTGTTTATTCTCAGGACTTTATAATCGACTTAGATAAAAATATGAGAGTAAGATGGTGTAAGGGATGGATCGAGTTTTGTCTGTCTATATGAAACACAAAATAGAAAACCTGGCTCTCGCGAGGACAGCTGATTCATTACCTGGGTGCTGGGAGGGACAGTCAGCCTTGATTCAGGGCCTTCTGTCCTGCCTGGTTACTGTGCAGGAGCTTCCACAGGACCACAGAGAACGGCCCACTGCTCAAGCAGCCCTTTTCCAGCCTGCAGAATGAGGTGGTGCGGGTTTAGGAATAAGCTGAAACCTTTCTCTGAACTTTCCGTGGGCTACCCAGCTCTCTGTTGACGCCAGTCTGGCTCCCTTGTCAGGAAGCTGTAGGCTTTTGAAGTTGGACAGGGGTGTTTCCTAGGCCCCTCAAACTGCAGGCGTGGGCCCAGCGCTGCTGCATGCAGTGTTGTCCCCTCCGTGTGCTGGCAGGAGAGCAGACCGTTGAGCTGGTGCCTGCTGGACCACAGGTGGCAGAGGTGGCCCAGTGCCAACTCGGTGTCCACACTGTAGTCACCTGTTCCATGGCCTTGCGTGGACCAAAATTCATGCCTCAGGGAAGTACACTACGTGTATGGATGTTAGGGTCACTGGATGTAGTTGACAGTGCAAATGTCAGCTGGAGGGTGACTAAGGTTTCGTGGGTCAGAGGATCTTTGGGTAGGAAATTGATGGGCAGCCAAACCCTACTACTTTCTACTGGGAAGTCGGTCATCTATGTGAAAGTTAGGAAGTGTGCTCTGTGTGTGTCACCAGGGAGAGTGCAGATGTGTGTGTGTCACTGGAATGAGTGTACCCATGTGTGCGTGTCATTGGGGTGAGTGTGCCCATGTGTGTTTCACTAGGGTGAGTGTGCCTGTGTGCATGTGTGTGTGTCACTGGGGTGAGTGCCCACGTGTGCATGTCATTAGGGTAAGTGTGTCCACATGTGCATGTCACTGGGGTGAGTGTGTCCACGTGTGTGTCACTGGGGTGAGTGTGCCTGTGCATGTGTGTGTATCACTAGGGTGAGTGTGCCCATGTTTGCGTGTCACTGGGGTGAGTGCCCGCGTGTGCATGTCACTGGGGTGAGTGTGCCCGCGTGTGCGCGTCATTAGGTGACACAGTGTCAGTCAGTAATCTCTGTGACATCATTGGGCTGCACCCTTACCAGTGAGAGGCATTTCACGTGGTGTCAGACTAAAGAATTTACTTTGCCTGCTGTTTTGGATTAAGAGAAGACCTTGGGGAAACCTTGATTTAATGAGAGAGTGAGTTTAGTTACTGAAATGAGCGTAGAAACCTACTGCCTGGACTAAATATCTCCTGTAGAAGAAGCGTTGTGTCTTTTCAGCTAAACCTTTAAGTAAGTTATGATGAGTATAGACTGTTGCTGTTTTAGCTAGTTGGAAGGTTTTATTATTTTCAATTTGACCTTTGAATTTGTCTCTTTTCAGAAGTGATGTTACATCACAGAAACCCTAGTTTTATTATTTTCTAAAAGATTTCACAAACTCTCAGTATGTGTCAGAGGAAGACCTGTGGTCTTCCATAGTGGTACAGACAATTTCACACACCCAGTAACGCTTATTGTAAACCAAGTGTGGAGTAGGGTTTCTTGTATTTCTTGGAGGTGTTTGCAGGTGCTAGGTGCTGTGTCCCCAATGTGAGGGCCACCGTGCCTTCTTAGCATGACCTTTGCCCCCACAGCCATCCCAGCTCTGCAGCCCATAGTCCACGACCTCTTCGTACTGAGAGGAACCAATAAAGCGGATGCAGGAAGAGAGCTTGAGACTCAGAAAGAGGTGGTGGTGTCAATGTTACTGAGGCTCATCCAGTACCATCAGGTAAGGCAGGGCGTTGGCGGCACTGCGCTCTATTGTCCTGCAGGCACAGAAAGAGATGCCATGGGGTCCCCCCAATCCTGTTAATCAGGGGTGTTGCTTTGGTCCAGCCTGGGCTTTTGGGCTCGGGAGATGCCAGGGACAGGACAGTTGGGTAGGGGTCTGTCTTGAACGCAGAACTGCCACGTGGAGAGGCCTCAGTCACACATCAGCCACCGTACCAAGTATGGTGGAGGCCCTCCTTTCCAAAATGAGGTCCCCCCCAAAAATCAATTAATTGACAATGCTGACCCAAAAAATGATTTTAAAATATATCAAATCTGAAATAATTTGGAGACTTTATTTGAACGTTTATTTATCACTGTGTTGATGTAGGGCCAAGGTCTGTTTTTTCGTGCTGATTCTAGTTTTGTTTTCCTTAAGGTGGAGCAAGAATTTTGGGTAGTTTGAGGCAGTTTAAGTGCAGAAATGTGGCTTTTTAATGACTCCTCTCTTTTAGCTGGTACAGGGGCCTAGCCCTCATTTATTTGGTAATTTTTCTTAGCTATTTGTCTTTGAATCTATATAATGAGGTCATAAGCTTTTCTCATGGAAACACTTTCTTTGTGCATTCTCATTTTGGTTACTCTAGGTAATAATTAAATGTTTGGTTTTTAATTAAATCCCATAATCATAATAATAAGTATAACTAGCATAGAGATTTGAGAACCAGTGACTGACACTTGGCGAGCACGGGGTTGGTGGGTGGCCTGAGAGTGGCTTATGAGCCGCATGCATCCCCGAAGTGCTCGGCCTGGTTTACGAGACAACAGGGCTGGCTCGTCTTCCTAATGGAGAGCCGGGATCATATGCCGAGGTCCTGGTGCTGTCCAAGCACTGCCAAGCCCTTCAGAGGGACCCGCAGCTCGGACGGCGCAGGTGGCCAGCTGTGTAGAGCAGGGGCTTAGGTGTCTTTGTAGCAGTTGTGTTTTATAGACCAGGTTGGCAAACTTTCTGTAAACAGGCAGATAACTATTCTAAGCCTTTCGGGCCATACGGCATCTGTTGCAACCCCTCATGTGTGCTGTTGTGGACGAAAGTATCCTGGTCAGGATGTTCACCAAGGGGCGTGGCTGTGTGCCAATAAAACTTTATTTACAAAAACAGGCCTTTAGACTTCTCTGTTTAGGAATGTTAACTAATAAACTTGTCCTGAACCACATGTAACTCCTGTGAAAGTAAGTCCTGCCCAGGGGGAGATGGCCATTGCACAGAACACAGACTCGAAACTGCTCAATATGGAAGTCGAGAAGTCTCTGCAGAGCAGTTTAGTCAGCACTGTTTGTGTTTTGCCAGAGGTTAGCATGAGTCTGATTTTCTTTCTGTGCCTTTTCCTGGTCGTGAAGTCCTGCAGACTCCACAGGAACAGTACAAGGCAAGCCACCCTGAGGGGCGTGACTGAAGCTCCCAGGCCCCTCGCATCGTCTGCGGGCTCCCCATGTCGCGTGTCCCAGGGCCAGGGTTGCGTGGGTGCAGCAGTCCTGCGCTGGGGCTCACGCTGCTCTGGGCCCTGGAGCCGTGCAGCCGAGCCGGGGTCAGGAGAGAGGGAGCAGGTGGCAACGAGTGACCGGGCCCATCCCCCTTGTAGGTGCTGGAGATGTTCATCCTGGTCCTACAGCAGTGCCACAAGGAGAATGAGGACAAGTGGAGGCGGCTGTCACGGCAGGTGGCCGACGTCATCCTCCCGATGCTGGCCAAGCAGCAGGTGTGTCACCCCGCCCGCCACTGTGCACATTTGCACTTGGGGGAAGAGCCCGTGTCTAGGTGGCAGATTGATTTTACGGTGGTGCTTGCCAGGGCCGGTCATGGGCAGGGGTTCCTGCTGAGCTTCTCAATGGCCTTCTCGTTGTCGCCTGCCCCATAGGTGTGGAGCCCAGGGCTCAGAGACAGTCGTAGGTTGCCCAAGGGCGCACAGCTGGAAATGTGGATGATGATTGTATTGAGGGTGCAGGCCAGCTGTTTGGCTTTCATACTTTTATGTATTTGAGTCTTTTATAGAAAACATGGATTTATATAATAAAAATCTAAATGAAAATATTTGCTTTGTGGAGAAAATGTAGCCGATGCGGTGGTGTTCTGAGAGATGTTGCTTGTTTGACTATTAAAGTTAAAACACGTTTTAGTGCTGGGTGGTAGTGACGGCGTAGTCAAGGTCACCTGGCCCGCAGGTGCCTTACCGGGGGGTAAGTGTCGGCATTTGTGTTGTTTCATTGCAACAGATGCACATTGATTCTCACGAAGCCCTCGGCGTGTTAAACACTCTTTTTGAGATTCTGGCCCCCTCCTCCCTTCGGCCTGTGGACATGCTGTTACGGAGTATGTTTGTCACCCCGGATACAATGGTGAGTATTCTGCTGCACGGTGGCATCTTAGGGCCAGCGCTCTGCAGTCCCCCAGGGGCTGTGCTGGGGCCAGGGCGGGCCTGACAACGTGCATGCTGAACAGGCTCCCAGCTGGGGTTGATGCTGCCTGCCTGGGCCCACACTTTGAGAGCCCACGATACAGAGATTTATTGGTAGAATGTTAATAAAAGAGGGGTGGTTTCCATTTAGGAAATTGGCAGTCGGGAAAAACTTAACTCTCTTTTTTCTTTAACTGTGGCTGGTTTATGTTCTGTCTTTTAGGCATCTGTGAGCACTGTTCAACTGTGGGTCTCAGGCATCCTGGCCATTTTGAGGGTTCTGATTTCTCAGTCAACGGAAGACATCGTTCTTTCTCGGATCCAGGAGCTTGCCTTCTCTCCGCATTTAATCTCCTGTCCGATAATTAACAGGTTAAGAGATGGGGACAGCACTTCAACCCCGGAGGAACACAGTGAAGGGAAACACGTCAAGAATTTGCCAGAAGAAACATTTTCAAGGTGTGTTCTGTGTCTGACCTTTTCCTAGTCCCTGTCCTTAGGAAGTCGCGTGGTGTTTGGTGATGGGAAAGTCGGGAATAGTCCTCATCTCGCTTCAGCTCTGGGAGCTGTGAGGACATCTGTGTCGGTGTGTTTTCTTACCTGTCCTGCCTCACTTGTGGCCCTGGTCCAGGCCCCTCTCATGGCTCTGTTACGTCCTCCTGGCATCCTCGTTACAGACTACACGGGGGCTCACCACGGGGTGGGTGGGGGAGGGCAGCCTGCGCTGGGAGCAGGCAGTGAGGGCCACGCTGCCTACAGAGGATTGAAAAAGCTGAGCAGACCCACTAGAAGTTGGTCTTATTTTCATTCCCACTGTGTGCTGGCCCTTCTAAACCCTGCCAGTAATAAAACCCTTCTCCCTGCCAGGGCTCCCACGATGCTGTGGTACCAAATGGTGTCCACCATGCTGTGGCCTAGATAAGTGTGTGCCCCCCATGGCTGGATTGGGGCTCCCTCAGTGGGAGCGGCTTACAGGACATGCTGTGGGAGCAGTTTCTGCGAGGCGTGCCTTCCAGCCGGGGCCAGGAGCGTGCGGTAGCCGCCCTTTGGGTCTTCTGCGGAGGGTCCTTTGTGTGTGTGGAGATAAACCCAGGACACCCGCATGGCACCTGCGTTTGCAGGGTCAGCAAGGAGCCTGCGGCTGCCTGTTACATTAGCGGGTGCCTGAAACGGATGAGGCGCTAAATTCTGCCGTGCATTAATTAGCAGCAGCACCTGTACGGTTTACAAAGCTTTAGTCACTACGTGTCATTTTGTCCACCTGACAGTCCTTCGAAGGTGGTGTAATTACTGCCATCTCATAACTGAGGAGAGTGATACCTGAAGGCAAAGGGACTAATTCAAGTGGATAGTATTAAACCTCCCACTTGTTTATTTTACTTTACTCACACTTTTAAAAAATTACTTATTGCGGTGACATTGTTAATGAGATTATATAAGATTCAAGTGCACAATTCTGTACTAGGTCACCTGTATTGCACTGTGTGCTCACCACCCAGAGCTTAGCGTCCTTCTGTCCCCATGTGTTTCACCCCCTCTGCCCTCTTTATCCTGCCCCTCCCCTGACCCCCCCCCCCATCACCACGTGCCACGTGCATGCTGCGTCAGCCCTTTCCCACACTGTTTCTTGCCGTGTGTCCACTGTGTATACTTTTCCATGTTACCTGCTCAGTGCTCTGGAATGTCACTCATTCGCTGTCACCCTTCCCCGTTCCTTCAAAGGTTTCTCCTACAACTGGTCGGCATCCTTTTAGAGGACATTGTTACAAAGCAGCTGAAAGTAGAAATGAGCGACCAGCAGCACACTTTCTACTGCCAAGAACTGGGAACGCTGCTGATGTGTCTGATCCACATCTTCAAGTCGGGTAGGCACAGCGTCCGTGTTCCGCATCCCAGCGACACTCAGAGTGCAGGGTCCGTGCTGCCAGGGCGGGTGGGAGGGGCGGGGGCTGTGCTGCCGGGGGCAGGCTGTGCTCAGTGCGTTCCGTAAGCTTTGTTGGCGATAAGAGTAAACCTGAGGGCTTCCTCTGTTTTAAATATTTTGGAGACTGAGATGTGTTTGTTACTTTATGTATGATTGTGAATTAAAAAGGACAGTGAACCCAAGAGAGAAGTCACAAGATGCCAGTCATACATTGAGCATACGAAGTGGCCAGCCCGTATTAGGACAGTCAGCGTTTTCCCAGAGTATTTTCAAGAACAGAATGAGTGAGAAGCTGGAAGATGTTAGTTACAGGGCACAGGCACATCTTTCTTCTCTCAGCAAGGAAAACGAAAGGCAGGCCTAGCCTCTAGGAGAAACATACACCAAGGACGTCACGGGTCCAAATGTGAAGCAAGCCAGACGTGGCACGGTTTTCAGCAGCTGATTTGATGGAAACCCCTGACTGTAAATCCTCTCCTTTAAGTGGCTCAGAAGTCATGACCCAGGACCCACAGAAAGACAGGTCTTCCTCCTGGGCTTCTGGCTTTGTTGGGAACTGTCGTCACATAGTAATTGCTGTTTGAATTGTCAGTTTTGGAATCAGTATGAATAATGCATTGAAGACTGACTGACTGATGGTTTCAGAACAGAAGAAAAGTGTTTTCAGTTCTGACAAACATAAAGGGAAGGAGCCAACTTACTTTGGCAAGTGAAGGTTGAGGAAGAGGCGGAGGGTGGAAGGGACACTCAGTGTCCCCTCTGGCATGGCCGAGGCGATACGATCAAATGTGAGGTTCACAGAAGAGAACCGAAGCTGCCAGGTCACCACTCAGAACAGAATATGTGCTTACATGGGGAGGCGGCAGGTACATGTGCTGTCAGGTCACTCACAGGGCGGGGCCCAATCACGACAGGTCCCTGTCAGCAGGCGCGAGCGTGGGGAGGAGTTTCCTGGTGGAGCCCGCAGTGCAGGGCGTAGCACTCCTGGTATGGCTGCCCTGGTGTCGTCATCCTGGCATCAGCACTCCTGGCGGCGTCATCCTGCAGCTGCTGTGTGTCCCCAATCCACAGCTCTCATGTTGTGTCGCTTATTCTCCGCTGTTCCTTCTCCAAGGCAGGAAGGGTGGCCTCTGGCCGCCTGTGGTCCCAGCCTCTGCGTGAGTCCTGCGAGTGACACGTGGGCCCCAGCGTGCTCTGGCCCGCCCGGGCCAGGTGAGAGGTTGGACAGCATTTCTTCCAGAGGGAGGGTTGCTTTACTATAGTAAGGGCAGAGAAGCAGACACACAGCTCCGAGCGATGAGAGCACAGCAAATAGAAGTTCGGGGCGCCCCATAAGTAAACGGGAGAGCAGGTAGGTGCCCGAAGAGGGCTGGGCAGGGCACTTCTAAAATCAGAAGCCCCCCGCTCTGTTATTGGATTTTTAAGTCATGCACAGATCTTTAATACCAATTAACACACACGCTAAGTACTTACCTTAGAGCAGGACACTTACTGTTTTCAGCCTTTGGTCCTTGGACGAAGATGGACCGTGTCAGCCCTCCACCCTGCTGGCCCTGGTCATGGGCGGTCAGTAAGGCTGATGTGATTCTTGCCTTTGGGAACGTCCAGGCTAGCGGGGCGGATGGTTCATGGGTATATAGTCACAAGTCTTGATATGTCCTATGAAGGAAACAGACAGTGCAGTGACAGACCACAGGGTGGGTAGGTGGGGGAGGCTTTCTGGAGGGTGACGGTGAAGCTTAGACCCGAAATGCTAGCCTTTCAGAGAGAAGGGAGGGGGCGGAGGGGCGCTGGGGGGGCAGGCGGGACCTGGTATCCCAGCCCGGGAGCAGGGAGAATTGTGGCCACTTCGTCTGACTGCCAGCACCCTGGGCACAGGGACGTGGCCAGAGTAAATTTGATCAAAGACTTTGGTTTCAAGCCCCTAACACTGAACACATTTTCTTTCTGAAGATGTTTGGTTAATGCCCCACTGACCCGCTCTGATACGTTTAAAGAAGGAGAAAATAATGACGCCCTGTGAATAATAGGTCCTCTTTAGTGTGTCAGTCATTTAAATACTTGGCCATCAATGGGTTTGGGCCTGACCCCAGAAGGACACGAGTTCCATCTCTAAGGTCTGCTTTCTGATCTTCTGTGGTCTGTGTCGTTACACACGTCAGGCAGCGTTCCGTGCCTCTCAAGGTGTTCACTAACCCGTTGCTGTAGCTTCCTCGTCTTCCTGTTCTCAAAAATCAGGCGGTATTCTCAGTCCTGGGTGGGGCTGCCCAGCAGAGTTTGTTGCAGTGTGGGGTGCTCTGTGACCCTGCCAGTTCAGTGACCGCTGGGCTCTTGAAATGTGGCCTGTGCCATTTATTTTAATTTAATGTAAATTAGAACAGCCACACGTGGCTAGTGGCTGCCATGTCAGGACAGGCCACACACTCACTCTGCTCAAGCGCCCGGGCTGGGCACTGCGGCCCTCAGGTCCTGCTGCTGGCGCCTGGTCCTTGTTCAGCTGGCCTAATGTGTGAATAAGGCGTGTGCGTGTGTGTGTGTGTGTGTGTGTGTGTGTGTGTGTGAATGTCTATTTCTATCTTGTTTACTTTGACTGCATTTCTTGTAAAGACACTAGGGGGCAGAATTACTGTCTTTGTTTGGTTTTGAGATAGAGTTGAAGTAAGTCATACACTTTTATATAAATAAGGGGCAGTTAGCATATAAAGTTGGTAAGTTTTATTTCTGCATTACTTAAACAAAGGCAGTAAATTTCACTCCTCCGCTGAAAGTTAAGACTGAATTTGTCCATTTCAGGTATTCTTTCTCAAAATGGTAACTCGTCTGAATAATGGCCTTGACCTCCGATTTTCTGCCACCTCTTGTTGGGGGAAGGGTGTGAATCCCAAAGTTGTTTGCCTGTTTCAGATTCAACCCAACATAAACAGAATGGCCAAGAAAGACAGCTGGTCTCCAGTTTACAAAACCTGGGTAACTGCTGCCCCGTCTTCCCCTCCGAGACGGGCCCATTAGAACCCAGGACTGCGAGTGTCCATGCTGTGCTGCTAGCGGGGCGGGGCCTGTGGCCAGGGTCAGGTCCCTCACTGCTCACTGTCCTCCTAGTCCATGCCGCGGGCCCTGCCCCTGCCAGCCAGACGCTCACAGCGGATGGTAGCACCATCCCTGAACCCCAGGCAGGAGGAACCGGGCTGCACGCCACACGCTCCTGTCCTTGTAGGCCACGCTGGAAGGCTTCTTCCCAGGACTTTCACAAGGGTCCGTGTTCCCACGTTATATAGGTGCCAAAGTAGGAGTACTGGGAGAAAGAGAAAACAGCTTTTACTATAGTAATGAAATTGACATTGATCCAAATTCATATGTGGGCAAGGTAAGGGCTGCCCGTGGTTATAATGCCAGGAAGCATGGTATCGTCATGTGGGCATACGGTCCCTTTTACGTGTGTTATCCCTGTTAACCCGTACAAGAACTTGGAAATATTTCTTCCTTTTTACTGATGAGGGAACTTAGGTTCTGAAAGGTCATATGGTAAAACCAAGAATGAAAACCCAAGAAGTTCTCGTGCCCATGTTCTTTCTGATATTCCATGCAGCCCATTGGGCTGATGATGGGAAGTGTGGCAGCCAGTGTGTGCAGGGCACTTCCTGTGGGCCCGGCCACTGTGGGAAGTGCACTGACACCCATATCACAGCACAAGGAGCAGGCAGAGATGGGGGATGCGAGAGCGCCGAGCATGGGGTTGGGTGAGAAGCAGGCCTTCTGGCTCACGCTCCGCCCTCTTCATGCCCGGCCTGCAGGTGGCACTGGCTCTCCAGCTCCTGCTTCCGTTACTTTTTGAAGCACTAAGCTCTTTCTTTTTGGCGCCAAAGGACAGGGCTAGAGGAGTCGTCTTTGTGCACAGCCTTCCGTCTGTTCCTGCCTCAGCGTGCTCTCTGCTCTTTGTCACTGCCTCTCGGCCCCTGGCCCTTTTCTCTTCTCCCAGCTCATCAGGCTCTCTGGCTTCCCCTGCCGTCATCGGACACTGTGCCGTGGCTCCTGCCCTTTTCGCTGTCTCAGCCAACTATCACTGCTCTTGAGACTGGGAAGGGACACCCCGCCAAAAGTATCTCCAATCTCAGTCAAGGGCTCACCACCTCTGTTAGTTATGGCCACAGTAGCTGCTGTGACAAGTCAGCATCAGCGTCTCCGGGGCTCACACACCGCGGCTGCCTCTGGCCTGTGCAGCCGCCCCTCCTGCCCGGGGCGCTGCCGTCCTGGCTGGCAGCACCTTCATCTGGCTGGGGAGAGGAGAGGAGAGGTAGACAAGGTTTCATTGCCTTGTACTGAAAGTGACCCACGTCCCTTTTGTCGCATGTCTCTGGTGACAACTTGTAGCCCCCACCCCCTTGCAGGGGCTGGAAAATGTTCACGGCAGGGCCGGGGTGAGGGACACAGATTCTGGAGGGCAGCTTGCCGCCCCTGATAGAGCCACAGAGATGAAAACCAGAGCTCCCAGGTGACCAAGTCAGGAGGGCGAGGCAGGTGTCACGGCAGGATTAGCGGTTGCTTCAGCATGAGCCGTTTGCCAAGGGTGCGCTGGGTGGGCCGGGTGGGGCTGCTTTCTAGAGCCTTTCCCAGTCCTTGCATGTCTGACACCACTTCCCCTATGGAAGGCACCTCCAGGTTCCGCAGAGAGAAGCGGAGCCTTCCCACTAGTGTTTGTCCAGTTCCTCTTCCCGTCACCGCCGCGTTGGCATCCTTCTAACACCTCTTCCCCTGGCAGACAAGGAACCATTGGGTTCTGACCATGGCTTCCTGTCCAGTGAAACCCCACGCCTGTGGTCCGTCACCCCCAGGCTCCTGGCCTGGCTCCAGCGTTCCTTCCGGGCACAACTGCCTCTTCCCTGTGTCTTTTGTCCCCACACAGAGCCCACGTGGTAACGGAGGGCACAGAAGGGCCAGGCCAGGGGGCAACCAGAGAGAAAAGCCGGGAGTGGGGCCCGGAGACCAGATGGACTCTGGGAATCTTCTCGTTGGGATTTTTCTGATCGTCCTGCTCTTGCTAGGTCTCCCCCCTCGCCTCAGCTCATAGGTGCGACCAGTCACGCAGCAGTAAGGACGAAGACCGCAGTCGGGCTTGGCCTGTTTCAGAACTCTCTTGCATTTAGGATGTGTTGAAATTTAAATCAGAAGTAAGATTTTCGCTCTCCAGCAGTGATGCCGGGAGACCCAACATACGGGGACAGGAAGCCCTTGGCCAGCCCCCCCTCCTGCCCACACTGTGCTGTGTGGTGTGAGTGTCTGTGTGTCTGTGGGGTGAGGGCCAGCTGTGTAAAGTCGTGCACAGTGACGGGAATGACATGTTGGACTGACTTTGTGTCTGTCTAAAGGAGGGGCCAGAACTCAATGGTTAAGTCCCAGAGGGGAGCTTTCTAGGCCCTGAGGAGGGTGCTGTGTAGAAGCTTGTGGGCTGAGTCCCACTGGGTCTGCTGCTGACCATGTAGCCGCCCCGCCCCAGGACGCATCGTGGCGGGCGAGGAGACCGCGGGCAGTGGCACAGAGCACCGTCTGTCTCCTTTCTGTGGGCACTCGCTGTGGCCCATGTGACCTCTCTAGTTGCTCTCCCTCAGTTCTGAGCAAACCAGGGCTCTGTTTGGTATGGCAGGAGTGGGGTGCGGTGAGGCTGCCCATCCCTTTGAGTACGTGCAGGAGAGAGCCGTGTCGTTTATGTAAATATCTTCTCGTAGCTACAAAGTATTGGACTGTGATGAGCAACGAAGAGATTCCACCTTAATCAGTTTTACTTTGGGTTTGTCTCTAGGAATGTTCCGGAGAATCACAGCAGCTGCCTCTAGACTCTTCACCGCCGACGGCGCCGACGGCAGTTTCTACAGCCTGGAGAGCTTGAACGCGCGTGTGCGCTCCATGATCCCCACACACCCTGCGCTCGTGCTGCTCTGGTGTCAGATCCTGCTGCTCGTCAGCCACACCGACTACCGCTGGTGGGCCGAGGTGCAGCAGACCCCCAAGTACGTCCGCTGGGCCCACCCGGACTGTGTGCTAACAAGCCTCTCGGCAGCTCGAGGTTTGGCCCATTTGCGGGAGGTTTTGTAAAGAGTCCTTTGCGTTTGTTTTTTTTTAAAGATGTTATTGGGGAATTGGGGGAGGGAACAGGCTTGGGGAATCAGGGAAGGGGAACAGACAAATTGCTCTCCTTTTGTTCTTCAGTCTAGTTGTGGAGGACGTCGCTTCACTGGCCCATGTTGGTATAATCATTGCACTCTTCCCGGGTGAGGCAGTTGCTTGCCGGCCATTGGATGGCCGCTCATGGCTGCTCACGGCAGCTCACACCAGCTGCCAGCCGTCCCACTGCAGCCTGCGCCATTGCCGGCAACTCACAGCAGCCCAGCTCCAGGTCGAGCTGTTGTTCACCATCTTAGCTGTAGAGGGCGCAGCGACACTGGCCCTCATGTGGGATCCGAACTGGGGCCCTGCTGCTCAGAGCTGGCGTCCCACGGCAACTCCTAACCAACGCGCCAGCCCTCCTCTGCATTTTAATCTTCCTTTCACGGACACTAGTGTAGGGAAAAAAATGTGGTCCCACCAAAGACATTCAGAATCACCACTGCTTTTTGAATGTGATTTGTTTGACACAGTCTTTGACCCTGTTCCGTCTTGTGGGTCGTTCTTGTCATGCCATGTCCCTCCTGCTAGGGTCTCGTCCTTAAATTGGCTCCAGAGCCAGATGTGTTGCAATGTCTTAACTTCTTTGTAAGTTAAATGTGGTTCTGGTTATTCTTAGACAATGAAGGAATGACTTAGCAGCAGTTTAGAAGTGCCTGGAAATACCTTCTTTTTTATCATTCAAACGACTTCTTAAGTAGCCGATTGTGGGCGGCCTCTTTTTGCAAAAAGCTTCCAGGTTTAAGCCTCAATTTTGAGGCACTGTCTTGCTCAGACGTTTGTACATGTGTGGAAATCAAAGCTTGGACACCCACCTCCCCACACGGAGGCCTCTGCAGGGTTTCTGGAAGGCTCGAGCCTGTGGTGAGGAGAGAAGCCTCTGAAAAGAAGAGACTGCAAGGGCTGGAGGGTTGAGGTCAGCTTCTCTGTGCTCAGCGGGGCACCGCGCTGTGTGAGACCACAGGGTTCTGCTGGGGCCAGCCCATTCCTCACGCCCGGAATACCCCACGCTAGCAGGGATATTAAACATTACTCGGCTCTGTGCAAATGCAAAGGAAAAGTAAGGGCTCTGCCCACCCTCAGAGCATGAGCATTTTCTCCTGTGGCTTCTTCTGGAACTTGCATACCTTCAGCTTTGACCATTTCAAGTTAGTTTTTGTGACTGGCATATGTAAAGATAGAGCCATTTTCTCCCTGTGTGGATAGTTCTTTCAGCCTCGTTTGTTAAAGGCTGTCCTTTCTCATTTGAGTAACCTTGGCACTTTGCTCAAAAGTTCATCGAATGTGGACATATGGACCGTCTCTGCGCTCTCCGTTTCCATCCATCTGTGTCTCATCATGTCAGTACCATGACTGCCAGTTAATACCACACAGCCTAAGACTTTGCTCTTTGTTTTCAAAACAGTCTTGGTTCTTTTAGGTTCTTGGCATTTCCATATCTGTAGTTTAGAATTGGGCTCTACAATGTCTGTAGAAAAGCCTGCTGGGGTCCCTGAATACTTCATGTTTTGGACTGCAGTTGTAAATGGTCCTTTAAAACCGACTTCATCTTCCCCTAGAGCAGCGGTTCTCAACCTGTGGGTCGCGACCCTTCCACAGGGGTCGCCGGGTACTCGTATGTGGGCCTATCTGCATGTGGGCCTGGAGACGGATAGAGGAGCGGTGTCTCGGTTCCTAAGACCATCGAAAATATGTGTTTTCCAATGGTCTTAGGCACCCCCTGTGAAAGGTTGAGAACTACTGCCCTAGAGTGTTGGTAGTCTGCAGAAATGCAGTGGCTGTTGTGTACTGAGCTCATACCCTGCAACGAAACTCACACAGTAGCTCCACACCCTGCTTGAGGGTTCCTTCGGGTTTCCTGCGGACATGAGCACACCATCGACGGCTAGAGGCTCTACTTTTTCCCGCCTAGTCCGGATTCCTCGTTCCCTTCTCTGCCCCAGCACGCTGGCTGGGCCCTGCCGCACAAGACTGAAGTGCTGGCAGCTTCTCGGGTTCCTAGAACGTCCTACCTCAGGGAACGATTTGGTGTTTATTTGGGCGGGAAAGATGGACTTCGTCCCTTGATAGCAGGGAAGACGCAAACTGCAGGGGTGTTAGAAATTGCTAACATTCACTGAACATTTTAAACTAGAGAAGATAAAGGCTGATCTAGTCATTGGACTTAAGTGCTTGAAAAATCTGAACAGGCCTGAGAGCTGACTAGTGTCAGAAGCCGCAGGTGCCCCTTCTGCTCGGGCGTGTCCCCGGAGCCTGGGTGGGCGGCTGCCCACGGCTGGGAGCTGAGAGCCCGTGCCCTCCTGGCCCGTGCGCCACACCTGCCCCTTCTTCCGCCCGTGTGCCCTTCTCCTTGTGTTGGTGGGAGTTTAACCTCCCAAGTGTCTCCGCCATCCTCTCCTTCCCTGCCCCTTGCACCTCGGCTTACTCTGATGTTGTGTCAGAAACCTCTGGATCTGGGAGTCAGAGAAATGCTGGACTAGACGGTCAGTGTTTAAAAGAAGTGAACCCAAAGTGAATGTGGTCTGGGCTTCAGCCGGTATCCGTTGAGCCGTTTGAGGCCAAACTACAGTTTTTCTTAAATGCAGATGGTTTACTCTGTGATAGTTTTTCTTGACCCTACCTGACTCAGTTTCCCTTTTATAACATTTTGTATTGTCCCCTCTATTATCCTGAAATAAAATTAGTGGGGCCTATAGCCTATCTGTACTTAAATTTCATAAAAATAGAACGCCTTAAAGGTAACACAAGGGGAAAATACTGTGGAATAAGTACTTTGGCGCTCAAGTGCTTCATGTCCCCCTGTGTTAGAGGGAAAATGCCCCTCCATGTCCAGAGCACCCCTGCACTGGGACGCTGTTTCTCCAGCTGCATGTTATGGGGATGAGAAAATAAAAATGAATTATGAAGTAGGAAATACAAAAGACAAGCCATTGGTTTTCATGTGTAGACTCACCAGCTATTGCTCTGTCAGATCGTTACGGAAGATCTACCCAGCTCCCAGGCACACTTCAGGCCGCGCCGCTCCCCAGGGGACAGAGCCAGCTCCCAGCCACACTTCAGGCCGCACTGCTCCCCAGGGGACAGAGCCAGCTCCCAGCCATACTTCAGGCCACACTGCTCCTCTGGGGGCAGGGCCAGCTCCCAGCCACACTTCGGGCCACACTCTTTCCCTGGGGACAGCGGGGTCTACTCTTGTCTGCTTCTTACATCATCACAGGTTTATGTTTGCTTTCGATCTGTCGCACCTTTGGTGGACTCGGTGACTTCCCACACGTGCCTCGGCCCCAGGGCTGTGGTGTGGTGGCCACTCCCCCTTTGTTGTTGTGAGGCCTGGCAGCACCTGTCAGAGGCCGTGGGGCTTGCCCTGCTGCAAATTGGGACTAAGTTTGGGTTGACATCAGACCTCTTCTGTGCCTGCTGCTGATACTTGAATTGGAGACTCTGCCCTTCCCTTTCAGGGGCTCTTTCCCTCATTAGCTGTCCTATCGCAAACACCAAATTAACAGCGTGAATGTGTGTCATGTTGGGGCCGGCAGGAGGGCGGGCTGAGGAAGGGGACGTTCTGATCGACACGCAGTGTACAGCACAGTAATACACTCTTTCGTACCAAATGTGGTCAGCTTACCACTGCCACAGTCAAGATAGAGAACAGTGCCAGCCCCTCAGAGCATTTTCTGTGTCCCTCTGCAGTCATTGTCTGCTACACCCGCCCGGAATATTGCAGAAACTGTGGAGGTGGCACCATATAGGGTGTGGCCTTTGAGGCTGGCTCCCTTCACTTGGCACGGTGTATTTGAAGTTCGTTCACGGTGTTGCACGTACAGTTGTCTGTTCCTGTGGTTACTGAGTGCTGTTCCATGGTAGATGTAGCACGGTTTGCCTATCCATTCACCAGGTGGAGAACAGAGGCATGGTAGTGCTTAAAACGTTTAAATCTGTAGAACTTATTATACCATTTCTCTTCTACATCCTGAGGCGTTATAGGAAAAGTTGACACGTTTTCAAATAGTCTTGTTCTGGCATGACCTCTGCCTCCCTAAGCCTTAGCAGAGACACACAGAGGTGCTCACCGAGGAGACCTGCTGTCCTAGGTCAGACCCAGGAGTCAGAGGGGCCATTTGTGAGTGTGGCAACAGTCGTGATCTGAGTGTTGGGGCTTGAATCCAGAGTCTCAAAGAGTTTCTGATTCCTTGTACTTAAGAAGCAGAGAGACAAAGTGAGAAAAATGGAACAGGAAGTGAAATAACTGACTTTCCTGTGGGGAATGAATTTTGTGGAAATGCTTTTAAGCAGCGTTTCTGTAACAGCATATACACTGTGGGCACGTCTAGAGCTGTAATGTTGCATGTTAATCGAGTAGTAAAATAGGGACGTGGCAAGGTCGCCTTCTAGCAGCTGACAGCTTCCATGCTGACCAAAACTGGGGACGCCGGCAGCAATGGCTGCGTCATCACACAGCCAGCAAGAGCTCAGACACCAGTGCTGATCGAATGCGCAGCTTCTTGGACTTTCTTTCATGTTCTGCCTGCTACGTGCTGTGGTCTCTAGTTTCCGCGTGCGCTTTTTCACGCTCGAAGTAGGTAATGAAGAGCGTGCATTACACAAACACTTTCCAATGTGCCTACTTGAAGTCACTGTCTGCTTTAGAACCAGAACTAACGTAATCGCCTTCAGTACATTCAAAGTCAGCTCGCTGCCGCCCTGGAAAGGTTGTCACTGCATCTGTTGCTTCTTCCAGAAGACGCAGCCTGTCCTGCACGAAGTCACTTAGTCCCCAGATGTCTGCAGAGGAGCATTCCGAGGTGGCCCCCAGACTGGGAGTGTGCAATCGAGAAATCGTTCGGAGAGGCGCCCTCATCCTCTTCTGCGATTATGTCGTAAGTGTGAGAATGCGAGCCGTGGGGTGGGGCCTGGGGAACACTCTGCATGCGTGACACTCCAGACCGGCTGAAGCCAGACTGCCTGCCGCCCCGACAGAATGAAAACCCAGAGTTCACGTCCAGTCCGGCTGCCCTGACACAAAAGTTGATCACGGGTTCTTAGTTTGTGTGTGAAGGCTTCACTCAGCTGTCACTTGTCCCGCACACATGCAGTGACCGCTCCCTGCCATTTGCAATGCTGGGCAGCTTTGCCGAACGGAGGGAAGTGGTGGAATTATAACAATAAAATGAAGCTGACACTGTCCACTGGGGTGAGGCTCTGATTAAAAATGGTTTTAATCTGTGGAAAAGTTGTCAGCTGTTCATCGCTGCATTTAAAAACAAATCTCTGTTTAAATGCCATTCTTTTTAAAAAATAGGGAGTTTTTTACCATAAAACTAGCATTATGTGTTTAACATAGAAAATTTACAAAACCCAAATAAGTAAACAGAAGAAAATAACATTTCCTGTAATTACTCAGAGAGATCCTGTTACTTTTTGTTGGGATTTAGCCCTTTCCCACAGCGGTATAACGTGTGTGCGTTTGGTGCACACACCGCCGTCACGAAGCAGCACACTGGTGAGCGCCCTGGGCTGGGAGGCGGGGCGGCGTCTCCGCTGACGTCGCCATCGTTCCGGTTCCTTTTGTTGTCATAGCAATTTATTAATATTCATTTTTGCTGTACATTCTTGATGTTGAAATTGTTTTTTTTATCTTGTTCCACTTCTAAGAAATAATATAATTATATAATGCTGTAGTTCACAGATGTAAGAAAAATATTCATTTTATAAGCTAACGCTCTCAAATTATCCCACATGGAAAATACTAATTGTTAACCAGATGACAAAGAATTGGTCTCATTTTACAATTTCGGTCTAGAGGATTATGAATTAAGGTAAAAAGGCAACATATGTGTATAAAAATGGGTATTTCTTATTTCCTTAGGAATCTTAAGTGAAATTTCCTCCCTTAAGATCCAGTCAATATGTGGGATCCATTCATATTTTGGATTCAGGAATTCTATCAAAACTGTGACAGCTATAGGGAATTCTTTTTTCCGCTGACCTGTCACAAAATTGGAGAAAGAGATACCGGAGACCACCCCTCAGGAGGCCACACCGACACCTGGGAAAGAGCAGGGTGGCTGCAGACGGAGCGCCCTGGCTCCGGACTAGTCACCTGTCAGGGCAGAGCTCACCGTCCCTGCTGCCCGAGGCAGGTGGCTGATAACCGACCCCCCTCCCCGCCCCCCACGGCCCTGGACCTCATCCTGGCCAGGCCGTTGGCTGGTGTCCCTTGCAGCTGGACTGCTGACTCCCATGTCCCCGGTGGGGTCTCACTTGGAACAGCCTTGGCCACTGTGCGTGGTGGAAGGCGACAGACTCTGGAAAGTGAGTTCCTGCTCGTCGATGATCGGTGCTCAGACACCAGCTGTGTCCTTGAGGCTCACACCTGGGCTGTGTGTTCCCCTTCCTGCCCCTCATGCCTCTCGGAGGCATTAACGCCTGCTCTGTCACGCTCTGCCTGGGAGTGAGGCTTGGGCTGTTTCTCTCCTCGCTCAGTGTCAGAACCTGCACGACTCGGAGCACCTGACGTGGCTCATCGTGAACCACATCCAGGACCTGATCAGCCTGTCCCGGGAGCCCCCTGTGCAGGATTTCATCAGTGCCGTCCACCGGAACTCCGCGGCCAGTGGCCTTTTCATCCAGGCCATTCAGTCTCGCTGTGAGAACCTCTCGACCGTAAGTGCCTGCTGCCCGCTGTTGTCAGTCCGTGTTCTCAGCCTGACATTTTGGAATCCTGGTTTCCACTTGGCAAAACCCTCTGTCCTCTGTCCCACGCCAGCCCACTGCGCTGAAGAAGACGCTCCAGTGCCTGGAAGGGATTCACCTCAGCCAGTCGGGTGCCGTGTTAGCGCTGTACGTGGACAAGCTGCTGTGCACTCCGTTCCGCGTGCTGGCTCGCATGGTAGACACCCTGGCCTGTCGCCGGGTGGAAATGCTTTTGGCTGCGAATTTGCAGGTACTGAGAAAAACACTGATACCGGTTTTTATCAAACACTGAGCAAGGCAAGCCGAACAGTTGCTGGGGTTTTCCTCCACGGGCATATTCTTCATATGGTCACTAAAGGAAACATGTGACACGTATGAACTCGTCATTCCTTGTGTGTCTGATACGAGTGTCTTCTAACCTGCCTTTGCTGCGTCCGATAAGCCGCACATGTCAGTTTCTCCATTGTAAATGCGCGTGAGGCCGTTTTGATTCATTGTGTTACAAACCCCTGATGTGTGCTTGTCTACTTTAGAACAGCACGGCCCAGCTGCCAGTGGAAGAACTAAACAGAATCCAGGAAAACCTTCAGAGCAGCGGATTAGCTCAGAGGTAACGTTGGAACCAGGCGCTCCGTGCTTTGGATGTGAAGACTTAGGTTTGTAAGGGAATGAACTCGCAGGATGAGAGACTGGCGTGCTATGTCGATGGGTTTACTGCAGGGGGCCTTATAGAAAGCCTCCTGCATTACACAGAGCTGCTTCACACTATACAGACAGAGCCAGAGGACCTGACAGCATCAGCCGGCTGCCTGTGTGGATGTGTGCCTACCTCTGGGCCCCCTTAGTGGACGTGTGCCCGCCGGCCTGTGCGGACATGTGCCCGCCGGCCTGTGCGGACGTGTGCTGCCGGCCTCAGGGCTGCTTGAAGCTTAGCCTTCAGCTCTGTTCACCGTCCTGTGATGGATGGGAAGATGAGTTACCAGCTTCATCTGAACAGAGTCAAAGTATGTAATCTAACTGCTAAGTGAGAGTTGGCAAATCCGGAAGATGTTAACCGAATTCTTAACTTGCACGAATTATGTCTGCATCTTGTTAAACATTTTTTCTTTATAGCTATTTATCACCAAAGTTTGTTTGCAAAGCCTTTAAAAGCCTTTATCAGAAATCATGGCATCTATTATGAGTGTATTTCCTTGACAGCAAAATAAACGGAGAATCTTTTACCCTTGTCCTCCCCGAGGGTAGGTGGGGGTGGTGGAGCGTGCGAGAGAGAGAATATAGTTATGATGCTGTGACTTCAGTAGTAAGAGTGGCTGTGGGTGGCATCTTTAATAGGGAAGGGGCGAGGTTCAGTGGGCAGGACCTGGCTGTGCGTGGTTTTGCAGGATGCCGGGCTGAGTCACGGTGTAGTTTGGTCAGGCTGTTATTTTTGTTTGATCCTAGACTTAGTGTTCAGCCCTGATGAGGAAGACTATAAATATCTTGTAGCAGACGAGGTGATTCTCTTATAAAGTGACCATAATTGGTATACATGTTGTCTTGCTGGGAGATTGCCATGCACTTGGATCTTGGATGATACTTTGCCTTTCTGAAGGATGCTTTGATTAGCTGCTGTCCTTGTATTGCCTATTGCAATGTTTGAGTATAAATGAAATTTCTGAAAAATATTTATGGGGCATAAAGTGTGGTTGTTAGAAGTAAACTAGGACCTGAACTGGCGTCATGACTTGTTTGAGTGTCAGTGAGAAGTAGCTTTAAAGAGCACATCAGTTGAGTTTATCTCGCTTTAAGAGGCCACTGTTATTTCTTCCCCGTGAAGCTGGGCTCTAACCCATGTGTGATTGGATTCTAGACACCAAAGGCTCTACTCCCTGCTGGACAGGCTTCGCCTCGCCACCGCACCAGGGTCACGTGGCCCCTCTCCTCTGGTCACGTCTCATCCACTGGATGGGGATGGGCCCCTGGCACTGGAGACAATGAGTCCAGACAAAGTGAGTGCCTCATGTCTGTGTGAGATGCATGGGCCGGCTCAGGGCACTGAGTACCACTGTCCACTCCCTGCAGACCCAGAGTGTGACGGGGCGGTTCGGGTGGCAGGATGTCATGGCGCTTGGTGCAGCTGTTTCCTGCCAGCAGCGGGCGGGATCCCACGCCTGACGGCGTGCCTGAGTCCAGCCAGGGAGTGAGAAAGGAAATGCTGACTAGGACACGCACGGCGGGGGCGGGGGGTCAGGGCAGTCAGTGGGACAGTCAGGAGGTAGGGGCCGCGGCCTGCACTTAGACTGCACAAGCCTTCAGGCACGCGTCCACCTGGCCCGTCTCCTCCTTACACCTGCTGACCGCCTGCAGTATTGACCCCACCACCCCACAGTCCCTGAACGTCATTACCCTAAAACTCACACCTCAGCTGGGCCGTTGGGCCCCGGGAAGAGCCTTGGCACCCTACTTTCTTGGAGAGAGTTCAATTTAAGTATGAACTTGGATTTCAACAACCAACAATCCAGGCACGAATAGCAGAAGTCCTGTGCTGGCCCTGGAGGGAGGAGCAAAGCAGCCACCCCCAGAGAAGGTGGTGGGTACAATGCCAAGTGAGGGACAGGCAGGGAGGGCATGGAGCAGGGCCTGCTCCCTGCAGCACCTTTGCTGGCTTTGGAGGGCAGTCAGACGTTCCCCAGGTGGAGGGGAGAAGGAGCGATGTCCAGACAGTCACAGCACGTTCAGAGACCAGCCTTCGCAGCCACCTGTGGTGTGGTGGCAGCCAGCGCAGCTACGAGCCCAGCTTACCAGATTGCGTTCATAGTCTGGGGAGGACGCAGGTCCTGTGGTCGGGTGCCACAGGCTGTCAGGGGTGGCGGGGGGAGACCCACCATGTTACCGGTAGAATTGAGGGCCCTCGAAAGTCCGGCCCATTGCATGCCATCACCACTGTCCTCTCCTTTCCAGGACTGGTACATACGCCTCGTCCAGTCCCAGTGCTGCACCCGGTCAGATTCGGCGCTGCTGGAGGGGGCAGAGCTGCTGAGTCGGGTCCCTCCAGGTGACATGAGTGCATTCATGATGAACTCGGTACGGTGGGCACTGTGGGATCGGGCCATCCCTGCCTTTCTCCTGTCACTTAAACACGTTGGATTCCTCTCATCGTCGTGCAGCCTCCTTAGGGTGACCACTTACCTGCCTGCCCTAATGGCAGAGGCGCTGTCCAGGCAGGATGTGACATTAGTTCAGTCACGTCAGAGTCGAAAGGAGGCAAACTGTTTGAGTCAACTTTTCATACATGTAAAGAAAACGGGTTCTCTTACACTACAGTCCGTTCTAACTGCTCGTTCCCGTGGGCCTGAGCAAAGGTGTTGGACGGTGTCACAGCACATGATCTAATACTTCCCTGGCGTTCTGGAAGTTGATCTTTTATAAGCCCCCTCCCTAGATGCAGTGAGGCCTGCTCCCCCATACCTGTAGTGAGGTCCCTCCACCCCAATGAGATGCAGCGCAGTTCCCCACTTCCTCCCTAGATGTTCAGAGGTCCCCCGTGCAGGCATGCTGTGGAGAGCTGGCCCAGGACTTGTCCTGAGCTCTTGGGCAGCACCTGTGAGGAGTAGGACCCCCACCCCTTTCGCTGTCGTCCAGCCACAGCCTTAGTGGGCTCTTTCTCAGACCCCCTGGGACAAGCAGTCAACTAAACTTGTCGTGTCTTAGTGCTGCCCTGATACGTACCAGTGAGCATGCAAAAGCAGCAGGGACTTGAGGGGACGGCAAGGCAGCTGCATGGGGGCGGGGGGCCCACAAAGACTGGGCCGATGCGGATGGACAGAGGCTAAGGAGGCCACACAGCACTTTGTTCCCACGTATTAATCTCCATCAGTTTGAAAAGACGAGCTATGTTGAAAAAAAGAGGAGAATTGGCCCCAAATTAGTTTGCTAAAATCAAATCAGTTTAAGATCTATTCAGTGAAAACTGATTTGCTGAATGATCTGTTGTTTTAATGACCAATTTATTGAATTTTCCAAATTTAGCGATTGGACTTTTAACAGCTTTTTAAAGTTCTGGCTGTAACAGAAGGGTTCAGTTTTGGTCACGGATGGTGACACATGCTTTTCTGAATATTAACTGAATAAAGATTGACATTCTACCTGAAAATTGGCCCTCAAAATCCTTAAATGGTTTTTAAAAGTTGGCAAAACATAATACAGATTGAAACATCCTATGAAATGCTATTTTCCCAACCACAGCTATGGCATTTGTATGGTACTTTGATTTATCTCGGCTGCTTTTCAGCATAACTTATCTTTTTCAAAGTTTGGGAATGTTAGGTGTTTCACTGATTTCTTAGATGGCACATCCACTCGATTATATATTTTTATCAATTAAATTTTTTATTTCAGACAAATCTGAAAGCATAATAAAATAAAAATATTTCTTCAAAATTAAAACACCCAAAGGAGACCAGAAATAGACTTCACTGAGCTTGTATTTAATGGAGTTGTCTGTGGGTTTATTAACAGAAGCAGAGTATTTCTTAGAATTTTCTTACTGTGTATTAACTGGCGTTGTCTCAGAAATGTTCGATTGTCCTTTCTTCTGTGTTTTCTTGCCCGACTGAAAGCCTGTCCTTGTTGTTGAACCCTAACTGCCTGATGCAGGAGTTCAATGTGAGCCTGTTGGCCCCGTGCCTGGGCCTGGGTGTGCGCGAGATCTCCGGAGGCCAGAAGAGTCCACTCTTCGAAGCGGCTCGCGTGGCGACTCTGGACCGTGTGAGCAGTGTGGTTCAGCAGCTCCCGGCTGTCCACCAAGTTTTCCAGCCATTCCTGCCTGTGGACCCCACTGCCTACTGGAGCAAGTTGAATGATCTATTTGGTAATTAAAAAAAAAAAGTCTTATTTTAAACTGCTGCAGACCCAGTACCATGCTTTGCACCGAGTCAACATACAGTAAATGCTGTGCTAAAATCAATTGAAAGCATTTACAGGGCACCTGAGAAGCGGTGCTGGGGTCCCTAGCTCTGCATGTCTTTGGTGTGTCTGTCACTTTGCCAGCCACTGACACCGCCTGGGCTCGAGGTGGGAGGCGCACTAGGCGGAGACCCCAGGGGACACGGGGCCTGGAGTACATGCCCAGGTCCCGTGTGTGTGCAGGTGTTTTTCACTCCTAGGTGGCGATGTTTTTCACTCATGTCAGAGTCTCAGGAAAGTGCCTATCTTTCAAGGTCACATGCCTCTGCTTGATTCGCCCACCCACCGAGGTCTTCCATTTTAGGGGATGCTGTGTTGTATCGCTCCATGACCACTCTGGCCCGGGCCCTGGCCCAGTACTTTCTAGTGCTCTCCCGACTGCCTGGACACCTGCGCCTTCCTCCTGAGAAGGAGACAGACACGGTGAAGTTTGTGGTCACGACCCTTGAGGTAAGTGGCCACTTGGGAACTCGCTGTCCTGTTGTGACTCGAGTGGCACTGTCACTCGAGAGAGGAAGGCAGTTTTAACCAGAAGCGGGAGCTGTGCGGTCTCCCTTACTGTCCTGAGTGCTTTCTCAGCCCTGATCACAGGTGCGTCGTGACGTTGGCGACATGGCACTTCCTACGCCTATTTCAGAGCCGAGGAAGGGGGGCTCTGAAGAGCCAGGCCTCGGACCTGGGCTCCCGCCCACAGCCATCATCCCTCCTGCCATGGCTGGTTGTCACTAGGTCTGGGGAGCGACTCTGGAGCGGGTATCAGTCCTAGAGGAGGGCCAGGCAGGGAGATTAGTGAGACCAGTACAGGCCTTTTGGGGTCTCCCCAGTCCAGAGGGGTCAGCGTGTGCTTGGGCGTGACTCTGCTTCTTTGATTTTAGTACAGATTTTCCATTTACATTTTTTTCTCCAAGGAAAAGGAAGCACTACATGTGCCCATGTGCAGGACAAGGTACTTCCCATGTGTCACCTTGTTCAGGTCTCAACCCTGAGATGGGCCCTGTTCCTGTTACTCCCCTTCCACAGACGAGGAGAGCAGGCCCTAGAGGTCCGGGGACTTGCCCAGGTTCACCCAGCTGGGACAGAGTCCCTGTGGCGGTTGAACCCATGGCTGCCTGTCTCCGGAGCCCATGCGCTCAAATTCAGCCTCCATGACCACGACAGAGGCAGGGGGGCCCCGAGGAAGAGTGGGGGTCCCCGAGGAAGAGCCGGGCCTAGAGTGTGGCACCCACAAAGCTGAGGGGAAAGAGGGCTGCCAGATCAGGGTGGGCATTCCGGCAGACAGCTGCCCCCCCCCATGCACTTTGGGGAGCAGGTGGTCAGGAGTGAATAGAAAGGAGTGGCAGTGGTGGCCCGTGCCTTGAGAAGGTCAGGGTTGTTGGCCTGCCAACCTTCCAAGCCTTGGACAATAGTTCCTTGCCTCGTCTGTTTCCCTGACAGCACAAGCGCATGACGGGAGGCAGCGTGGGTCTGAGCCTCTTTAACGCAGCCCTCCCTCCTCCGCAGGCGCTGGCGTGGCATTTGATCCACGAGCGGGTCCCACTGAGTCTGGACCTCCAGGCGGGTCTGGACTGCTGCTGCCTGGCTCTGCAGCTGCCCGGCCTCTGGAGCGTGCTGTCCTCCCCGGAGATGGCCACGCACACCTGCTCCCTCATCCACTGCGTCCGCTTCATCCTGGAGGCCAGTGAGTCCCTGACCTCAATATGTGTCTGTCCTTTGTCACTGAACCAGTAGTCAGCTCCGCAGACCTAGTCACAGACATTTACTTTGTGCCAGCTGCCTGCCCAGGGCCATGTGCGGCATTGGGTGTGTAGAGGTGGATGAGATAGGTGCTTTGCCTTAGCCTTCAGGGTCTCTCTTGGAGACCACACTAGGATTTCACTTGAATTTGCTTTTCTGGTCATCTTTAGATTTTTGGAGTCGCAGCTTTCATAAAAAATACTTGTAATTTTATGTCTCTTTGGTCTCTGGTCCTAGTTGACTGTTTCATGCCTTTAGTCCTAAAGGATCGCAATATTAATAAGATTACATTCAAAGATTACTCGTTTTCCGTTATGCTCAAAAGCTTGTTTCTGTACCACATTATAATACATATTGTAAAATAAAAGTGAGTTATTCTTTTCAAGGGACAGTGTCCTCAACAAGGATCATTAGCCAAAAATTTTTAAAAATTGGACATTATAGTTTACACGTTAGAGGGTGTTTTGAGGTTTTGTGTTTTTAAATGAACATTAGAGTGGTGTTTTGAAGTTGCATTGCTAAATTGTTTTCATCTGTACGTTTGCTGTCAACTTGAAGACAAAGATCCAGGGAGTAATTTTTCAAAGCCAGGCTTGTTGGGGGTTGTGGGATGCCTTTAGCAGCCGTGAATCCTGGCCCGTCTGATAGAACCCTTCAGGGTTGGAGGTGGCGACAGCAGACAGTGGGGTGGCTGGGCAGTCTGAATGTAGGAGCCCTGCTTCTAGTGCATTTCAGGCCTACCAGATCTCGATGCCGGAGTCTTGTACTGCCTCAAATGTCTAAAGTGGGGTCTGTGATGTCTGTGCCTCATTCAACACAGCCTGTCACTGCGAAATGGTATGAGTCTGCAAAATGTGAACAGGTGAATAAAAAGGAATGATAAAAGTGTTTGGAAATTCTTTTATCTGTTCTATTATGATTTTAGTTGTGGTGCAGCCTGGGGACCAGCTTCTCAGTCCAGAAAGACAGACGGACACCCCAAAGGTTGCCAGAGAGGACGGAGTACACTCACATATGCAGAGTAAGTCTCAAGACCCCTGTTTTCTTACCTGTATTTTTGGGGGCCTTGATTATTCATCCACAGAAGACTTTAAAGTGGCAACACGTGGACGCTGGAAAGCTGACTTGGCTGCGTCTTGTAGCTCGTCCCTAAATTGAAGGCGATTTGGGACACTGCCCCGCACCTGCTCTCTCCTCCACCTGTACATCTGCCCCCTTCATGACTCGCTTCAGCTGACCCTCCACACTCAGTGGGGATCACGGCCCTGGGGAGGCCTTGCTGTCCTCCGTCCTGCACCGAATGGCTTTGTGTGCCTCTCACCTGAGACTGGTTCCTTGGGGCAGAGCGTATGCTTGCCTTTTTCTGTGCGCTCACTATTGTAAGTGATGGGCAGATGTTTGTTTAGTAATGAATGAACAAACAGAAATATTAGAGAACTTTCAGTTAGGGGGAATACCCACCTGAATATTAGGTAACCTGAGTACCTATTTCAGCCATTTACTTTGGTGGATTTTTATATTAAAATTCTTGCTCTTCCTACAGAAACAAGAAGTCCACACCCCATTTCTTAAACCTCTTCTAGACTGAGGCAGATCCCTGTCTTTCACACACTTTTTCCTGAACGTGGCGGCGGGGCAGGGCAGGAGGAAGGCTGCTCGGCTGAGTGACTTCTTGTCACCCAGGCCTCCAGGCTCCAGGTCTTTCCTGCTCTTCACCGGATGGTCTGGCTGGAATGCCAGCCTGTGGCCTGTCTTGCAAAGAGGGGAGGAGACGCCTCACCTGGCAGCTCTGGGCTGTGTCATGGCGGCTCTTACTTAGAACACCGGACAGGGTCTTATATGTGCTGTGCTGGCTTCAACACGCCTTTTCCATAATGCATCCATGAATGCTTTGTGTCTTTTTTGTCAGCTTTTGTGTGGTCCCAGGTAATTAACGATGGAGTCTGTCTTTGGTATTCATGGTTGCCTGCGCAGGCTTTGTAATTGCACAGCCATCAGAAGCGGTGGCGTTTCATGCCACAGCCAGGCTCTTCTCTGAGTGTTCATCCCGAAACCGGTTCTGTCAGCCCTTGTGTGTGATTTCAGGAGTTGTTGCTGAGACCTGAGGGTGTGCAGATACTCACACATCTCACTGAGTGGCCTGGGCAAGTTCGGTGCTTTCGTGAGGATAGGAGTATGCTAACCTCCTAGAGCTGGTATAGGGTGGAGTAAGTTAATCCTCGTAAGGCACTCAGAACAAGTGCCCGGCTGTCACAGGTGCTCGGCTGGTGGCACCCTAACTGCAGGTGTGACTTGAAAGTACTTCCGGCGTGTGAAGGGTTGAGTCAGAGCAGGCAGGCCGCTGGCTGGAGTGCATTTCCTTTGGGTTAATGCCATTGTGCACACCCACCAAGGCCCTGCTCAGGCCGCTTCCTGTCCCCCCCGGCCAGAGGAAGAGGCTGCTTTTTGTCTCCCCCATGGGATGGTACCTCTTAAAGATGCTCAGTCAGTTCTACTGAAGTCAGCCTCGTTTCTCTTAGCTTGGGGTCTGACTCCTTGAGCCCAGGAAGAGTCCTCTGTGTAGGAGGAAGTCGCCCGGCCTGTTGAACCTCATAGACCACGGCTAACACCCATCCACAGCCCTAAACATTTGTCAGCAGGTGATTGAGGGTATATCCTCAATGCCAGACTCGAAGTGAGTCAGAAGCAGCCCCTGCTCCAGGTGCCGAGTTCTCAGCTAAGTGGGGTGTTTCCTCTTGCCTCCAGAGTGCTAGCCTGGAATGCCCACCGCCCTCAGAACCCTGATCTTGGGAAACGGTGAACCAGGGATCACACCATGGTTTTTCACATGCCAGCTTAGGGACGAGCTCCAGGTGCTGGGAGAACCAGAGAAAGCCAGCTGCAGGGAGGGCGGGAGGGCTGGGACGCAAGGCAGGAGGCCACAGCAGTCCAGGGTGACATGCAGTCAACTGCGTGTGTAGACAGATAAGAGCAGGTAAATCTGCAGGCCTTCAGTGACCAGCTACAAGTCCGGGGCGCCGCTGTCCTGGCTGGAACGACTGGCTGTGGGGTGTACCTTCCATCCTGGCAGGGAGAGGAGGAGAAGGCGGCGGGCCGGGTGGTTTTGACAGCACCGTCCTCTCTCCACTGTGGTGCTTGCTTAGGGCCTGAGTACATCACTGCAGCCTGTGGCATGGTGGCGGAAATGGTGGAAGCTCTGCCCACTGTGCTGGCCTTGGGGCACAAAAGGAACAGCAGCGTGCCCGCGTTTCTCACCTCGGTGCTCAGGAACATCGTCGTCAGCCTGGCCCGCCTGCCCCTCGTCAACAGCTACACGCGTGTTCCTCCGCTGGTGAGTCTCATTTCTTTGCGGAGACCAGGACAAATGAGGCTGGGGTTCCCGGGTGAGTGTGATCGTGACTTCAGAGGCCGCCCTGAGGTGGCCAGGGCACTGAGTGTCGTCCTGACACCTGCCTCTTGTCTCTGGGCGTGACACACAGCTGGAGTTAGCAGAAATGCTGGCTTTTCTATGGGGCAAAGCAGCACATAAGAAATAAGGACCAGCCGAGTGGCTTGGCCGGTGGCACCCTCGGCCAGTGGTTGGTTAAGAGTTGGCTTAAAAGCACGAGCTCTGAGCAACAGGGCCGCCAGTTCGATTCCCACATGGGCCAGTGACGCTGCGCCTGAGCTGAGCTGTCGCTGAGCTTCCAATAGGTGGCAGGATGGCTCAGCTGGTGAGAGCACGTGCTCCTAACAACAAGATTGCCTGTTCGATGGTGGGCTACGCCCGCCCACAACTAAGACTGAACTCGGCACCTTGAGCTGAGCAGCCACCCGGATGGCTCAGTGGATAGAGCGTGCGCTTTTAACAACAAGGCTGCCGGGTTCGACTCCGACATGGGATGGTGGTTCCGCCCACCCGTAACTAAGACTGAACACAGCACCTTGAGCTTAGAGGCCACGAGCTGCCGACGGGCAGCCAGATGGCTACTGGCGCCCTCCACAACAAAGATTGAAGAACGTCAACTTGGCTGGTCCCCTTCCCCAATTCCCCAACACTGTTCCTCTCCCCCAATTCCCCAATTAAAAAAAAAAAAAGACCTCATCTCCCACTAGTAGGCACTTAGTGACCGGTGGGATGCTGAAGGCAGAGATGAATTCGGTTAACGGTGTGACAGAAATGACCCCTCTGGGAGTGTCTCCCTTTCAGAGTCGTCCCCTGTGGAGGTCATTCATGTGCTTTGGCACAACCCACTCCTTTTGAAATTGTCTTCAGAATCAGTTTCAGGTAGGTGTTATTGATCAGGGCTCGTTTCAGACAACGGAGCTTAGTATGATCAGGGTGGATGGTGGAGGCTGGACTGTGCTCCCCCCGGGGAATTCGCTGCAGTCACAAGGGGTGATGGGCTGGCCCAGCCGGCCTGGCTCAGGAGCTGAGGGTCAGCTAAGACCCAGAGGGCAGGCGCCAGCTTCACACCCGCCGGTGGGGCCCAGGCCCCATGCACGTGGGTGCACCAAAGTAACGGTGCTTGTTAGACCCCGGGGACGAAGAGGGCTGTGCTGTGGGGTGATGGTACCCACGTGGAGGGCTCCTTCTGAGAGCAGCCCCGGGCGTGCTGTGCCGAGGGGCATTGCAGAGCAGGCAGCTGGCGGCGTTTGTGACACAGGAGCCCACCAGGAAGACAGGCTGTGGTCACTGCAGGACTGGTCTCAACTGTGGCACACGAGTCACTGCAGGTTTTGAGACAACCGCACCTGTGAGGGCGTGGGGAGATGGTGACGGAAGGCAGTCTAGAAGTCAGGGTGTCTGGGACAGACTCGGGAACGTGCAAGCATAGACCTGTCCTGTGGGTGAGCTCCTCCAGCAAGCGTCCTCCCTGCACCGGGCAGCCCTCTGGAGGCGGCTGTGACAGGATGCGAGTGGGTTTGGGGAGGAATGGGAGGGACTTAGGAAGTGTCTTCCATGGGGAAGGGAGCGGTGCCAGCAGCCGAAGTTGGAGCAGCGCCTGCTCAGGGGTCCGGGTCCGGCGTGTGGAACCCCTGACCGACCCACAAAGCTGGACTTAATGGAGTTCACAAACATGGAATGGGTGCTCTGCGCCTGACTCAGCGCAGCTGCCTGGGTGGGGGAGCAGACAGGCTCACCGGTGGGCAGGGAGGTGCTCGGCCAGGTGGTTGTAGCCTTTTCCCAGGGAGGGGGCATGTGTGGTCAGTAGGTCAGGGCTCAGGAGGGGGCTGCGCTTAGAGAAGCGGCCTTTCCTGGTGCCCTCGCGATGCGCGTCCTGCTTTGACTGTGCGATTTGGCTCCTTTTTCTTTTTTTTTTTTTTAAAGATTTTTATTGGGGAATTGGGGGGATGGGAACAGTGCTGGGGAATTGGGGAAAGGGGAACAGACAAGTTGCTGTCCTTTTGTTCTTCAATCTAGTTGTGGAGGACGTTGCTTCACTGGCCCAAGTTGGCACCATCATTGCGCTCTTCTCTGGCGAGGCAGATCAGTCGCCGGCTTCTGGACGGCCGCTCACTGCGGCTGCTGGCCGCTCACGCTGGCTGCTGGCCGCTCACGCTGGCTGCTGGCCACACACGGTAGCCCATGGCAATCCACTGCCACAGGGACTGCAGCCCATGCCGTCGCCGGCGACTCATGGCAGCCCAGCTCCAGGTTGAGCTGTTGTTCAGCATCTTAGCTGTGGAGGGCAGTCACTGGCCCTCATATGTGGGATCCGAACCGGGGCCCTCTGGCATCCCAGCTCTTAACCATCGCGCCACTCGGCCGGCCCTGGCTCCTTTTTCATTCCCTCAGGTCTGGAAGCTCGGATGGTCGCCCAAGCCGGGAGGGGACTTCAGCACAGTGTTCCCCGAGATCCCTGTGGAGTTCCTCCAGGAAAAGGAAGTCTTCAAAGAGTTCATCTACCGCATCAACACGCTGGGTAGGCTCCATTTCCCCTGCAGAGTCGGGGGCTGTGGCAACACGACGGCTTAGGGCAAACCCCGCGCCCCAGAAGTGGGCTCGTCTCATCTTTCTCCCTGAAAGATTCAGGGTGTGACCTACTTACACGAATGCATTTAGCAGTGTGCTCAGAGCTGTCACAGTGGGACATTCGACCCCAGTTTGTGTGTGAGTTGAACCCCAAGTTCTCCTACATCAGGCTCGGTTGAGGTCGGGCAGGTCCCCTGGTGTGTGACGGGAGGGCCACACTCAGTCTTCGTATTGTCACCTGTCCTGGGCAGGTTTTGCTGTGTGGTCCCTGCAGCTGCTGCTCGTGTGGAGGACGGTGGACCCAGCATGGTGGAGAGAGGGGGGGCAGACCTCCGATGAGGCAGCGCGGGCTGTGTGTGCTGTGGACAGGACCCCAGCCGCCATCATGAAGTTCAGGGAGGCACCTCGTGCCCAGTACCCCTGCAGGGGACGGTGGTGGCAGTTTTCCTATCAGGACCCTTCTCTGCAGCACAGGGGAAGTGCCTCTTTTTGTCCCCGTTTTGTGGATGGAGGTGTGACCTGCTGAGGGTTGTGATTGGTAGACCCTGAGTGGCAGTGCCCTGCTAGGGCGTCCCGGGAACGTTTGTCTGCTGCGTTGGGCATGGCACCCTGACTGTGCCAGATGCACTCTGGGTCCCGCGGTGCCTCCTGTCTCGGGCTTCGGCAGGCTTTGTGCTCACTCAGGCCCCGGAGGATTCAGGTGGCACAGCCTCATTGCCTCTACCTTGCCCTTTAGTCAAGCGCACGACCCATCACCTCGTCCAAGATGGAACCTGAGCGCAGTCCAAGACGGGCTGCCTCAGGAGCATGTCCTCCTCCCCTCTTTCTGGAGGTTGTTGCCAGGCCACCTCCTGGCCTTTCAGGCCTCATCCCAGCTCATCCTCTTCACCGAGCCACCCTGTGTGTGGCTTATCAATCAGGCGCGTGAGACCCAGGACAGTTGTACGGTGTGGTTCCGATAATTGTGTTTGTTCTTGCTCACTGTCCCTTGGTTCATCCTTTGCTTTTCCCCTGCGTAAGTTGTCACATGTGTCTGCCTCCGTCTGTGTATATCTAGCCTATGTCTTAATCAGACTGTCGCTCTTTCTTCATCCAGCTTAGCCAGGATTCTGTGACTTGTAGCCCTAATCAGGTGGCATGGCCACCTCCACCTGCAGGGCCATGAGTGGGGACACTGAGCCCTCAGAAACAGCTGTTCACCCTCCCGCTGGAGCGCAGCCTGTGGTCTGGTTCAGGAGGGTGGCCATCTGATGTGGCCGCAGGACTGCGTGCCCCGAGTGCAGTCTGCTCCTTTTCGGTCTGTTCTTCCAAACAGGCCCAGAGAAACCACTGCTGTAACTTTCTTGTTGAGACAGACTCCGCACCGCACACACTCCAGCACGCACAGCGGCACGCGTGGCCTGAGCTGCATGCAAAGCTGTGCATGCTGAGCTCTGTCTAGTGGCCGAGCCTCTGGGGGACTTTGAACCCTTTGGTGTGCAGGGCGGAAGCGGCTCCAACCCCATTCGACTTTGCTGCAGCTCCACTGCGGGGGTGGGGAGGGCATCTCTCCACCAGGGCTGAACTTGGCCCGTGCCACTTGTCATGTGGCCTGGGGCGTGTGTGCTTCAGTGTCCTCGTTGATGGACCTCGTTGATGGACCAGAGGTGGCAGTGTGTGCATCACAGAACTGCCGTGAGGGTGAAGGGGGCTGCTGTACGTGGCCCTGGGGCAGGGCCTGTTCCAGGTAGAGCCGCACGGCCCAACTGTCGTGAAAAGCTTGAGGACTGGGCGCCCCTCCGTCTCACGTAACATTTGCATTCCCAGGGTGGACCAGCCGTACCCAGTTTGAGGAAACATGGGCCACCCTCCTCGGTGTCCTGGTGACTCAGCCCCTCGTCATGGAGCAGGAGGAGAGCCCCCCGGAAGTAAGCCTCGGGCAGGGCCATGCGTCTGCTGGCTGGCGCGTGGGTGGTCACGGCAGCTTGTGAATCCGTGGTGGTGGGCAAGGAGGGCAGCGGGCTCCTTTTTTTCTGTCTCATGTTATTTTAAAAAGAGAAGCCAGAGCAGGAAGAGATCTCCCCAAGATTCGGGGGTTCCTACCTGGGTGGGTGCAGTGCATTTTGTCACAGTGCATTACACGCTAAGGGTCAGTCAATTGCCCCCTTTCTTGAACGTATTTCTGAGTTCTGTTTTCCGGTATTCAGGTACAGTATGTAGGCTGAATCAGAATGAAAGGGGGCTCTAGAAAGGCCGTGTGTATGTACTGCTTTGATTTTTCCTGGCTGTTTTGCCAAGCTTCACCCAGGCTTCTTGGCGTTTTGGTGTATACTGTGTTAACATAACATTCGTGAAAGCCATGTTCTGGTAAAGCAAAGCCCTGAGAGAGCGAAAGCCACAGATGTAGGTCCTGAATTCCTGCAGAAGGTGTGGTATGACTTACAGAGAGGACAGTTCAAAGAGTAGGTGGATGTCAAACCATCCACTCTGTCTTTACACCCACGTGTAGAAGCTAACAGGTTGTCATATTAATGTTCCTAAAATTAGTGAGGAAACTGAAGGGTAATTTCTTTAAAAAGCAATTCCTGATGGGAGGTTTGTACCCGTGGAGAGGTTGCTTTGAAAGGTGGACATTTGCCCATCAGATTTTTTTAAGTCACCTGTGTGTGGGGGTTGTGGTGACAGAGCAGGCCCCTGGCCAGGAAGCCTTGTCCCTCCGGTGCTCAGGGCCACGGCCTTGGCGTCTGTGTGTGTGTGTGTGTGTGTGGGGGGGAGGCAGCGGCTTGTTGGCGGCCGGCTGCTCATGACATGGCAATGTGGGGGCTGTCCCTGCAGGAAGACACAGAGCGGACCCAGATCAACGTCCTGGCCGTGCAGGCCATCACCTCCCTGGTGCTGAGCGCGATGACCGTGCCCGTGGCCGGCAACCCAGCCGTGAGCTGCTTGGAGCAGCAGCCCCGGAACAAACCCCTGAAGGCCCTGGACACCAGGTCTGTCTCCAGGGCACTGCTGTGGTGGGGCTGTGGGGAGGCCCTGTACCCACCCAGGGCGACCAGCAGCTTCCCCCAGGCCTTTTCCTTGTTGCTGAAACTAACAGAAAACACAGTGCATGTTGCCTGGCAGCAAAAGGCGCGAATCCAAAAGCGATGTGGTGAACAGGGACCCGAGAATGAGCAGAGCGCCACGGGTCACCTGAACTAGCCGCTAACAGGGTGTCTGTGCGAGGGCCCAGGACGGGAATCGCTGCCATGGGGTGGCCTTTGCTACTGTAGGTGCCTGTTTCCTTTAGGCAAAGCTGGGGGGTGGGGGGGGTGGTCCTGGTGTCTCTCACTCTTACGATTTTGAAGGAAGCAAATATTAACCTTTGTTCTGAATCTTAGGTTTGGGAGGAAGTTGAGTGTGATCAGAGGAATTGTAGAACAGGAAATTCAAGCAATGGTTTCGAAGAGAGACAATGTCGCCACCCATCACTTATACCAAGCGTGGGACCCAGTCCCCTCTCTGTCTCCAGCCACTGCAGGTACCTGTTGGGGAGCATTTACACTCGGGCCAGACTGAGAATGTGGCCGCATAGTGACAGCACCGGTTGGGCAGACAGACCGAGTCATGGTTTATTTGGAGGCTGTTTACTTAAAGTGCTCTCCTGATTCATTTAAGTACGAGTCTCAGTCAGGAACCGGGGGCTCAGCAGTCCTCAGGCAATAAGCCTGGATATGAACAGGAGCTCGTCTGGCCTGTCAGGCGGTGGGAGGCAAAAGAGGTGTCAGAGGCTGAGACCTCGCCCTGCACGGGGCTGTACAGGCTGAATTAGAAAGTCAATGGCCTTCGTGGGGACAGTGTGAGTGTCCCCTCCTCGTGAGACGTCACCGTGGCAAGCACGCTGCATTTCCCAGCAGCCGTTGGGCTGGGCGGCCTGGGTCTGAGTTCCCTCTCCCCCCACCCACGCTGCCAGCCTCACCCCTGGCCGCGCACGCGTCTGGTCGGGTTACCTGTCCCACCTGGGCCTGCAAGTGGTGGGCCTGCGCTGTGGTGGACTTTGGCACCCTGGCTTCAAAGAAGAGAGTGTTGGGATATTTTTTTCTTTTTAATGCACTTTTTGTTGTTGTTGACAGTATTTTAGTCTAGAGTTTTTGTGATTCCCTAGGTTTTTTAGGAGTTGTTAGATCCTGCAGGTTGAAGCATCTTGAAAGCTTTTCCTGGACAAGGTTCTTTATGGAAATGCAGTATGTTACACACCCCCAGGATTTACTGGGGCTTTGAGTTAGGCTGAGTCTATGAACTTGAGTGGCCGTGGGTCCCTTGAGAAGCTGATGGCCGAGAGGAGAGCTGAGATGTGGCATCACTAACTGTCACAGAAGGAGCAGAGCCAGTGCCAGGAGAGGTACCGGGAGGCGCTCTCAGAGCTCTGAGGAGAGCAGTGTTCCCAGGGGTGTCAGGGAAGCCCCTCAGGAGAGGTTGATGCTATGTCTGGTGAGGTCAACAGGCCTTTCAGCTGGGGTGGGGGTGATGCCCAGCGGAAGGAAGGGAGGTGGCCATTTGGCCTGGGGTGTGGAGCGTATGGAGGACGGTTAGGGGTTTGTGGGGCGAGCATCAGCCTACCTGTTTCTGGTGGGTGCATCGGCACAGCCCGGGCACCATGGCAGGGTCCCGGGAGGGACTGTCCACCGAAATTGTCCTCTGGGCCCCCGGGGCTTGCCTGCTCTGGACCGTCATGGAGAAAAGTGATGGTCCAGCAGTGCCCCAGTGGCCCTGCCAGCTAGCCAGGCTCTAAAGTGACAGGCCCTGTAGGCCCTGAGCTCCGCAAAGCGGTGCCCCTGCCAGGCTCTGGGGGCGCCTGCAGGCGGGGCTGACGGCACTGTCCCCCACAGGGGCCCTCATCAGCCATGACGAGTTGCTGCTGCAGATCAACCCCGAGCGGGAGCTGGGCGACATGAGCTACAAGCTCGGCCAGGTCAGTCAGCACTTGTGCGGGCGCCTCCTTCCACTTGCCTCGCTCTGTCCTGTCCAGACTTGGGCCATTTAACATGCTCACAAGAAAGGATCTATCACTTCTTACATAAAAGCAAGGTTTACTTTTATTTGTTTCACCGATACTATTTATTCCAAGGAGGATTTAAGGTATTTTCTGTCCGTAATGGCATAAATGTGTGTAAACGTGCTGAGATAGTGTAAGTGAGGCTTAGCTGAAAAAGAGACACAGAAGGACCGGGTCCCGCTGCTTGCGGGGCGTGAACACAGAGAAGGGCCCTGGCTCTGCTGGGCCGCAGATCTGCAGCATCCCAGCCGCCAGCTCAGGCAGCGCGGTCACCGCCCAGGGTGGCAGCAGGGCCGGCGGCACTGGGTGCCAGGTCCACAACGTCCTGGGTGGGTCACTGTGAACTGTGTTTAGTTTCCCCCTCAGAAAAGTGGGGCAGTCGTGCATGTGATAGTGGGTGGTGGTGCGAGGCCGCTTGTGTGCTGGGTGCAGGGACTCCGCGCAGCACCCTGGCTCCTGAGTCCTCAGCTTTGTGCCGCTCTGCCTAGAAAGCACTTATCCCGATGTCCTCCTTTAGTTTGTGTTTCAGAAGAAACTTGTCAGAACATTGTTTGCAAGCACTCGCTGGTCCGGTGGTTCCCCACGTGTCCTGGACAGCGGGCTCCTCAGTGGGTCCCCAGGACCATGCTTGTGTCCCCGCCCCGTTTTCTCCCACACACCTTCCTGTAATCGGGAAGCCCAGGCACCCTGTCCGCTCTTTGTACTTGGCAGAGATGTTTCCACCCCTGACCAGTCCGAGCAGTGGGTAGTGGAGGGCTCTGGGGAGCAGGCTGTGAGCAGAAGGCCGGGACCCGCTGGCCGGCTAAGGGCTGTGCTCTGGGGCCCCGTGGCATCCTCAGTGTGTTCTCCCTTCAGTGTCTGTGTCCACACCCCACCGCCGAGAATCGAGTGTCATGTGGTGACACCTTGCCCAGCCGGGGATGCCTGTTGGCTCCAGTCCCGCTACACTCGGCCGCCGTTGGCATCTAGGAGAGGGTGTCGGGCGGGGAGTGAGAGTAGCAGAGGGGCCCCTCATTGGCCTGAAGATGGCTTTTGGGGATCCCTGGGTTACCTTCAGTCTGGCAGGCCTGGGGCAGCGGCCCCCAGCCCCACTGCCGAGAGGAATAGCAGCTGGTTCAGAGTGGACATTGGGGCCGGTGTGTCGGTGATGGAAAGCAGCGTTTGGGGCAGTGCAGCCCGCGGCCACTTGTCCCATCCCTGGGCAGTGCGGCACCATGCTGAGGGCTGCAGGACTTTCTGTGAGCTGGCTGTGGGGAGGCAGGTGGTGTGTTTGAGCTGGTGTGGGGGAGCGTGCGCGGGGACTAGCTCCTGTTCCAGCACCGCTGCGCTCCCACCCCGCCGGCTCCGGGGTAAGCACGGCACCGCTTTTGCATTTGTAAGGGTGCTTTTCTTAGCATGTAATTCAGAGAAAGAGGTTTACCACCCATGAGGCAGGACTGGTTTTGACAGAAACCCACGTCCTGGTTCCAGTGTTTGCCGGGCTTCATCCACAAACCCCTCAGCAGCTCAAGTGTCCTTTCTTAGAGGCTCTTTCCTTCCCTGTTCTCAGCTGCTCCCCTCATTCTGGGTCCTTAGTACTGGAGGCGGAGCTCTCCACAGCCCATCGCCCCCAGTCTGGGGCTCCCTGCCCAGAACCCACCGGGTCTGCTCGGTTCAGAGGACCCAGGCGGCACTGCTTGCTTCTGGGACCCACCGCCTGGCCCACGCGCTGACCCGAGTGGCCTGTGTCTGTTGAAGGTGTCCATCCACTCGGTGTGGCTGGGGAACAGCATCACGCCACTGCGGGAGGAGGAGTGGGGCGAAGAGGAGGAGGAGGAGGCCGACGTCCCCGCACCGGCCTCGCCACCCATGTCTCCCGCCAACTCCAGGTTTCCACCTGCCTTCTGGGTTAAAGCCATTGGAAATTTATTAGTCGTTTGATTTGTTGGGGTGCTTGTTAAGTGAGCTCTCCCATGTTGTGTGTGGGGAAGTGACCCAGCTCGCATCCCCTGCAGGAAACACCGGGCTGGAGTTGACATCCACTCCTGTTCTCAGTTCTTGCTTGAACTGTACAGTCGCTGGATCCTGCCGTCCAGTTCAGCCCGAAGGACTCCCGTCATCCTGATCAGCGAAGTGGTTCGATCTGTAAGTTCACCTCCCCGTCTCCATCACGTGTGCATGGCAGTCCTGTAGGTCCGTGTGTACACACACACACACACACACACACACACACACACAC